GACTAGGAGGGGAGAGGGAAGGGAACGGGGGAGGGAGCGAGGAGGGGAGGGAAGGGGAAGTACTGGGGACGGAGTCAGAACAAATGATATTCCATGCTTTTATAATCTGTCAAAATGAATCCTACAGTTATGTATAACTAAAAAGAATCAGAGAGAGGGAGAGGGAGAGGGAGAGGGAGAGGGAGAGGGAGAGGGAGATATCCTAAAGGAATAATTTCCTTAAGAGGTCACTTGTAACAGGACTAATGTAAAACGCCATGTCACGACGAGTTTCATGCAGGACATGAGGACCACGTTGGCGAGGACGGGGTGACTTTCCTCAGCAATGTCCTGGAGCTGTTCCCCCCTGACTGTGAGGACCACATGGGGAGCCCTGCTTGGGGATACTGAGAAGAAGCTTTAAAGATGAATCTGGCAGGTGGCAGTAAACAAAGCCCTTCTTACCTGCCAGTGACTGTGACAAGAAGGGTGGCTTCCCAGACACTGGGGAATGCACATCCAGTAAAACACGAGGATGTCCTGGAGGCACCCCTAAGGAACCCCCTAAGGCACCCCAGCCAACCCAGGTTTTAGAGACAGGGAAGCTGAGACGTGGGGACAGGAAGCACTCCTAGAGAGGAGGTCTCCCAGGACATCTCCTGGCCTCTGGCTCCGTCCAGCCTGCTACACAGCAGGAGAAAGAGGTCAGAGGTTCCGCTTCCTTGATGAGGCTCCAGTGACACAGGGAGAAAGAGGCCGGGAGGCTGGGTTACACCCTCTGCAGGGAAAGCAGGCTTGGGACCAGGTTTCAAGCTGGGGCCGGCCAAAGCTCTGCCACGGCTGCCGAGGGGCAGAGGATGAATGAAGTCAGCTTTTCCCTTTAGACAGGGTGAGAGCAACTGCAAGAAAAGAAAGGGCTTCCTTCTCCCTGGTGAGTGCTCTCACTTTCCTAGAGCCCTACTTTAGAGTAGAGCTAATTTGATTCCAAGTCTTTTCTCTTCTCTTTGAAATGTATATAAATCCTTCTGAAAACCAGGCACGCATTTGTCTTTTACACCCAGAAATGTCATTATACAGGACCTAGGAGTTAGCGTCCTGGTCTCTCAGTTTCTGAGGGAGAAAAGGGACCTAATTTCATTGGGGACCTTGGTCTAAGTTGTATGTCTCTTGTCATAAAGACTTGCATGTTTATTTTTCTTCTGCACAAAGACAATCAGCTAAGCAGGTGGTACCCCAATTGCCCGGTGAATCTCACTAAGTGTGACAAATGGTGCTGTCCAGTCCTCTCACTTGAGGACAGAGGTTGATCCTGAAGTCAGGTGCGTAGTGGGTTATGACTGCTTGGTTATATGCAAGGGTGAAGTTTCTGTCTGTCTCTGAAATCTCTTAGAAGGATGCTTGCGATGTGCTTCATACTCTGGGTTAATTACTTAGTAATAAAACTTTCTTTTCCCCCCTCTACTACCTTTGTGGAGAGCTTCTCTAGGTTGGGAGAAGGCTTTGTTGTAAGTTTTCTTATCCCAGCAGATAATACTCTGGACCTCCCTGGAGAATACCATGGGTGACCTCAGGACCAGGTTGGATGTCCCTTCTGTTCTCACGGAGCTTGGCCAGAAGAGGAAGTACTACATAGTGGTCAAGACCAAATCTGGAACAGCAGTTACCCTAGCAGCATTTGTTATCGCTACAGTCCACTGGGCAAACTGGGCTGCTGGTTGCTTCTCTGGTCTGTTTTCTTCCACAGGAGACAGCAACCTCCTTGGTGGCAATGGCTGCCTCCTGTGCACCTCTGTCATTGAGAGACCCCTACCAAAGCCCTGCCCAGGGGAGGCTCCCAAAACGGCTGAGCAAGTAAATAGCTGACAAGAAACACGATAACCTAGACTCAGAAGAGGGAACTTCACATGGAATAAAAACTAAGGGCATTTCATTAAAACCCCATACTTACTAAAGGAAAGACTTTCACTCGGGCTGTGGGAGCCTGAGTCATGGCCGGTTCCTCAGTTGCACTATTTATTTATGGTTTGTTTAGGTGGCAGGGATCAAGGCCTTGTGCGGGCAGGTCCCACTGAGCTGCACCCAGCCCTGGAGAGTCCTTACACCGTGGTATAAAGTATGCAGATGGAGCTTCTACTCTTCCCCCTTCTCTTTTCTTCTATTGACCAGAAGCTTCCTTCCTAAGGGTCAGATGCTCATTAAGATACGATTGGAAGCATTCCCTGGTCTCAGGCAGAGGGAGGTGGGAATGCTGAGAACATGTCAAACAATGGCTCACCCAGAATTCTGACCCAAGTTGGACACTTAGTATGTTCCAGCCACACAGAATCTGTCATTTAGTGTCACATATGTTCTGTGAGATGCATACTTTCATTTTCTGTTGGTACAGGTAAGGAGGCTCAGGGAGGTGCATTGCCTGAGGCCACACAGCTGGTCAATGGAGCCAGGCTTTGCCCCTAAGTTGGCCTTGAACCTGCCGCCAGCCCACTCCCCTGGGGCCAGTGAGCAGTCACTCCCATTCCCTTTCTCCCCGTCTCTGGCAACCACTAACGTATTTTCTATGGATTTCCCATTCTGGACATCACAGATGGAATCAGACATCACTTAGCCCTTGGTGACTGCTTTCACTGGGCACAATGTTTTCAAGGTGTCAGCATTTCCTTCTTTGTTGTGGCTGAATGCTACTCTGTTGTATGGATAGACCTTTATTTATTTATCCATTCGTCAGCTGATGGACATTTGGGTGTTGCGCTTTTAGTGGGGGTGAATGCTGCTGCTATGAATGTTCACAACGCTGGTTCTTTAAAAACTCTATACTGCTAAATCCAACGGGCACATCTCTGTCGCTTCTTACATAACCACTCAGGAGCACTTGGCACAGTGACCCAACTGCCCTTCTCAGAGACTGGCCTCAGCTCATTTTCTTCCCCTTCCTCCTCCATCTCTGCCTAGTCCTCTGCCTCTTTTCTCAGTTTTGACCTCCTCCCGCCCACTGTCCACACAGCATTCCAGGATTCTCATGTGAGCCTCTCCCCTCACCTCCCTGCTGGACACCACCCAACGGCTTCCCTTTAGGATGAACTCCACACTCTTCACATGGCCTGAGAGGCCGGCTCTGGTGTCCTTGCTGCACTCTGGTTGTAGAAGGTTCTAGTCTGTTTGAAGTTTAGTTTTTCCTAAGCAACAAACTTTATGTCCCCTGCCCGTCCCCCCAGTCCTTCTCGATGGCTCCCACTTTCCATTCTTCAGGTCTCAGCCTGGTTCACAGTCACACAGAGTCCAACCCCCCACCCCCTGCCGCCATATTGAATGAAGTCCCACCCTGGATAAGCTTCCATTCAGCACTTGGGTCTTGCCCAGCTTGTTTCTGTTTTCTCCTTGGTGTGGGTGGCTTTGCTTGTGTGTGTCATCGGCTTTAGACTATAAGATTCATGAGAGAGGAGACCTTGTCTGAATTCCTGTATTTTACTCCCAGGGCCTATCATTTAATAGTTGCTCAGTAGATATTTATGGATGAATTAAAGAAACAAAAGCCTGGAAGATGAAGTCAGCTGGGATCAAGGAATAGCGGAAAAGTCTGCATATGTTAGATGAGCTCTAAAGGGTTAAGAAATGTCATGATGACGGCAGTTAAATAAGCATTCACATATAATTGCTGCTTAGTAATGTACAGAAACCAGAATTATGTCAAAAGGTCAGAATTTGGATTTCTGGGCTTGGTGACCCCATTTTCCCACCTGGTTCCGTGTTCTGCTGATCCTGGCCCATGGGTGGCCAGCTTTCCAGATGGGGCTACACGTGACCTCCTGGTCACGCTGGGCTCATCACTATTCCTCCACCTGAAGTGCACGTCACTCTCTGTTTCATCTAGAAGGACCTATCATTGTCCTCTGTTCTTGAAAAAATCATGCTCAACTCTGCACGACCCCCAGAGATAATCAGATCCCTCTCTCCTCTTGGTTCCTTCTTGGCATTTTGTACCCAGATTATTTCGAGTACAACTGCGTTGTGGACACATTTGTCCCTCTCACGGGACTCAGAGCTGTTTGAGAATGGAGCTCATGACTAATTCATTTCTGAGTTCCTTCATTCATCTGACAAATACTGACTGCGCATCTGTCATGTATTAAGCCCTGAAGCCCAGAACCAGTTCAGAGGCTGGTGGGCAGTAAACCCTCATGGAGTACTGGAGGGGCCTGGAGGGTTGCACCTGGCTGGAGTCGCAGTGTCTTCACCCATATCATCAGTCAGAGGGGATTAGACTGAGAGTGGAGGAAAGAGAAAAAGTCCCAGAAAACATAGTGCAACTAGACACCATGGCGTTGACACCATAGACCTGGAGTTGCCACCCACCCAGTGAGGTACAAAGAGAACCCTGCTTCCCAACCACTGACCCCTGCAGCAGGGAGATCAGCTAGCAGCAGAGCCAAGAGCCCACATGCCAGCTTTTGCACCTTTGCCCAACCTCCTGGTCACATAAGTCATCCTTCCATGGAGCAATGAGGGGGTTGGAAAAAAGGCAAGAAAGATGTCCTTCCTGATATTTGTGAACGGTCCGAACCCCCTACAGTGCCTGCAGGACGGACCAAGTTGGCAATTCAGGGAAAGGATAAATGCCCTTTCTGCTTGCCCTCCTGAGGAGGTTTTAAAAGGATGGATCGATTTTTAAATCAAGTCTAGTGCTTGAGGGGTAAAAAGACAAGGGAGTTACATTGAAATGGTACATTACTCAGGACTTTATGCATAATTTCAAAAGATGTTGAACAAAAATTAATGCCAGGGCAGAAGTTCAGGACCAAATGATAGAAAACCACCAACGCAGACAGGCATCCAGTCAAGCAGGCTGAAATGTGAAGGCTTAATGCAGCCAAAAAGCTCTAAGAGTTCTGCTTCTCAGCGGAGGTTGTGCTTAAGGGCTCGACGTCAATTCAAAGCACTTAACTTTTGAAGTTCCCCAAATGACTCAATAAAAGCGTGATGTCCCCTGACTGCCCCCCACCCCACCTCCTACAGTCGTCACTTACCGTGAGCTCTTTGCTTTTAGCAAAAGGCCACCAGCCACGCACACGCTTCTGCTGGAATATAGAGATCTTGTTCTCCTCCTTGGCGTTTTCAAACTTGGAGAGATCACAGGCTTTGGCCGATTTGGCAGCTCGAGGGAAACTGTTGAGGTTCATTTCTAGGGAGCCTGTGAAGAGACGCCCAGGACGGTTGTGGAAAACTGAAAAGTTCCGGAAGGACTTTTCTTTTCCTGTTTTTTTGTTTGTTTGTTTGTTTGTTTGTTTCTGGAGTTGAACTCAGGGGCACTCTACAACCAAATACATCCCCAGTCCTATTTATTTTTTTTATTTTGAGATGGAGTCTCTGTAAATTGCTCAGGCTGGCCTTGAACTTGTGATCCTCCTGCTTCAGCCTCCCAAGTAGCTGGGATTACAGGCGTGTGCCACTGTGCCCATCTGGAATGACTATTCAGTCACCATCTGCACTCGCCAGTTCACTCACCAGTCATGTGATGGGTATAATGTGGGAGGTCATATGTGCCAGGTATCGGGAGAATAAATATGACGATGTTGGGTGCCATCAAGGAATCAATGACTTGTTTGCAGACAGAAGACGAGGCAGAACTACAGTATGTGGCTTTCAAGCCTCAGGTTGGGTGTCTTGGCTACTGGGCACCTTCCCTGCTCTGCCAGTGGGCGCCCTGGGGCTGGATGACATGCCTTAGCTTCCTCCTCCTCAGCACTGATGCCCTGTGAGAGGTCCCCCACCTACTGCCTCCCCTTCATCTTGGAGCCCACTCCTCCTCCAGCTCAAGGCCAAGTTCTCTGCCTTTGAGTCTACTCCCAGGACAGACAGCAGACTTTAGTGGGGTCTCTATAATATTTCTTCAGAGTAAAATGGAGAGAATCCTAGATCTTGTTTTAACAATTTTTTTTCGTATTAGAAAGTAATATTTGTAAATTATGGAAATTTTAAAGCATGCAAAAAGTTGAGAACAGAAAATGTTTCCATAGTTCCATTCCCCCCAAATTGGCTACAGCTTTCTGTATGGTCAGTTATTACTACTAGCTCCCCCTCCCCCCCTCTCCCTATGAATTTCCTATATATTAGAACATATTTTACAGAAATCAGATTTTTTTCACACTCTTAATGCATCCTGTACAATTTTCCAACATATTAAATATTCCAGTATTTTTTAATGGTTGCAATGTTATTGAGTGCTTACTATATTCAAGTCACTGTGGTTTGTTCTTTTATTTATTTATTTTTTGGTAGTGCTGGGGAATGAACCCAGGGCCTTGTGTACTCGAGGCAAGCACTCTACCAACTGAGCTATATCCCCAGCCCACGGTTTATTCTTTAATTACATTCTCACATTTACAGCTTCACCACCCTCTGACATATACAATAGTTCTATTCCCATTTTGTGAAGTAGGAAGACAGGCACAGAGTGGACCTTGAATTCCAAGTTTAAACACTTTTTAGTGATAGAATAAAAATCAACTTATGTCTATTTGAATGTGTAGTGGTCCATCATACAATTGCCCCACAATTTATTTAGCCAATTGTATCATCATAGCTGTTTGGGCTGTTTCCAATTTCTTCCTATCATAAATAGCACAGAAATTATTATCCTTGTAACTGAATTAGACACAGATCTCCAAAAGCTGGAACAGAACCCTGAACATTAATATATGCTTGATGAAGCCACTGGCTTACCCAGGAAGTCATCTGAGGACAGCCTTTCAAAATCCCAAACCTGCAGCACCAACACAGCTGGAGTCTTACACTCCATCTTCTCTAAGGAAAAGATATTCTCCCTCTTGGTAATGACCATTTGCTTCTCAGCTGGGAGATACTGAAACGGAAACAGGAAGCGCCAGTTGAAGTTCCCTTCTCCTGTGAGGGAGTTGTAGTGCACGTCTGTCTCCTGCTTGTCATCCTCCAAACCCTTTATCCACCTGAATGAAGAGTAAAGCAAAGTTCAAACACTCAGAGTACATGATCAGGCATCAGTATAATCAAGAGGTTCAATGTGGCCACAGCTTTAAAATTATCATGTGATTAGACCAAATGGAAGTTTCCACTGAAATTTAAAAGAGGAAAAGAGGTATCAAAGGGCTTGGAACAGACCTAAGACTCACTTCACCCCCAGGCAGGGTGGGGAGTGTCTTCCATTTTGGGGGCACACCTGAAACCCCATGTGATCAAGATGGAAAATTCAAGAATAGGAAGTGAAGATTTAGTCTGAATCCGTTGCCCTGGGGACCCTCTTTGTAAGGGTCTCACCTCTGTACCAGAGTGTTAGAACAAGATTGCACACTACTCTGAACCCTCTAGAATTGGGCTGGATGAGACCTGAGCTCAGGCCTGTTTTATGCCCCTCCTCTCTGGCCCTGAGAGTCCAGCCGGCCTGGATCAGTGTGGCATAGAGGATAGGGGTGCTACCTGTGGCCACCTGGGTTCTAATCCTGGCTCTGCTGCCTACTAACTGTGCAGCCATGGATAAGTTTTCTAACTTCTCTATGTTGTTTCATCTATAAAATGGAAGCAGTTACAGTATCTGGTTCATAGGGCTGTGAGCTAATATCTATAATGTGCTCTGGGGTACTCCAAATTCTCTACCTTGTTCTTTCTTAGTATTATCTGGTTTTCTCCTCCATGCCCAGAGTTATATAAGCTCTGACTAGCAAATGTTTCCCTAGGACTTTATCCGTGGTGAATTAGTTAATTTAGAAAAGTAAGTACTTTTTGCTCATGCTAAATGACAATCCAAACCCCTTGCTTTCAGAAAGCAGAGGACTCTCCTACCCAGGGTAGGGAAGGGGAGGCAAGACCCTTCCTTTCATAGAGCAGTGATACCACTTGGGTTATGGACCAAATTATTTAGCTAAAGAAAGAAAAAAATGGCAGAAAGATACAGCAGTGTGAGACAGGAGGGTCTGGGACAATATCTTGCACTACTGAGCTACTAGAGGGAGGAGAATATGCTTTTAAATCACTGAGAAGAAACCAACAGGGTAGAAGGAAGACCAGAAGAGGGTGTTGCCACAAAGGTTAGGCTAAAAAAACAGTGTGTTTCAAAAAGATGTGGTCAGTTATGTCAAGTGCTCAATAGAGGACAATAAGGTAAAGGCATTAAACCCAAACGGGACCATTAGGGTCAGAGAGGTGGGGAGCCCGGCACTTTAGTGAGGGCTGCTTTGGAGGAGTATTGGGGAGGAAGCCAGAATGGCATTGGGTGAGAAGCTGGGGGAGGCCAGTAAAGGAAGAGAACAGGTATAAACATCTGTTTCTGTTCACATTAGTGGGCCAGGGTTCTGGAAGCCTCAATCTGAACTCCCCTAGAACCTTCCATGTTGTGAGCCATGATAAAATACCTTTTTACAGGACACTTGAGTCTTTCCTGAACTAGCGATCAGAAAGCAATTTCAGAGAATCCTAATTCTGCCTTTTAAACTATTGTTTGAGTCATGCTACTTCTTTTGCTCCTTCTTGGTTAATATTCAACTCACCCTTGTATTCTTGTCCTGAAAAAATGAGAATTTTGAACCACTGATCATGTTTTGACTGCCAAATGCTTGGGTAATATGCATTCTGAAGACGGGATGTTCCCTACTTGGGAAAGGCCAGGGGATTAGCATGAGGCTAGGAGGGTTTACTACTTCCGAGATGAGTTTTAGTTAAAGTATAAATTTAAATTACTTAAAAAAAAATTCTCTACCACCTCATCCCCTTCTCTGACTAGGGCTAAAAGGAAGCAGGGTAAAGATGTAAGAGAGACCATCAGATGCTTCATTCCCTGGGTCAATAGGGTTGGTATCTCTTTTATCAGTAGCACTAGCAAATGGGCAGGTCTAGGTTTTAATTTTTTAATTTAATTTTACAATCTGCTAGACTGATTCATCTTTCACTGATAGCAGCTCAGCACTCTGCTGTTTTCTGTTTAAAGGTCCATAGATCTTGAATGTCACTTAAAAGGTTTAAGTATCTAACATCCAATCGAAACATGTTTATATAATAAAATTTACTAAAATATTTTTGTAAGATAATAATTCTTAACAAAGTGACAAAATAAGACAAATATTTGCCTTTATCTAACCAATTAAGATGAGCTGCAGCCATGAGATGTGGGTGTAGCATCTTCCACAAGGTAGAGACTTGGCTAGGGATTAAAGGGATGAGGAGAGGGAGGAAGGAAGAACGGGGTTTGCTGAAACACTTACCCTTTAACATAAATATCACTTGATTTTTGGCCTGTGAAGATATTTTCATCCTCCAAAATGACATCTTCAGTGTTCCAGATAGTCACCCTCAACTCATACCTGGGGGGGGGGCGGTGGGGAAGGCAGCATTAGGTAGATGACCTTGAAAACTGACTCAACTGGTGTCAGTGTGATTCTAGTGCCGCCTTTGGTCCCTGGGAATCTTTATATCTGCTAACTTCGAAATATCAGACTCAAGGTCTTGGTTCCATTAGAATTTCATATCCTGGATGGAGAGCTCAGACTTGCCAAGGGCATGAATTGCTCTGAGCAGACCCTCCTTCTCTTAATAGGCAATTTTCTCATGAGGAACTTGAAGATCAGAAGCCATCATTTCAACCACCATCACCTACTCCCTGCTGTAACCGGGCAGGTAGAAATTGAGGTATGAGTGAAGGTAACCTATCAGACACCAGATCAAAGGCCACCACTGTTCAGTCTGCTACCACGGCCTCTTCTCCTAAAGCTGGGTGCCGCTGGCTTACCCTTTGGGTTTCCTTGGTGAAATGTCAACGGGAGGTCCTGGCTGAGGCATATCCTTGGGAAACATGTCCACCCACATCTGCAGGCGGCCCTTGTTAGGAAAAGAAGATCATTAGCTTTGGGAGAGGGTGGGGTCATAGCTAATTAACCATGAGTAGTTTTAACAGATCCCATTACTAGAAAATTTGTATTGGGCTTAGTGTGGTAGCTTTGTACATGTGTAGCATATGTGTTAATAAAGACAGAACTTAAGTTCTTATTAGGAATTAGATCATATTTTAATAGGAGAAGGGTGGGCAGATTCTTACTGAGCAGCTACTATGTGGTAGACACAGTGTTATACACTGAAACACAGCGAGTTCTTGCAATACCCCAGAGAGAGTGCCACTACTCCCACTTGGCGGATGAGAAGACTTCATGCCCACACTCACTCACTGATCCAGCCCTGTCTGTGACCTTAGAAACCCTGCTCTTTCCACACATTCCTAAAGATCAAGAAGGGGACGATACTGTCTCCCAGAAAGACCATGCTTCATCGTTTCCAATGTACCTCCGCATCCTTTATCTCTGTTAACATCTACCCCAGGCACACTTCCACTTCACAGACAGAGGCTTAGAGAAGTCAAGGGAAGGAGCTGAAGTTCTGTGGCTAACTAGTGTCAGTTTAGGGCCTTCTGTCCATTGCCTGGAACTCTCCCCTGTGGACAGAGACTTCAGAGCACCTCAGGAGAAGCTCCATGCGTTCCATGCTCAGCTCTTGTGTGTATTATAAACATTCGTCAGCTCAGGCAAGAGGACGAGAGCGTGACGAGGGCTGGGGACAACCAGGGGAGGTTTCATACAGGAGATGGAATTCCACTGGTGTATGAAGGACGTGAAGGATTTGGGTAAGAGGGGGGCTTTGGCTAGGGGAGAAAAAAAGCTTTCAGAAGATGAACAATATAAGCAAAGGTTTAGCATTGGGAAGAACACTCAATGGAGTCCTAAGGAAAATTGGTACAATTTCTTGTGAAAAGGTGCATTAACTTTCAACCTTAATCAAAAAGTCACATCTGACAGGAAAAAGAAAGGATCCATTACCAACATATCTCAAACATCGGCGATGAATTTCAAAAAGACAGTCAGCTTCTACATCTGATAATGGTTTACTCTTTCAAGATGGACCGCCTCCCCCCACCCCCCCACTGTCCCAGACACTGCTGGCCCTTTACCCTGGAGCTCACGTGCCTTGCCTGTTACACAGTGAATGAATCTCAAGCTGGGACAGGAGCCACCTGGCCTGGGTCAGAGCACAGGGGAGGGACTCACACGGCCTGTGTGACATCCCAGTCTTGCCAGCCTGGAAACATGGAGTAAGCCTCTCTCAGTTTCAATCTCCTAATCTTAAAAGTGCCCTCAGTCATTCAAGATGGCTCCAGTTTGGATAAACAACTCTATGGTTGTCCTGAATAGGCGAGAGGATTTGTATTAAAGATCTTGCTCGTGGAAGGTTCTTAACCAAGTTTGTCTTCTCTTTCTTCTCACTCCTAACCTTGCTGTGTGGTTTGGTTTTTTCCACACAGTTTCTTCTTGCCAATTCTTCAAGGTAAGCCATCCTCTGTTGCTTCTCTAGGAAAACTTCGTGTGTGTGTGTGTGTGTGTGTGTGTGTCCCTGTGCACATGCGCAGGGGAGCACCTAAATCAGATATTAGACAAGGTCTGAGGTGTGTCTGATGAGTTTCAAAGTTCCTTTAATGTCAAGATTTACCAAAGAGTTTGAGAACTCAAATCATAAAATGGAAAAGTACTAACAAAGCCAACACTGGCTCCAACTTCTGCATAACTGGCATTTGGGGCTAGATGTTCTTTGTTTTTGCGGGGGGGTGGGGTGGGTGGGGGCATCCTGTGCATTGTGGGAGTTTGATTTAGCAGCATCCCTGCCCTTCCACCCACGAGAGGCCAAACATTTTTGGTTGTTGGAGGTGGGTGGGAGCTTCTGGCATCTATCTTTAGATTCCCCCTACACACATTACTCTAGGACACTGGAGACTAGTTTTTAGGGACAGCACCACTCCCCTTGGGGACAAGCACTCCTACGGGGGCCAGGCCCGTCTTGCCAATACCTGCTCCATTCCTGGCTTATCCTTGTGGTAGAGCGGCCGAGTTTCTATGTGCTCGGGAACCAGCCTGCACCCCACCTCTGGGATATCCTCCCAGGAGTGGAGAACCTTGAGGGCCAAGTGCTCATAGGACTCCACCATCTCCTCTGCAGGGAAGAAGACAGAGAAAGAGACTTGTCAGATGGTGTTCCCGAAAGGAGGCAGCAAGGGACATCAGATGCCCCCTTAACACTTCCTTTAAGGTTCATTTTTAAAAATACAGATGAAAGGGGAGAGAAAAGACAGCAAAGAGAAAAGGAAAGGGGAAATGGAGAAAAAGAGGGGGAGGAGAAAGAGAAGAGAGAAAAGGGAGGGTTGACAAGAAACTCAGAGAGCCGCAGGGGTCCTGGCATAGGGGCTCCATCCACCCACTAAGGCAGATTTCTCCAGAATGCATGGATCACAGCCTGGCTTCAGGCTACGGGAGAGGACCTGTCTTGGGGAATGCGAAACTGTTGGTAACTCCACAGTGAGAGGGCCTCGGGCCAGCGCAGCCCTCAGCAAGGTGGTGACCATATGTGTTCCTAGAGGTCTCTTGTTCTCATTATTGCTGGACGCGCCCTCACACCAATACCCACTGTTATGGTTTAGATATTAGGTGTTCCCCAAAAGCTCACGTGTGAGACAATGCAAGAAGGTTTAGAGGAGAAATGATTGGATTATGAGGGTGTTAACCCAATCAGTGAATTAATCCCCTGGTGGGATTAACTGAGTGGTAACTGGGGGCAGGTGGGGTGTGGCTATGGGCTATATATTTTGTATTGGTAAGTGAAGTCTTTCTCTGTGCTTCCTGATCATCATGTGAGCTGCTTCCCTCCACCACACTCTCACCATCCATGATGTTTTGCCTCACCTCAAGTCCTGAGGAATGGAGCTGGCTGTCTATGGATGGAGACCTCTGAACCTTTGAGCCATAAATATACTTTTCCTCCTCTCAATTTTAATTGAGAGGGTCTTTTAATCACCAAAAAAAAAAAAAAAAAAAAACTGACTAAAACGTTCATCACTGGAAAGGGTCTCTGATTGTCATTCTACCAAAGGAGGTGACTTATGATAACAATAGCAGCAGGAAGAGTACTCACAATATAAGACAAAAATAGAGAAAATAAAATCTTTACAAAGCTTAGGAAGGACCATAGTTGATTATGAAAAATTGAATTTGGCTTTTTAAAAGGAGCCATAAAATAAATCTCCCAATGGCAGGCAGTAAGTACAATCAATAAAATGTTGACAGGCACAAACAAAATTAATGGATGAAATCTTTGTCATAAAATTTAATCAGTCAGGAACTGACCCCTAAAACATAAATCTAGCCAGGTGCAGTGGTGCACATCTGTAATTCCAGCAGCTCAGGAGACCGAGACAGGAGAATAGCAAATTCAAAGCCAGCCTCAGCAATGGCAAGGTGCTAAGCAACTCAGTGAGACCCTGTCTCTAGATAAAATACAAAACGGGCTGGGGATGTGGCTCATTCACCGAGTGCCCCTGAGTTCAATCCCCAGTACCCCCCCTCAAAAAATCCCCATGATTTTAGATTTTTTAGTGGGCAAAAAGATCATTATTTAATAATAAAATATAGAATACTGCCCAAGAATTAACTTGACTTTAGAATATATTGTGAAATGTATTTTTTTTTTCAACAGAAATCCATCCATAATACACAGTTTCAATATCAATAACTTTGCATGTAAGAACCTAGGATCTGGGGGGACTAAAGTACGAAGCAAAAAGAAACCTTAGTACCAAAATTATGGGGCTCAATAGGAACCAACAAACCCTGTATTGTGTCCTTAATTGAGCCCTTTGCACCAAAAGTACTGAACTGTTCTAGAGTGGCAGCAATGTGCAGATGTAACAGTAAAAAGTTGTTCTGTATCATTAAAGCAAAGGTGGATTTTTTTCATTCTGAATACATGGAAGTTTCTCTGGGAACTTTCTGGCATGTCCTATGATGCTTGTGTAGAAAACCTACTTGTTGTTATTGAAATAAGATAGTTATGGGTACAGCATTTATGGAGTAATCAATTGTACCCAATTATTTATATAATATTAATTTTAAGGTTACTGTCTCTATTCTGACCTGATCCTATCTTATGATCTATACTCTAGAAATACAAAAAATGTGCAAAAACATGGATAAGGAACTTGTAATTAATGCTACAATTAATTAATGGTCACTACAAAAATGAGCAGGATGTAGCTAAAAATAGCATAATCATGAAATGGAATATTATCAAAATAAATCAAATATTGATAATAATTGTTCAATAATGGAGTATTATAAAAGAACAAAGCAGAATCATCATAATCCATTGGAAATAAAGAAAAAGCAGCGTAAAAGGTAAAAGATTCATGTGATCGGAAGAGAAACCAGAGTATGTGGCTCAGTGGCAGAGCACTCATCTAGCAAGTGTGAGGTACTGGGTTCAATCCTTAGTACCACATAAGAATAAACAAAATAAAGGAATGCTGTCCATCTACAACTACAAAAAAAATTTTTTTTTAAAAGCAGGGTACAAAACTATGGCATGTTTCCAGTCCTTTAAAAATGTAACGTATTATACACAGACAAACCCACACAGCATGTAGCGCAGCTAGCTGTCTGAATTTGGAGATGGTGAGTGGTTTCCAGTCTCCTACTTGCTTTTCCACATTTCTGCTGTGGGCATGCATTACTTTCTGATTAGAGGATGCACTGTGCCCTGGAACACCATGGAATCATGCTCCTCAGGAGGAGAGCTACAGCAGAGGACTCTGAGGGGGGTTACCAGTGTCTTCGTCGGTGAAGACTGTTTTTCCAGAAAAGACCTTGCTTCCGATCTGTATTTTCCCAGGGCGAAAGTAGGGTCCATCCAGCTTGTTGTCTTTGCAGAGCTTGGTGAGGATCTCCGTGGGTTTGGATGTGTCCCTCCAGGCATTGTACCCTTCTCTGAAAAGTGGAGCAAGTTACAGAAGGGTGAGGCCTGGCTTCCCCTGGAGAACACTCTGAAGTGCCCCCATAGTCAGGCCACCCAAGGGTGACCTGGGCAGGTTCCTTAGATTCACTGGCCATTCCCTACACCTGGGGCCGGTGTTTTTGTCCTGTTTCTTTCCTTTCTGGTCAAACACTTTTGCATAAGTCCAGCTTGCAGGTAAGACAGGACTTGTGAGTGGAAGAAGTGACCTTGGCATAACAGTGTTAACCATGTTAAAGTTCATCCATTTGGTGGCATTTCCTATGTTCACAGTGATGTGCTACCACTACCTCCAACTAGTTTCAAAAAGTTTTCATCACCCCCCCCCCAAAAAAAAGCCCTGTATCCCAAAGAGCAGTCACTCCTCTTCCAGCTCCTCAGAACCTGTGATAGCCACCAATCTGCTTTTGTTTCCTGGTAGGTAATTTTTGTCCAGTTTGGTTCCTTGCCCTGTGGCTGCTGCTTATTCTAAGAGGAAAGCCTCACTCATCCTTCCCATCTATCTGCTCCTTTCTTCCCTTCTCTTCCTCCACAAGAACCATACATGGACTCAAGTCACAGGCAGACGGTCTGCAAGTGTTGTTCCTTTAATCAGTGATTTGAAGTTCCTAAATCTCCCCAACCCTTCCTTCCTTTAAAAAAAAGTAGCTGTTTGTTAAAAATTATTAATTTGCAAGGAAGTTCTAAGAACTATGACCAAGACAGCTTGGTTGTCTCTGCACATCGGGACACAAAGTTCCATCAGAATTTAACCCACTTAAAAATTTGAATGATTCAAAAAGGCCCACACAGTAGTTTCCCACATGGTATCTGTGATGTGAAGATCCTGGGAAGTTCATCCACCCCAGCCTGAAGCCACACAGGGGTCGCCCTCTAAATACGTGCTCTCATCTTATATAAAAGTGTTCAAGTGAACAAAAGTGGCATCTTCCCTGAAGAAACCGCTATCTGGCGAGTCCACCATCAGGAACTCTTCCAAACAAAGTTTACATCACATTTGTCTGCAGCCACCCTCTCGGATTTCAGAATAAGAATACCTAGTCACAGAGCAGAACACTCCAGGGTACTTGGAAAGTCATGACAATTCCCAGGAGACTTGGGCATTCACTAGAGTCCCCCAGTGAACTAGATTCTAGCCTCCCAAAACAGAAGACCAGACAAAGAGACGGCTGGAAGTCTTGCTATGGAGGAGATAGGGCTCAACTCCCTCAGTGAGAGTGTGAACAGGCACCATCCTTCTAACAGGCTATTTGGACACAAAATATGCATTCATTTTAATAGAATAATCCACATTGATGGAATAATCCATTGTTGGATACCCAGTGAATTCAGAGAGGTCCTTGGCCGGCTTTCATACTAGGATGCTCACAGCAGCAATATTTATAATACAATAAAGAATATATTAGTGCCCTACAGTTCAGGAAGAAAAAGTGGCTCCATTATTTTATAATAAATTTATGTGGTGGAATACTGTAGAGCTATTGAAGTAATAATTATAAAGAATACTGATGAGGGCTGGGGCTGGGGCTCAGAGGCAGAGTGTGAGGCACTGGGTTCGATCCTCAGCACCACATAAAATAAAATTAAAAAGTTATTGTGTCCACCTATAATTAAAAAATAAATTAAAAAAAAGAAGACCGATGACATTATAAAATCTTAGGCAATAAGGGTTAGTATAACCAGCAGTTTACAAAACTTCCTGGGTAGTGTGAATTCAACTTTGGGGAAAAAAATAAAATAGAAAAATATTAAAAGAAAGTATGCAAAAATGTTTATGTACATTATTTGTGGGTAGAATAATTATAGCATTAATTTGTATTTATAATATTTCCTAAATTTTCTACAATGAATGTGTATTACTTTATATGCATGAAAATATTTTTACAATTATACTATGAAACACCAATGAATGTTCTTATGTTTTCCCAGATGAAATCTGTAAAAGTTTTTTTTTTAAGATATCATTCACAGAGGGGAGGGGAGGGGGGATAGTAGAGGATAGGAAAGGCAGCAGAATACAACAGACACTAGTATGGCAACATGTAAATCAATGGATGTGTAACTGATATGATTCTGCAATCTGTATACGGGGTAAAAATGGGAGTTCATAACCCACTTGAATCAAAGTGTGAAATATGATATGTCAAGAACTATGTAATGTTTTGAACAACCAACAATAAAAAATTTAAAAAAAAGATATCATTCACAACATGTTTTTTTTAAATATTAAGTTGGTAGTCTGTATATTTAAATAAAGTATAATTCACAATCTTTGAAAAGAGATTAGTATTCCTTAATTTGTAAAATGATTCTAATATCTCAATGGGCTCTTGAGAAAACTGAAAGAGATTCTCTGTGTAAAGCTCTAGCAGTGCTTGGTGTAAGCATTCGTGAGCATTTGTAATGGAAGCTAAGATATTGGCATTTGCATTATATTAATCCTTCTTCTAGAATCATCCCCCACCAAGGACCACTGGGTACATCTGATGGAACAAGTGTATCACGATTCAGCCCTTGACTCTTGAAGAATCTGCCCTGGGTTCTAAATAAAGAGCTACATTCCCAGGCCTGGTGACCCTCAAGGGCACAGAACAGTGTCCCCAAACAAGCACAGCTGATACGAATCACATTTGAGATGTGAAAGCCGTGGGTCTGGCCTTCTTAGCAATAGACAGTGGGGCACAGAGTCCAGAGCCCTGACCCGTCATGGCCTCTGACGGTGTCTCCATGGGAGAAGGAGCTTACATTTCATACTGGCTCTGCAAGCCACAGATGGCTCGGTGTTTGCTGTAGAAGCGGTTCTCCAGGTCGATCTTGGTCTCGCCAATGAGGTCATCTGTCCCAATCATGTCATGGTCATAGATCAGCACGGAGAGCAGGGACTCCTTTGGGAATGTGGCCTGGATCTCGAATGACCTGCAGTCCAAGCAGAGGCTTCAGGATTAACAATGTTTGGCAACAGAGGGAATTTTTCCCAGCTTGGCTTTTAGCTAGCCTGCTATTCATATCCACTAACTGCTCAACAATTCCATTAATCCTGAGCAGATATTTGTTTAGCTTAATTTCGGATGAAAGTATAATCCACTTTAAATTCCTGTCCATTTCCAACAGCCAATAATTTTCCCTTTGATGGGCCATGTCTTTGAGTTGTCAACTTGTGATTTTGGTCTCAAATGGGACTGATTTCCAGTCTTGGTTTGGAATCAACAACTTCCTAATTTTACAACCAGGGAAAGTTAATCAATCTCTGCATAAATGGGGGTAAGGTGGTCTTCTTCATACAGCACGAAGCTAAAGGCAATGCTGTGTATAAAACACACACTTCACCTCCAATCACTCAACTCGAGACCATTAAATTCCCTTTCCTTCTGTTGTAAAACCAGGAAGTTGTTGATTCCAAACCAAGACTGGAAATCAGTCCCATTTGAGACCAAAATCACTAGTTGACGACTCAGAAACATGGTCCATCAAAGGGGAAATTATTGGCTGTTGGAAATAGACAGGAATTTAAAGTTGATTATCTCTCCATCCAAAATTAAGCTAAACAAATATCTGTTCAGGATTAATGGAATTGTTGAGCATCTAGGGAAATGTTGCTTGATCAAGGAATACCAGCTGGGTTTATTTGAAAATAAAACTCTATTGAGAATGGAAAATCACCATAAAAACAAAAAATTTCTATCAAGCTGTCACTACAAAACTCTGAGCCCCTTGAGAATAAGGACCTGTTCTTTTGGTCTCTGCATCACCGGAGCTTAAACTTGACCTGCACAAAGGATACTAATGAATGTTTCTTTGAACTTCAAGGGATCTCAGAAATCACCATATCCCATACCTTCATGTTACAGATAAAAACCCTGAAACCTAGAGACCTCAAGAGACTTGCTCAGGATCATAAATCAAGACCCGTCTGGGATAAGTGCCAGTTTTCTAAGTCCTTAGTTACCACACGAATGCGAGATATGGAAAGAAACAGCAATGCCGTCAGATTTCTTGTGACAATGGGTCATCCATACTACTGAGTTTTTGCATTAGAGCAGATGCTTGAGAATTCAACTTTGAATGCAATGCAGCGTTTTAGGGAACTGTCTTTCTAAAAATAAAGTCACAGGCACACCCGTGTTTCTCGAGCTGTTGCAGACTCTGATTCCTCTGGGACAGGGTGGGCTGGGCTGGGACCAAGGGACAGAGAGGAGGATGGAGAGGGGTGGGCTTTTTATTTCCTGCATGTCCACAGGCCTGTCTGGTCCATTGTCCCCCTAGTCAGATCCACTTAGCCTGGACTCTCACTCTCCAGGTTGGCAGCAACTGTAATCACAACACAGCCAATGAAACCTCTCCAGGGACAAAAAAGCAGCTCTGGTGAGGCTCCAGCAGGACAAGAATATGGCTGCCCAGGGAAGAACTCCCTGTGTGTTCCATCTGAAGGCACAGCGTTGCCCACCTGGGCTCCCAGATTTGAATTCCAGTCTGTAATTGATATTCAGGAGGTCACAAGGAGAAGCTGCCAGCGGTCTCCAGGGCTGCCACTGAAGAATTTAATAAGTGCTTAACTGTCCCTGGTAACCATGACAGAGGACTCGATGGCTCTCCTCAGGCTGCGCTCACAGATTAACCTCACCTTAATTTCAATTGGAGCTGTCATTTCGAGCTCCCCCATATAGCCCATCGTGGTTGGACTCCCAATTACCCAAGGGAACACTAGGCTTACGCCAGCCGTGAGCTGGTGACATGCTATCATTAGCTGCAGTCAATGCCGGGTTGAGGAAAGATAATGCATCATGAAATGAGCAAATATGGAGACAGTGAGAGCATGCAGACCCCTGAGCAACAGAGCAAAGATCCCCGGGCTCCTCTGTTCAATCCCCCATTCATTCTTTATCATGCCTGCATTCATTTGTGTGGTATACCTCAGACACCCAGTTGTCTGAGATGGCCAGAGCTCAGAGGGAGACACAGACAAGGTGTTACAAATAAACCTTCTGGACGAGGGGAATAGAGAAACAAAAAGACGTCTCTTCAGGGGAAATGTGAGGGTAGATGGGAATGCTCTTGGCTCCAGAGCTGAGGAATTTCTGATCTTAGCATCTGACCCACGCAGGTCAAATTCACTCATTATCTACTCTCAGAAGCCCCCGTGCCTCTACATTATATTTCACAGAAGAAATTCTATATTTGTCTGAGTTTGGAGTTAATGCAGGCCTCTCCAGGAGTGTGCAGCTTTCTTGAAAATGGGGTCATAGCCCCCTTGTACTTCTCCAACAGCTGACACACCATCTGCTACCCAGGGACTGTCTGGATTGAAGAGAACAAATGTTTGCAAACCACTCGCAGTGGGCTGGTCAGTGTCATGTGTGAACTTGGTGAGACCGTGGTTCCCAGCTACGCAGACACTAATCAAGGTGCAGCTGTGGAGGTATTTTGTCAGTGGGACTTACATCTAAACTAGTTGACTTCACATAAGAAAGATCGTCCTTGATAATCTGGGTAGGCCTCATCCCACCAGGTAAAAGGCTTTAAGAGCAAAGAAATGATATCCTAATCACGACAAGAACAATATACAGTGTATGCTTATATGTCCCCCTAAACTAATACCCTGAAGTCCTAACTGCCAGTGCCTCAGAATGTGACCTTATTTGGAAATGCTACTTTTAGAGGTAATCAAGTTGAAATGAGGTTGTTGGGGTGGACTCCATTCCAAGACCAGTGTCCTTATAAGAAGGGGCAATGGCGCAGAGACAGAGACAGAGAACAATGTGAAGAGATGTAGCAAGAGGCGATGGGAAGATCAAGGCTGGGGCCGTAGGGACACATCTCCAAACCAAGGGACACCAAGGATGGTCAGCAAAGCACCAGCAGCTGGGAGACAGGCATGGGGCAGGAGTCTCCCCTACAGCCCAGAAAGAAGCCCACCTTTCTGATATCTTGCTTCCAGACCCCCACCCCTGGAAGTGGGAGGCACAGCCTTAGGAAACCAATATGCACACTCACGTGGCCACGTGGTCTCTTCTGTGGTAGAACCTGGATGAGGGTCCAGTCCAGTTCCTGCCACACCCTGCCCTTTCCACGGGCTGCTTTCTAGAGCACCCATCCCTCACCCCAACACCCCCAAGGTGGTCAGGTGCCCTCCCAGGGCTTTCATGGGACATGCCACACTTTCTCAGAATCACGCGTTGACCTATTTTTCTCCCAGTATTCATAGGAAGCTGGGAGGCCCTAGAGTGCCTGACGGACAGCAGATTCTCAACATCTATGGGGAAAGAGGGGAGCTCTGCTGGTGGACAAGGAAAGCAAGGTGTGACCTGGCCAGTCCAGCCAGGACAAAGGCCTGCACATGTGAATGAGCAAGGGGAGCTGAGGCCCCACAGATCCGCTCCTGGGGCTCGTTGTCTTTATTTGTGGCTGATGATCAAGGCAATGGAGATCCCAGGGAACATTCTGGGAAACTGAGGGCCACCCATGAGGAACTGCCCCGTGGCTAGACAATCTCAGGTTGACGCACAGTGAGGGGTCGCCTGGGATCTCACGACCGTGCAGAAGTTCAGTGTGTGCACACAATCACGCCTTCATTCCAGACCCTCGTAGTACTTTCCGTGTTCCAGGCCCTGTCCTAGGTACAGGGCTGTGGCGTGGACCAAGGGCCTGCCAGAGTAGCTCTTCCATCACAGAAGACCCCAGGTCAGGCACGGGAGCCTGTCGCTCTCCCGGCTGGAACACTATGGGGTAGACCTGGCAACTCTTGTCCCTGAGTAACAGTTACATACACACCCCACGAGGCAGGCACACCTGGAGAGCTTCTGGAAGAAGCCCTGCAGACCCAGAGGCAGGTAGGAATCTCCCATCATCCCCTTCTCTGTTTGCCACAGCCACATAACAGGGTAGTAAAGCCAGGAATAAACAGAGGCTGCCAAGCACTTGGCAGGATGAAGTGCTGGTGACATCGATGCAGACAATGACAAAGGTCATCTCTGATCAGAGAAGCAAGGGCGAGTTTCCCTGGCACTGCCATGTCAACCACCCCATTAATCTGGACAGGCAAGATGGTTGTTGCCTCATTGTCTCAGGAGCAATAAAATCTAAGAGACTGACGCTGGTCAAATGTCAGAGGGTCCAAATGATCACAAACTCATAAATGAATTTAAATGAGATTGATGGAGATTTCATTCCACACTCCTAGGTACTAAGGAAAAAAAGGGAAGAAATTAAATATACTTCAAGTACCTCCATTGCTAAAATTACCAGGGAGGAGGGGAAGGGAGCCATTTTTGAGTATTGACTGTGTGCTAGATGCTTCAGATATTCTTTCAAAGGAGTCTGAAGAGTCAGGTGCTATACTATTCCTTTACAGATAAAGAAAATTAGGATCAGAGAGGGTAAGTCATCTGCAAAGGTGGCACAGCTTGTATATAACAAAGTTAAACCCAGGTTGCTTTGATTCCAAAGTCAGTGGCTGACAGTTGTACAGACTCAAGCAGGGAACACCAATGTGTGACACACCAATGAGGGTTGTTGAAGGTATCATGAGGTGGAGAATTCCTAGGTGACTAGCCCACCTACACTTGTACAAATGTAATGGTTTATAATGAAACCAAATGATGGTTTGAATGAAACCAAAATAAAACTGGGGGACTCGATTCAACTTTTTAATCTCAGGGGTCACCTTAAATTAGCAGCAAAATGATGTGAGAGAAAAACCTGTCTAGTTGGGGACAAAAGATCAAATAGCTGGCCCCTTCTCCTCTAATTATGAACTGTGTAGACTTAAATACATTTCTTAACTTTTCAGGACTTTTCCTTGTTTGTAAAAAGGAAATCTCTTTGTCCAGATGCAAGAGGTGGAAGCTGATGACCCTTCAAGGTGCCCCTTAAATTTAAGATTGAGGAAATGGCTATTGGAACACTATGCATTGTATGACAATCACCACATGCTACCAAATTCCGGAAAATTCTACCCATCTCCATGAACGGACTTGATAGCCATTATCAAGAGCAGAAGTCACCATTTAACCTTCTACCACTACTTGACCCAAGACCCCCTTGCACATGAACACAGGCACATACACACACCACCCCTGCAAGAAACACAGCAGGAGAAGACTCAGGAAGGACAATGTCAGGGCCACCCACCTTCCAAACACCGGGTTCAGTTGTTTGGGGATGTATTTGTCGCGCTCTTTGATTTCTGTTTTGCCAAGTCTGAGCACGATGTAGGGGTCTGATTTGCCATCCGGATCAGCTGGGCTAAGATTGAACGCCTGGGGAGAAGAAAAGAGTGGTTTCAGAACTGGCTGCATTCAGGAGTCATAAATGCTTTATCCCAAATCCTGTCTCCAGACACTTGGATTTTATGGGACCTGGGCTTTGGGATTTTTAGAGCTCCCTAGGTGATTCTAGTGCACAGCCAGGGTGAAGAACCACTGCTTAGCATCTCCATCTTGCTGTCAAAGGGAAATTTATTGGCTTTGCCCAAGTTCAGCTTTCTCTGGTGGTGTCTCCCCAGCAGAAAGCAGTTCTTGGCACAGAATAATGAGGACCCTGCTGGACCAGGAGGCAGGAAGCCTGAGTGAAGTTCCAGTCCTAGTTCTGCTGACTGTGATCATGGGAAAGTTGTATTGTTTCTGAGATCTAAGCGTGAAGTCATGGGGTGGACCTGAAGGACCCTCCCAGCATGGGTCTCTGACCCGTGACCCCGTTAGTCCCACGTTCACAGTGGCCTGCAGGGAGTTCAGCTGTGTGTGATGGTGAAGTCTGACTCCAGACTCGCTGGCCTTTCAACTATCAAAATTGAATACTGTGCAGGGAGGGGCCCAGGGAGGGGCCGTGAGACAGAACATGAAACAGACGGGGCAGCTCCCCGCTGGGTGCAAGAGGAGCGAGATCCCCACGTTTAGGACTCGATCCCACTGACAGACAGGCAGAAGCCCATCAAGTTCTATGTCAAAGAAAGTCCCCTGGAGCAACTGCTTCATAGGCAAAAATTGTGACCAACCTTTACGCCAATTACCTGGGGAGAAGTACAATCCAAAATGGCAACCCCTTCTTTTCTTCTCCTCACATCACACAACTTTGATTCTCTACATAACAGTCACCTCTAACACTAACCCTGTTTATTTAGCTGTTCCTTTGTTTATTTTCCTGTCTTCCCAGGACCCAAGGGCACTGTCTTCTGTCTTATTAATTACTTCACTTTCAGGACATAGAATAGGGTCTTTTAATATTTACTGAATGAATGAATGAATGAAAGGATAATACATCCATTTAAGAAAACCCTATGCAGTTACTATAAAGAATGAAAACCTGTATTTACTGATCTTAAAAAAAAAAAATCCAAGATATCTTATTGGGTGAGCTCACCAACCCTCCCCGAAAAAATAGAGGTCAGGAAAAATTTTTTTCTTTATGCAATTTAAAGTAGTGCTTTAAAACTTCATTTAGTGTTTCATTAAATTAAAATATTTTAAAATTAATTTATTACTTAATTAGTTACATATTAGGATAAGAGAGGAAACCACACACGGTCACCACTACGGAAAAGGTCAGTGAAAACCGTAACTGCAGTGAATTTCTCCCTCCCTGCAACCCAGGGCCACCACCCTCTGACCCTCTGTTTATTGAAGTCCTCCTGTCCTCAAGTTCCACCCCAAGCCTGCCCTTCTTCATCCCGTCTCCTGGATGAGAATCTGACCTGCACTCCTGCCCTTGGTCCCGAGGGTACTGGACATGGAAACAGACTGCAATAGATATTACAGAATGACTAAATGAAGAAGAGGGCAAATGCTTCTCCAATCTCTGTGTTTATTAAAATTTCTCCCTCTCTTTCCTACTGTCATACTCTCATAATTCTGGATTTTCCAAATAGCATCCCCCGAAACCTTAGTTCTCTAGGCTTTTCTGTAGAAGAAAAAAAAAAATGTGTGGAGCTAATGGTGTTCAAGATTCATCAGTTAAGTAGGTCTCTTTGCTTCTGGAATTCTCAGCGCCTTGAAAGTGCCAATGAGCTTTGTGAATCTCAGGAACTGGAGAAGGGAAATGAATCATTGGATGCACTGTTGCTCAAATTTACTTGAACACACTGTCTGTTTCTCGAAGGATGTATATTAATTATCTCCCAGGACAGGAATAACTTCCTGAATGCAATTTTGAAAAGGCTGGTCTAGAACCCTCCTGTGGGTGGGTGTCAAACAGAGACTATAGGGCATTGTCAGTGTAAGTACTTCTAATCTCTCCAGGTAGCTGGGACTATCTTAAGGGAGGTGACCTTGTTCTCTTCCTAACAACTCCCTGGCACACAGTGGATGTTTGGATGATAACAGAAACCTGAGAACCCCATGATTAGAGAACAGCTGGTTCTCCCTCAAATTAAAGAATAGCCCATTTTTATTTTATGCTTCATTTATGCTTCTTTAAAAGGAGATAGGTCAGGTAAGCAAAGTTGACATAAAATATGACTACTGCAATCAAATACAATTATGAAAATCAAGTTCAAGGTCAGAAGACAAGAACAATCCATGAACTGTAAGGGTCCATACAATTACTTTGATGGTGCAAAGCAAGTGTGTGCTATTTGGCTCCCAAAGTCCTGCCAATCAGGCCAAAAAAATTCATAATTGAAGTTTTGTGCTATTATTATCAGAAAGGGGGAGACCCAGCAGAGACAATATTTTTCTTGGAAATGTACTCAAAAGGAAATTTCTGGCTGCTAGGTGTAGAAGCCATTGGAAGAGTTCCACAGTACAGCCCATGAGCTCCCTGCTTCAGCCAGGAGAAGTCCATTATACTGACCCAACTTCACACCCCGTTAGAGACTGACTTCTGTGCCCCCTAAAGGTATATGTTGAAGCCCTATGCCCAGTATGACTGTTTGGAGACAGGGCTTTTGGCAGGTAATTAATGTCAAATGGGGTCATAAAGCCTCATCTGATAAGGTCTGTGGCCCTATAATAAGGGGAGGAGATTCCAGAGCTCTCTGTCCCTACATATCAGCAACAGAGGCCCCACAGAAACCAACGCTGGGAGCACCTTGACCCTGGACTTGTGGCCTCCAGAACCATGAAACACATTTCTATAGTCAAAGCCACCCCCATTGTGGTTTTTGTCATGGTAACTCCTGCAGACTACTACCCCACCACCCAGAGCCAACACATGGCTCACCGCGACAATGTACACCCTGATCAGGACTTGGACAGGGTGGTTGAGTGGGATCCCTTGCTGGATTCTTAGCTGCCCATTGTCCTCAGAGCCAGAATCCTCGGGGCATTTGTAGATGCAGAAGGAGCCCTGGAGTCACAAAACACAAGGAATTGAAACAAGAAGGTCAGCATCACCACCAAAAGTCACAAAGCCTAGTGCTAGCTAGATGGGCACCGCCTGGAAATCGGGAGGACCTGGGTTAGTGCTGCCCTTGCCAGGGGATGTCCTCAGGCCATTCCTGTGAGCTTCTGGCATCTGAGCATCTTCGTGGGACACTGATGGGTTGGGGTTGGTACATTAACACCCTCATCACAGGACCACTATGTAAGGAACACAGCAAATGGGACCTCGGGTGTCTTTCACCTGCTTATACTTCCCAATCTCATTCCATCCCATTGCAGTACTCCTGTTTCCAGATGAGGCCTCTGAGGCTCAGGAATAGGGCACACCTTACTCCAGGCCACACCACTTATTAGGATTAAAATTGAGACTAGCAAAGTGCAACACCTATGCTATCCCAGCACAGCACGCTGTGTATCAAAGGCCCTGCATGCAGTAGGTGTATAGCAAATGCTAGCTGCAACTTTATACTGCGGATATCATAAGCCTACTAGATGGTCATGAATCGTTTGATTAGTTTAGTTGTCCAGCTGGCAGGCTTGTATAAATCATATACATAGTGTGTTGGTGAAGGCCAAGTGAAGTCCAGTGGTCCTTTTAGGTAACAACTGTCTCCTCAAAGTCCTCAGACTAAGCTCCACCCCACCGGCTACAAACCAAAATATCTCCAAAGACTGGAGCTGAATCTTGTGGCATTCTAGAGTAGAGATTAAAGATTGTCCTTAAACACATCACCCACCACAATCCCATTACCAGAGTTGAGTCACAGATGACATTTATGGGCAGGGTTAGCCAAATAATGGGGTGAACAGGGGAACCTGCCTTAAACTTCCCTATGACTCTGTCTCCATCCAGACCATGGTCATCTTCAGTAGATTTGCCTCTGAAGAGCTCAAAGGTTTTCACCCAGTCTTCAAAATTGTTGAATTCACTCTCGAGATCACCCTCGTATATCTTCAGGGAAAAAGGAGAAGATTAGGCTAAGCAGAAAGGAGCCACAGGATTGACTTAATGAGAAAAGCTCAGATTCTCTGAAATACATGCTTCTTGGGAAAATGTAAGATGCCATGGTTAGCTTATCTTTCTTTCTGTTTCCTGGTTTGTTTGTGGTACCAGGAATTGAACCCAAGGCCTTGCACATGCTAGCAAAGCACTTTACCTGAGCTATGTCCCCAGCCATCCCCCACCAACTTTTAAAAAATTTTTGAGGCAGGATCTCACTAAGTTGCCCAGGCAAGCCAAGACTGTGATCCTCCTGCCTCAGCCTCCTCAGTAGCTGGGACTAAGATGTGTGCCACCACACGGGGCTTATCTTAAATAAGACAACAATCATGGTTTGGTTCAGCATTCCAGGAACTACTATTCTGAACTTTAGAAAACCTTTCTGGTAAACTTTTAAGTCCAAAAGAAGTATAGCTAAACCAAACAAAATTTTAAAATATAGAGGTATAAATATGACAAACCATAGTTAATTGATGTCATTTGTTGCTAGATACAAACTTTAGAACTTCTAAGGAAATTCAAATCAATGCTGTTCATTAGTTCTTAACACACATAAAGTGATGGAATATTTGTTATTATTAAAATGCATATAGACATGACTTTTCCAAGTGGTAAGTGTACTTTAGAAATGCAAACTAGAATTGAGCTTTAGGTTTGGTAATGAAATTATTTATTCAAATTTCCTAACAAAATTATGTACCCAAATTGGTAGTCTATATACAGAACTTTCGTACTCCAAATTTTCATATCCATAAATATGGCTCTAATAGTTTCTGAAGGATGTCAAGATCGGCCTGATGGACTTCACTTTATTGGAGTTAAAACTCCTGCTTTTCTAAGTGCGTACACATCTGCATGGTGATGTCAAGTCCACGAGGTGAGCCAAGGGCTCACACATTGTAAAATACTTTGCCAAGTCCAAGTTTAACAATGTAAGTTATGCCCCCTCCCAATATATAGGGAAGTAGAAAAAAATAAAATGAATGAGCTCCATTGTCTTGGCTTACATACTTAAGGTTTATTTCTTTGCACCAGTGATTTCAAGGAACACCAAGTAAATTAGTTCAAGCAAAGGTATCACTAGGATTTACCAAAGCACGAAGGGAGCCCCCCTGCTGAGCACCTCACCCCACCCAAGTAGAGACGCTGTGTGCCCTTCAAGACATACCTTCAAGACAGCCAGGTTAGGGATTGTGTCATCTTTGGGTTTCTTCTTGAGCAGCTTGTCCTTCTTCTTCTTTGGGCTATCTTCTATATCAACCACTACTTCATCTGGTTTTGCTCCTGTGGATATTCAGGAGAGACTGCTGGATTTCTCATGGAAGTTGAGATAAGAAAGAACACAGACAAGTTCCTTCTTTCCCTTTGCTCTGGTACCTGTCATAGGTTTTAACTCTTCTTTTAAAAAACATAGAAACATTGGGGCGGGGGGGAGCTGGGGTTGTGGCTCAGCGGTAGAGTTCTCGCCTCGCACATGCAAGGCCCTGGGTTCGATCCTCAGCATCACATAAAAATAAAGAAATAAGTAAATAAAATAAAATTATTTTTTAAAAAACCTTAGCAACATTTTGCTGCAGGATTGCTATATACAGCCCCGCAGCCTGTGTACCACATGGCAGCGGATCCCCAGAGGCCAGGCAATGTGATAACTGGTCCAAGTATGTATAGTAACTCATTAAATTATGCACGGAGAGGTCAGATTATTTGCCCATTCACCCAATGAGCAAGGAACAGACCCAGGATTTAGATCAATTTGAAAGCTTTTAGTTACACTTCCTCTTTTTTAATATTCATTTTTTAGTTGTAGTTGTACAGAATACCTTTATTTTACTTATTTATTTTTATGTGGTGCTGAGGATCGAACCCAGGGCCCCACACATGCTAGGCTAGTGCTCTACCGCTGAGCCGCAACCCCAGCCCAACTTCCTCTTGAATGTCTTTAGGTACTTGAGATTCATCCAGCTCAACGGGACTCAAATATGTTAAGTGTCTTACACAATATGATGTTAGTGGAATTACTCAGTAACTTTTTAGCAACAGACCCAGGAAAAAACTGTGAGGGATGGACTTCTAGATCTGCTATTTTCTAGCTGTGTAATCTTGGACAAGTTCCTTGATTTCTTTGTACCTCTGTTTCGTCATCTGCAAGATGAAGATGTTATTGTCTACGCACAGGGTTGGCCAGGGAATCACATGTGCTAATTAGTACTGGTCTGAGGATTTGAGTGACCCTGGGCCTCCTCCATCTGTCAGTGTCACCTGAAAAGCCTTGGCTATTTGTTATTACTGTTACATTTAGGCTGTGACCTGCCGTGGGCTTCAGTTGAGTTTGTGGTCATTTCTAATCCCAGGCTTCTTTCACTTGGGTTTCTGCCAAACCAGATCTATCCAATCCTTATAAACTGAGTTTTGGAAATGAGCATTCTGGTGCCAAACAAAATTCAGAGACCTGGGAGCTCTGTCTAGTTCGAATACCTATAAGACCTTTATAAAGCACCGTCATCCTCCTGATATTGCTTTCTCACTTGGGGATACTGCTGAGTTCTAATATACCTCTCAATGACCCTTGTCGATGTCCAAGAATCCCCAGAACAGCCTCTTACCTGTATTGCCTTTTGTCTCCTTGGGATTGCTCTCCTTTGCCTTAGAAAAAGAGAGACAAGACAATTGACGCTGTCGTGCCTAATTTACCAGTCCTGCTGCTAACAGCTCTAATCCAATTATCCCAACTCTCTGCACTCAGAGATGCCATTTTAAAAGAGAATTCAAACAGTCCCCCAGATGTCCCTGGAGTGAAGCTTCACTGGATCAACATGAGACCCAACTGCAGTGGGATATTCTGCCCAAGAGAAGAATGTCCACACACCCAACAAACATGCCACCAAGCTGTATGTCTCCTTGTCCTCTCTGGGCAGCCTCCTCTTGGCCACAGGGTAGACTCTCTCCCCACTATTCTTACATTCCCCTGGCGCATCTCACCAGTCTGTGCTGAGAGTTTTACTGGCTGGCATGTGGGGTCCTTGGTCCCACATGGACTGGGGAGGGGATCAGGGAAAAGGGAAGGGGCTAAGCACACATGGGAAGTGGTCGCTTCCATCAGAGCAGAAGGAGGGAGGTTTAGATGCAGAGACTGGTGTTTGGTTTGTTATTTTACTATATATCAATATGTGTGAATTGTCCTAGATGAAACTATAGACTTTAAACTAAAGAATCAGAAGAGTCTCTATTCAACTAAATATAATCATAACTGACTACCTTTCATTTCCTTTTTTTTTTCTAGAAGTCTTACTAAATTCCGTCAGTGAGCCTTTGCCTAACTCTCCAGACACTCCCCCCACCCCGCCCTGTGATCCTCCAGCTTTATGGCTTGTTCCTTGTTCAGTTCCAGGTACACGAGGCTCTGCTCTTGCTCTGGCAATACCCCTGGTTCTTGCCTTTTGCTAAGACCCAGACCCACCTTTACTTTGATAATTTCCCATATAAACAGAGAATCCTGCTGAAGACCTGAGACCATCTGGCCTGGGTATCTCCTGGTGCACACGAAGCCTCTATCACTGATATCCACCAAGCAAGACTCCACTTCTCCTTGCTGGACCCCCTGATCTCACTGGGAGGAAGCTCCTCCAGGTGCCAGGCTGGCCTGGACATCCTTCCAGCAATGACAACAGAGCTGTGCCTGCGCCATCCCCACCCTCAGGGTGGAGGTTTATCATTCTAGATCCTTGGCCCTTCTAGAATTCTTTTTTAACCTTTTGCAGTTAACAAAACCACACCTGAGTAGGATCTACACCTAGTGAGATTTAAGAAGAGGGCTGTGGGATTTGAAGTGGGAGAAGGTGCCGTGGGTTCTCTTCAGGCCCTGGAATGTCACAGGCAGGGGACTCTACCTTCTGTGCTTTCTTCAGGGAAGCATAGTACTTGGACCACCAGTCAATGACATTTTCAGCAGATTCATCTGCGATGGTCCTCTTTTTCCTTTTGGTGGATCTCCGGGCAGGCTTCTTGGCATCCTGCCAAGGAATAAGGGTCGGGTCATTAGTTGGGCCTTGTCTTGTGGCATACTAGTGGCCGAAAGCTTAACTGAGGAAGAGAACAGATGTACCCGTTGGGTTTATGGTAGCAGCTCTCTATCATGCTGATAAATGAAAATCTAATAAACTATTGATAATAAATAATGGATCAATTATAAACTATTGAGATACTGTACTTGATACTGGGGATATATGGGGACTGAACTCAGTCTGACATTTGGGAAGCTTAGAGTTCAGTGGAGGAGAGAGGCAAGTGTCAAATCAGCAGACCACAGGACACAGCATGGCACAGAGCAAAGGGCACTATCTTCAGAGAGACCTGGGTTGCAATTCATTAAGCAGCTAATACCAGTGCTGTGATTCTCAGATTCCTCAATGATAGGCAGAGACCAGGGACCATAATACCTGCCTACTTCACTGTTATGAGGATTAGGTGATGTCACCTAGGCAATTCTCTATTAGCTTCATTTCTTTCAACAGGTATAAATAAATGACATCTGTCACATAAGTGATGGGGTGAGGGGGTGCAGTGATATACACATGGCAGAAAGAGGCATTTTGGGGAGAAGAGAGTCATGGCACTGGAGGCAGCCTATGCAAGACTATCACACATCTGGCATGCCTGCACTCTCCCCAATAATTCTCTTTTTTTAAGCAAATGTAACACCACTTTTCATGTTTCTGATTGCACATGATATAGAGTCACACCATTCATGCAATCATACCCATGCATAGGGGTTATAATGTCCATCTCATTCTCCCATCCACCCCACACAAACACCCTCCCCTCTCCTCCCCTCCCTCTCCTCTGCTCAAACCAAAGTTCCTCCATTCTTCATCCCCACTACCACCCTCCATGGATGAACATCTCTTGAGCACCATTTGTTTGCCAGGCACTCTCTCAAGGGATGGGATAAAAGAAATGTGATGTTATAAAATCATCTCTTTCCGGATTTAGAGTTTTATGGTGTCAACAAACACTGGGACCAAGCACACCAACCTAAACTAATGGGTGCCATTTGAGGGTGATGCAGAGAACCCCAGTGAGGGGTCACAAATGGTATCTGAGGATGGATGAGATAGATGGGCACAGCCTGAGCATGAGTCACGATTCCGTCTTACTATTCTTTTTATTTCAACCTTTATTATTCATGGGGCAGGCCGTTTCTTAGGACTTTCTTAAAATGGTCTTGGACTTTGTACTCAAATTTATAACTTAGAAAGATCAACTCTGTCCTTGGCTGTGGTTCTTTGTGTACTTTTCCATCTTCCCTTCCTGAATCTCATTTAAGTGAGGATGAGAAGTCTTACTCCTCTGTAGAATCAAAAGGTCCATCTTTTTGTTCCCATATGACCATGTACAAAGTAGGCTCTGAATACTTGCGTACTAGTCCTGGAAAAAGAATCCATTGTCTTTTCAAGCTAATAAATTTAGAGGAGTTTGTTTTCAATTAATTATTATCGCCACATAATTTCATATACATTGACTTTCTGATTCTACAAGAATGCTCTTGTAGAATGGGTATCAATATCAATATTAGTGGGAAACTAATACTCAGAAAAAGCAGGTTGCTGGCTCAAGGCTGTACTGCTAGTTGTCAGAAAGATTAGCACATAGATCCTCCAATGCAAATTCCAGTGGGCCCTGTAAACATGAGGAAGGAGCACTCCCTGACCTTAACGTTTCCATCTTTTGGTGCCTCCTGGGCTGCCGGTGTGGGTTCAGGCCCCAGCATAGGGGAGGAGTCAGGTATGTCCACCAAGACAGCTGGCTGAACCTGGGCAGAGTCCGGAACCACCGTGGGAGGCGGATCAACATCCACATAGATGTGATCTGTTGGAGGGTCCTGGGAGGACTCATGGAGTCCCGGAGATTCCGTCACCACCAGTGAATCTGAAATTGCTGGGGCAAAAGCACACGCAGTCAGAGAACAGGGCTGCAACAGAGGTGGTCACGTCAGACATCTGATATTAGGAATCAGACCTGGACTCAAATACGACAAGTGTTACATTTCTGAACCACTTTTCCTTACTTAAAAAATGACAATAAAAGTACTCATTTCACTGGGGGATAAAATGGACGTCCTGATGTAAGGCATCTGGTGCATAATAGGTAGTCAAGAAGTGGTTGCATTTGTTGTTGATCCCTTGGGGACATGTCAATCTATCATGGCCACTGGAATATAAAAATCAAGGCTCAGGGCCATGTGCTCAGTGTTGGTCGTGTCTCTCCAGTGTATTAACACAGGAAGCTTTTGGAAGGTCCACAGCTCAGCTTACTCCTCAATACAGGCAGAACTCTGAGCACTCGAATGCCCTGCTTGGCAGGGAGCAGAGGTAGGTCCTTGGACCTTATGAGATTCTTCACTGGCCCTTGATACCATTAAAGAATCATAATGGGGTCATTGGCTTCTAAATAGCCCCTTCTCTGCATTTTTGCTGTAGAATTCCATGCTTAGGAACAGTTCTCAGTTGGGAGCCTCCATGGCTGTCAAGGCCTCCAGAGAGTCTCCTCCTCCAGTTGCTGAATTTTCAGCAGCAAATTTAATCCAATGAATCTTACAGGTATCTACTCTGCTGGACACAGAGACAGAAATCAGCAGGACAGAGTAGAAAACTGAGAATGAGATGGGCAACTTGGCTTATGAGAGAGAAGTAAAACCAACGGGGAAAGGACTGACTGGTCAGCAGGCCTTGGGGTGGGGATGGTCACTCCAGGGAGAAAGACTAGCTGCATCCCTCCTAAAATGAGGTACCAATGCAGATTGACAATGTAAGTGCTAAAACCACAAAGCCAACCGCAGAAAATTTAAGATCTTTGGAACCAAGGGGAGAACAAGAGTTTTTAAAACCAGATTCTGAAGTACAAATCATATAATTTAAAACATGGTTGGATCTAACTACATCAAAATTAAGGATTTCTGCTCAAAGATGAGGACTGTAGGTACATTTAATCATTATCTTTCTAGGAAAAGATATGAGCAATAGCTACTGGCATCAAGAACAAAGAACCTGTGAATCAAAAAGAAAATTAAAGGAAGCACATCAGACACAAACAAAGGACACGGGCAGACGAATCACAGAAGGGGGATTGAGACAGCAGGAAGGATATTAGAGGTGCGCAGTAGTAATCAGATAAGCCCACACTGAAATAACCACAAGACACTATTTTATATCCACAGGATAGCAAAAACAAAATCCAACCCACGTCAAAATAAAACCTCAAAAAGGTGAATCACAGGAGGTATGCTGAGGAGGGGGAAGTGGGGCTGCAGGGGAGAGATGGTAGAAGCATAGACTGGTTACTTAGTTCAGCACCATCCTCCAGAGCACCCCCTGTATGTACTTAATGAAATGACATGTGCATGTTCCCTGTGACCCAGCAACTCACTCCTAGGCATACATTCCAGAGAAATTCCCATATAGCATCTTCCGTCACCAACACAAGGATTCATCAAGATGCAGTTTGTGAAAGTGGGGAGTGGCAGGCAGCTAAGGGTCCAACACAAAGGGACAGGAAGAGCAAACTACAATAGAGGAAACAGGTGGTTGTAGTGAACTACTGCACACACAGCACCATGGATAGACCCAAAAACATAGTGTCGAGTGAAAAGAATAGGAAACCAAAAGACGATTATAGTACCATATAATTTATGTAGGTTAAATATGTTTTAATTTTATAAGAATGTCATTGTGGGGCATACCGTAGGGAGGGAATAGGAAACAGAGACAGAAATAGGAATCAGGAGAGGGATTAAGACAGCCTTCAGCTGGTCACGCAGTTTGCCAAACTCAGACTGGAGCACTGTCTTCCAAAGCCAGGGAATAAGTACCAGAAAATATGAGCATGTCTTGCTCACATGGAAGATAAAGACAGAGAAGCCCTGAAGGGATCAATAATAACAATAAGGCATGGAGTTGAGAAGGGCAAGATTTCAACTTGGAGCACCTGAGATCCAAAATGGAACAAACCAAAATGACGTCAAGCACAAAGCCAAAAGAAGTGCCAACAGAGTGGAGAAAGAAGGAGCTTGTCATACTCAAAGATGCCTTCTGAGAGGAGTCACCCTGATGTGAGTCTTAACGCAAGAGTTTCACAGCTGAAAGAGGCAGAGGAGACTGCAGGAGCAAGTGTGTCAGAAAGATCCACCCAGCCATCTGACTGTGAGCCAGGTCCCCAGCAGCCAGCCTGCAGGCACATGGCTCTAGAGTCCCAGATCCAGAGTGCAGGAGGAGCCTCCTACCTTGCTCACCTTGGGCTCCATCCACCTGTGAGATCAGGGCAGGAGGCTCTCTGGATTTACACAAAAACTGCTTCAAGCAGTTGATGGTGTAGGTGCCCACAAGGGTGCTCCTCCCGAAGGCTCTCCAGTCCACCACGCAGATGCTCAGTGGCGGGTGCAGAAGTTCATTCTCAGGCAGCTCCTGCAGGAGAAGTGGGTGTAGCAGGCCACACTGCCTTGGCCAGGCCTGGATGATCACACTTGCTAACCTGTCTGCGGGCAGGCCCAGGGCCAGCTCACTGTCCACCCTCTCCCTTGCTGTTGCCTTGCTCTTCTGTCCTTCAGCCGGCTATGCAGTTTGCCAAAACACTGGAGCACTGTCTTCCAAAGCCAGGGAATAAGTACCAGAAAATATGAGCATGTCTTGCTCACAGTTCATCCCAGGTTTAAACTGTAAACACCTCTGCTTCTGTATTCTCTAGAGCAGCGTTTTCAATGCTCTTATGTTGCCATTACTGGCCAGTGGAAGTCTCCCCTCAAATGACAGACTACTCAGCCCCAATATGTCAGATGAGAGTCAAGCCATTTAAGGAAGAATGAGGGTGTGGGGACAGTGCCCTGTACAGTTGTTTCCCTGGTGGCCCGTGAGGCTTAGTGAAGGCCACGTGAAAAGTTTGCAAACAATGTGCACGGTCCTCAACTGTAGTCTTCCCTAAGTTATCATCATGTGTCCCATGGTGCTGATGGGGTGGGACACAGCAAACTCACTCCTTTTAGTTAGTTCCAAATCAGAACACAAAAGTATATTGAAATAAATAAAGTGCAGGTCTCCACGCACATCACTTTAGAAGCATAAGTGTACGTGCAAACTACCGACATTCTAAGAACAAATAATGTTTGTTTTTTTAATTGAGCCATTAAAATAAGTTTTGATGGACTGGTGGTTCTAAGACTGTCACGTGTGTTGGGTCCACCTGGAGGGCTTGTTTAACCAGAGACGCTGGGCCCCACCCTCACCAGCTTCCAGTTCAGGTACTGGGAGAGGGTCTGAGAATGTGCTGGAACTGCGCATTCCCAGGTGATGTTGCTGGGCATGAACTGGGGCCAAACTTCAGGAACCACTATTCTCAGCAAAAGTGTTTCAACCCGTTTTGATTTACTGTGTGATCTATACCCCAAAACGTCAAAAACAACAATCGCAAACGTCTACTTTCTTATTCTGAAATTCTGGCTTTTTGCAATTAGACTGCTCCTTCTTTTAGGCAATGGACACCCGCAACCGCGAGATTTCTTCCCTAGCCAAGCAGAGGAAGGGGTGGGGTGCAGCGGCTGAGGTGTGGCGTGGGCGGGGCCATGGGTGGGGCAGCAGAAGGGACGCACCACTTCGAAGGCATCTGCCTGGACGCTGAAGTTGGGGTTGTTCTTGTAGCTCTGGATCACGCAGGACTTCACTCCCCGTCCCCCACACTCGATGAGGACCTGCGGCCGGTCCACGGACAGAAGCTGCACCTTCTTCATTTCACGGACTCCCCAGAAGAGCACCTGAGGAGAGGACCCCAGAGCCGTCACCCACAGTCCCAGGGACCCACGTGAATACCCTGGAGATGGTGGGAGTGTGCCCTGACCCCCAGAACCACAGCGTGCTTCCAGGCCTGAACTCCGTCTGGTGCAAGCCCGATGGGGGCTGCCCGGGGTCAACCATCCACCCACACTGCCCCTCTCACAGTGTAGACAGGACCACTGCCAAGTCCAGGGTCCTGAGTCCTACCTCCACACGGTATTTACTCAGCACTGGCCGAATGTTGGCAGGAACTGGGTAGATCTGGGAGAAGTCTGGTGGGTCGATGGGAGGAAGCCCTTGAAGCCCAGTGGGGGGGACCTGCCACACAAAATAGGGGCAGATGAGAGGGCTGGAGAGGAGCGAGGAAGATGGACAGAGCCATGTGATCCCTGCCTCTGTAAAACATGGCAGTTTTGTCAACTTGAAATGCAACAAGGACCATGCAGTTTACCAACTTTATCTATTCATTGACAAATGCATTACTTCCAAGGTGGCACTCAGTGTGTGTTGCAGGTTGATAAGATGTAGCCTTCAGGAAGCCCCTCGGCACAGAGGGAGAAAAGCAAGACAAAGAGGAAGACCCTCACAACTTGATGAAATTCCACAGGAACTACAGCCGTGAAATGGAGAAAGAAATTCGTTTTTATTCTGAAACTATGAGTCCTGCCTATTCCCCCCACTCTAGATTGTCAAGACCTCAGAAAAGGGGTAATGCACCACTACAAAGAGATTCAGATTTGATGAAACAGCAACTACTTCTTAATCAGTGAGCTGAACACGATGTTTTTTGAAGGTAGAACTCAGGAGGAAGACGTGTCATTTCTTCTGCCCTTGGGGTTACACAGGAAGACAACTGTATTGACATCTCCCACAAAAAGACTGGAGGATGTCACTAAGGACAGGGTCTTTCTCCTGAATGGGCCACCCTACACTGCCTTCAAGACCTGCTTACCACACACATCTTTCAATCTTTCCTGACTTGTTCCCAGCTCCTGTGGTCATTTTCCTGCCCTTGCATTCTTTGAATGCAGAGTACCCTCCATATAGGTTTAGTGTAGAAATTAGAGGACTGAGTCTGGAAATCAAACTCTACTGTGTGACCTTGCACAAGTTACTTTTTCTCTTTGAGCCTCAGATGATCTATTACCCCCTCAGGAATCAAACGTTCCATTAAACTTTGCCTTGGAGCCAGTGTTTCACCTCACTGGGATGCTTTGCCTGAACAACCTACAGGATTTGTTTACTTCTTCTCATTCTCAAAGCTCCTCAAGTGGTGCTCCATATACAGTACGTTCTTGATAAATGTTTAATGGCCAACTGACACATCAGCTCCGTATGCTAGAAAGAGCTTGATTGCTCATCAAAACCTGCGAAGCACAAACACAGCCCCGTTCCTTTTTCAGACATATTCTAGTTGGCAACGACAGATGTGGTTAAGCTAATTAGAAGAAAGCTCAGAAAAAAAAAAGCAGATTCTGCAAAAAGCCAAATAGGCCCAAGATAACTAGGCTGCAGAAGGATCCAGATAAAGGAGCTGGCACGAGGAGGAGGATGAATTACTCAGCATTGCCTGGCACACCTGAGTGGGCAGCGTGGCGGGCAGCGTGGCTGCAGAAACCACCTCACTGGGGAAGCTAATTGTTTCTGGCTCCAACCATAAAAACCACAAAATAGCCAAGATGGTGACGTGGGAGAAGCTGCCTCTGGGTAAGCGTTTTATTAGATTTTCATTTTAATTGACACATAAAAATTGCACATATTTATGGGGTACAGTGTGACATTTTGATACGTATATACAAAGGGTAAATGATCAGATCAAGGTAATTGGCACATCTACCACCTGAGATGAATATGTGGGAACATTCAAAATCCTGTCTCCTAGCTATTTTGAAATAACTCACCATTGTCAGTCTTGGTTGTTGCACTGGGCTGTGGGGCATTAACCATCCTGTCTCCATCCCTCCCTCCACACCTGCACCCTTCCCAGGCTCTGCTGGCGCTACTAATGTGCCTCCTAAAGACCTCATGCTTCCTCGTCCTGGGAGTGCTGACATGGCAGCATGGGCAGTGCCCTAAAGAAGCTTCAGCCCAGCACTCTCAGGACCTACAGCAAGGTGGGGACCGAATGAATTTGCCAACAGCTAAGATCAAGCTTCACAGTGAAATGGGCCTGTGGCTGGCTGGCCTACAAAGCCACATGCTCTGCAGCTGTTCAGCACGCAGCGCCAGGGAAAACAGAGGACCTCCAGGAAAGTGAAATACGAACAGTTGGGGTGAGCAGAATGGGGTGACCAGCCTGCTCCAATGTCCCAATGGAGATAAAACCTGGGGACTTAAAAGGAGGTCCAGCTACAGGGTGGACAAGGGGGCGGCAGGTGAGATATCAGATGCAAAATTTAAGGAGGAGCCCACGAACAGAGCCAGGCTTGACCCCAGCCCCAGCCCCGCCCTGCCCATCTGAAACTGGTGCTCAGAAGACTTTCTCCTCTCTGTCTCCCTCAGCCCATCATCTGTCCTTCCATTTCATCCACGTTGAGGGCAGTGGTGAGGGACCAAGGGTGGGGCTCCCTCACTTGTTCACTGGGTGAACTTGAACACGTTACTAAGTATCTCTAACTCCCAGTTTTATCATTCATAATATGAAGGTAGTAATGTCGACCTCACAGAGTTGCTGAGAAGAACTGCTGAGACAGCATGCAAGGTACTTAGCACACTTTCTGGCACACCGAAGTTCTCTTGGAGTAAGGGTAAACTGGAAATCCACTGATTTTTGCAGATATTGAAGCTCAGCTTCAAATCATCTTAATTACAGATGATCTAAGATTGCTAGTGGTTTCAAAATACTTCAGTGAGGGCCCAAATTTTCCCTGAATATTGATATATGCAATATCTAGCATGTGATAAAGTATAGCTGCTGGCGCTACTAACATGCAATATTTAGTATATAGTGTATATACTATATATATAGTTTATAGTAACTACAGTATTTTATAGTATAGTAACTACAATATTTTTCTTACAGTGATTAAAATCCAAGAGAAACAGCAACCAAAGAAACAGACCTTAGAGGATTTAGATAATGTGGTAATCACACACGAACTCTAAAATAACAATGCTTAATCCGCTCAACAGGAGGTTAAGAATTTTTTTCTCTGTTTGTATGTGGTGCTGAGGATCGAACCCTGGCCGCACGCACGCCAGGCAAGCGCGCTACCGCTTGAGCCACATCCCCAGCCCCATGTAAAAATGTGGATGTGTAACCGACGTGATTCTGCAATCTGTATTTGGGGTAAAATTGGGAGTTCAAAACCCACTTGAATCAAATGTATGAAATATGATATGTCAAGAGCTTTGTAATGTTTTGAACAACCAATAAAAAATAAATAAATAAATAAATACAAAATTAAAAAAAAAAGAATTTTTTTCTCTTGTCTTTTTTTCCTAGCAGGGCCTACAACCCAAGGTTCACTCATGCTAGGCAAGCACTCTACCATTGAGCTACAGCCCCAGCCCAGGAATTTCAAGAGGAGACTAAAATCTATAGTAAAAAGGAAGAAAAAGGAAATTTTATGATAAAAATACGCTGACTGGAAAAAAGAAATTAATGAATGGGTAAAAAAAAAAGATCAAATGCAGAGAAAGCAGAGAAAATGAACTGGAAGACAGATCATTATGGTGGCTAGAATAAAGCTCAGAGATAAAAGGGTAAATAACACATAAAAGAATGAGAGACGTAGAGCATAAATTAAAAGTTCCGGTGTACACGTAATTGGAATCACAGGGGAGGGGACAGAGGAGAGGCAAGGACTCGAGGGAGGAGGATGGAGCAGAAGCAGTATTTGAAGATATAATGACTGATAATTTTCCAAAACTAATTAGAAACATCGAACCATAGTTTCAGAAGCTCTAAAAAACCAGGGTGGAGACAAAGAAATTTCCACTTTAACGCCACACAGTAAAACTGCTGAAAACCAAACATACAGGAAAATACCTTAAAAATAATCAGAGAAGAGAAAAAAAAAAAACTACTTTTTAAGGAGCAATAATAAGAGCAATACCCAACTTTTCAACAGAGAAAGAGAAGCCCAAGAAGTGGAAAGATACCTTCGGAAGGCAGCAAAAAAAAAATAAATAAAGACTCCAGAGGAAATTTACCCGACCCAAGTTCAAATAACAAGTTTGTGGCAAAGCCAGAAACAGCCTACACATCTACACTGAGGTCACGCAGAAGCAGGTGATGCAGCCCGGGCAAGAGCTAGGGCAACCCTTGCTCTCCTGCTGGCCTGCTGGCCACAGAAGAGGCCACGTGGGGCCCTGATCAAGTTGATGGCTTGAGACCTCTTCAGGGCCTGAGTGGGGCCTCCGCTGGAAGGTCTTATGAAATATGAGGATCAGCGCACGAGTGGTGTCTGTAAAGCCAAGACTGGTAAATCATTCACTCATTAATAACTGCACCTTTAAAACAGGAAGGTCACACAGAGGCCATCCGAAGAGTGAGAGTTTGTGTTGTGAGATCAGGACTCAGGAGTGTTGTGGGGTCAAGAGGTGTGGCGTCAAGAGGCCACGTGGTGTGTACAGTAAGAAATGTGGAATTGATGGATTTAATCTGGTACATAGAAGAAGCAAGCTACTAAACTCTTCCGTGTCAGGGAAGTGCTTCAGCAGTGGAGATGCAGAGGCTCAAGGAAGCCATCCACAGAAGAAACTGAGCATGGCTGGTGACAGACGAAGGAATTTCCAGTCCCCATCCTCTCCACTTGTATGAGATCTGCATGTTAAGATAGCACTGATGATCAAATTACTTACTGAACAAGCGATGAAATGAGAATTTCTAATGAAGCCCTAATGAATTGTATCTCTTAAGCTTCTTACCTCGGAGGATGCTTCCTCTATTAAGCCAGCTGTCAGGAAGCAGCAGGGGCTCTCAACAGTGACCCAGCTCAGCACTGAGGGAGAAGGGGAGGTGGGACCATGGGACAGAGGGCTGAGCCTCGGAAGGCCTTGGTGATCAACTTGCCCAGCCCCTCATTGACAGTCAAGGGGACTCAAGCCCAGAGCACTTACAAAGGCAGCTTCGTGCTTCTGAGACAGTTGCCTGACTCCAAGTCTGCTAACCTTGAGCCTTAGCTTTCTCTCCTGCCAGGTAGGAGTGTTGGACTAGATCTAGTGTTCCTGAGTCAGCCATTCCTCCAACTTCTTTACCACCTGCACCATTATCCAGATACCATTTTTTTTTTATTGGACACATCTTCGTTTTTAAAAAGGAAACACCATGTTGCTCAGTAAAAACTAGTGCCCCTTGCCCTACATGGAAAGTCACCCTGGATCAGCTGGTTTCAAAAGTTGCCTTGGGTTCTGACCGTCCACACCTCTGTGCAACACACGTCTGTCTGGCTTCCTCTGGTTCGACTGGAATCACTTGTTTTATCAGCCTGGAATCCCAGAACCTACTATTTGTAGATTGTAGAATTTTCTAGTCTTATTCTCCTGCCTTCCCGGATGTAACCATACAGAACTGGAGCTAATGCTTGGGTTCTCTCTACTCCATCCTCCCAGAGTGCTCCTGGACTCAGTTTCCCTGACAGCACACTATTTCTCCAAAACAGCCATTCTGTCCCTAAGAGTTTTTTTCTTAAGCGGGGTAAACCAGATGATGGTCAAAGCCTCTTAAAGCAGCCTGAAAGGACTAAGGCAGGATTGGTCTGACCCAAAGGTGAAATGCCACCTGCCCTCCGTGTATGGCAGTGAGTGAGAGGCCCATGAGAGAAGTCTCTGCTGCAGTCCATCTGCTCACCTATTTGTCCTCTGCATCCTATCTGGACAGCAACGTGTAGGGGCTCAGCCTCCCTTCCCAATCTCCTGCCTCTGCTTTCTGAAAGTCTTCCTCCACACATTCAAAATCCTCCTAGGTCTCAGTGAGAAGGACTAGGAGCCCTTTGTCCTTGGGAAACTGAGGCAGTGGAAGAAGCAAAAGGCTTTACAGGTCTAAGTTCAACTCTCAGCTCAACCTCCAACTAGCTGCATGATGAACTAGTCAGCCAACTGCTGAATCCTCAGTTCACTCCCTGTCAAATGAGAATCATGATACCCATCTCAGCAGGCTTCAGGGACATCTAGTGAGATGAAGGCAAACACAACCCTGGGCGTGTGGTAAGTGCCCCAAATGTTCCCTGCCTTCCCCTTTTGTGTCCACTCATGATCCACATAGGGTTCAGGGACTCACACATGGGGCTACCCAAGCATCAATGACCAAATCCATAAGGACTTTTCATCCTAGGACTCTGACCAGTAAAGAGTACAGGGGTTCTAAGAACAGCCCAGGTCACCTGAGTTCTTAAGTTCTACCTCCAGAAGGAGATAGCTCCAGTCATGGGGTAGGAAGCAGGTAGAGCTTCACTGAAGTGACACTTCTAGGGAAGCCACTTCTCTGGCCAGGTAGACCTGATAGACATCTAGTGCAGATGCCACATCTGGATGCCTTACCTGCAGCAGTTCAAACACAGCAAGGAGGTCCCCTCCAGAGATGCTCCCACAAAAGATAGGGTGATAGCACAGCCTGGGGGGCTCATAGTCCTGGCCAGCCAGCTTCACAACTGGAGCAGCCACCGTGGCACCCAAGTACTCTGGCTTTCCCTAGGGTGGGAAAAGAAATGAACTTTTCATTGTTTCCTACTGGGTTCTGACCCCCATGGATGAAGCTTTGCGAACAATTTTTCCAGGGGGGACATGTGAACTTTCATATTTTCTCTATCTCCATGTTTCTTTTTCCTTTTGGATTCTAGAAGGTAAGCTTGAGTTTTCTGGAAAGGATTTGGCTTAGGGTCAAGCTGAGAAGGACTGTGCCTGGGTGCAGATCTAGAAGGGCAGTGGAAAACTACCAAGTGGTGATGGGAAAACAGCCAGCCAGCCAGCGCTGGAGGAGCAGGCCTTTCAAAGATGCTTGATTGCTTTTCAAACAGGAAACAAGCACTTAGGACTGTGAGTGTGTTACTGGGAACAAAATTGAAAGGATTTTTATTTTGTGACCCTTCCTACAGAAAATCAGCTCTACAGCCTGAACAGGAGAAGTCATCTTTCACAAATATGTACATCTAGCCCCAATTTACAGAGGAGGGATGGGACCCAGAGGGATGGAGTGACATGAAGAACCTATGGGGGAGACTGCCCTACTAGCCACCTGTGTGCAGAAAAAAAAAATGAGCATAGCAGACCCAAGTTCAAGTCCTGGCTTTGTTCTCCAGTGACCTTAAGGAGGGCATTTGACCTTTCTGTCTTCTCTTCTGGAAAACCAGGAGGGGGCTCCAGCTCTCTGAGGCCTCTGCTCCCCTTCTGTAATTCTCAGGCCCTGGTTCTCTCCTGACCTTGGCCCAGGGCCAGGCTGTCAGTGTTGCTCTGAGGAGTGAGGAAGCTTTGGAAATGCTTCTTGGAACAATGGCTGAACTTTGTAGATTTGAGCTTCTGCAACCCTCTGAGGAGGCAGAGACATCAAATAAAAGAAATAAAGCTTTGCCTTTCATTTTAGACTTCTTAATTTAAAAAATAGGATTTGTCTTTGTTAAAAAAAAAATCCTCCAGTAAGCTTTTCAATCTATCCCAAATTTCAGAACACAAACATCTTGGGAGAGGAAGAAGTTTGTTTTCCATGATAGCAGAGAAAGGGTCAAGGATGAACATTTATTGTGGGGCCTGGAAGCTTCAGCCATGCAAAAGAGAGACCAGGACAGGGAATCTTTGCTGGGTGAGAGCAATAACAACCTCCTATTTTCAAAAGGTGTGGCCATTATGGCAATAACACAGGCAAGCTGGGGTTGCTTTATACAAGTATCATTTTCCTGGAGAAGTGTGTGTTGACTAAAGTTTTCTAACTGGGCCCAATTTTAATTGCAATTTAAAGAGAAACCTAAGGGGTGGGGGGAACCCTTAAAAGTAAATTGGTTGTTACCAATTGTCCAGGCTCTGCAAACCCTCGTTTTCAGAAATCAAGTTTGCTGCAAGGCACATCTAGGGCCGTGACTACTCACAATGCCAGGACTTTATTTGCTTTAAAGTAAGTTAGTGCAGCGTGGGCTAGCGCTGGCCCTGTGGACACTCACCACCGCATCGCTGTCATAGAGCTCCACCACCACGAGGGGTGGGGACGCCATTATCTCCCTCTCCTCTCCGTGCAGCACCAGCTCATTGAACAGCAGCATCTGGTTCCAGGTGGGGGAGAGAGTCTGGGAAATGATCTGGAGGGAGAAACCAAAAGAGCCGTTCAGTTGGGTTGCAGGGGTCTCCAAGGGTCATTCAACAGACACATATGGAGGGCAAAGAGAGCCCATGGCCACCATCCAGCGCAGCCATTCAGCATTCAAGTGTCATGTAAACTGAGCTGCTACTATACACTCAATGCCAGGGGAATGCAAAGGTTCCCTGCCCTGGAGGAGCCTACATTCTTAATGAGTTTCATCAGCAGAGCAATGTTTAAATTGCATAAATCATCTCAACTCATTCCTCACAGTTGTGCAGCAATGATAACACTAGCAGACCTTTATTAAGCACTTACTGTGTGCTTCCTACTGCACTGTGCAAGCACTGTCTCGCTCAAACCTCACTGCAGTTCTGGGAATAGGTATTTATACATATTTTAAAGATGAGGAAACTGAGGCTCACTGACCAGAGCCAGCAGGTGCTAGAACTGGGACTGGGTCATCTGCACCAAAGCTCAGGCTGCCAGTCTTATCCACCCTCACCAAAGACACGCCCTATTAACTCTATGTCATGTTATGGGTGGGACACTGAAGATGAGTGATCTAGTGGCTCTTCACTTATGAGCAAAAAAAAAAAAAAAATGTTGTTATCAAATATCCTGAAGTTGAGTTTAAATCTAATGTTCCTACCATGGAATTCTGGGTTGGGGATATTTATTGACTACTTGAATGGCTTAGGGTCTTCAGAAGAAGCCTCCCCATTTTACACAGCATCCTCCTACCATGAGGTTTGCTATGGGAGCAAACTGTGAAGTGGGCAGCTGGCTGCACCCATGATAGGAGGGAGAAACCAGAGGTCAGAGGACAACAGCTTGCACAATTGGTGCAGAGTCATGAGTGAGTCACCTGAGAGAGGCTCTCAGCCCCCCACCAGGCCACTCAGAGGTAACTTCAGAAGGGAGGGCATATTTGGACTTGAGTTCTCTTCTCTGTTTAGCTGGATGTTGGAAAATATGTCCGTTTCACAGAGCTCAAGGCTGGTGGTGTCTGCAGGATGGAAGAACCCTGCTAAATTAGGTGAGGACAGTCCTGGGGAGAGTCGGCCACCTCTCTCTCTTCCAGGATGCACAGTCAGATGGGTGGCCTGGCAAGAGCAGGAAGCACAGGAGCCACTGGGGCTGAGGAAATTTCCACAGCACCTCTGATCTGAACCTGTACTGCTATCGTTCTCTCCAGGAGGTCTGGAACTAAGACCTGGACTCACTTCTCAGACTCCAAAGGTCACATGAAACTGTTATGTCAGAGTTTTCCATGGAATTGTCTTCAGTTACAGCATCAAATCATTTTCACTGTGGCCATGAAAGGATATTTTTATTGATCTTTAGGTGAGTCATAAAAATATTGTGTGTTTCAGCAGTTTCCTCCCTTTCTTGCTGTTTTGACAGAGTATTTTATGACTCATTGAGCTTTTAAACATTGCAGAGAAGATCTAACTTTTCTGACAGGATAAAAAGGGCTTCAACCAACCGATGATCAGGAGCTTTCAAAGTTACTCAGTGCCGGGGACTGTCAGCACAAAGAACCACGTGTTTTAATATTGCTTTTGAAAATAGACATGTGATCCCTCTTGTAGCATGCACCTGAGGGTGTGATACAGAAACAACATATCATCTTCACAGTATCTTTCCTACAGAAATATTTTGATGTCTTCCTTAGCACCAGTCTGTAAATGCCAGCTGGAAGGATTTCAGAGGCCACTATTCACTGATTCATTCATTCATCATGTATTTATTCAGGACTTACAGTGTGCCAGGGTCAGGGTTAGGCACTAACACAGCATCTTGTGCAAGGCAGGTGCTTCATAGCTATTTGTCTGGTATCCAGTGGGTACTGACCTGTCCTTGGAGTTGCTTCTGTGTGTAAAAGACCACAGTCACCTTCAAGAGGTACTCAAAGGCTCATCCAGATAAAAATTCATTCTCCCACTTCTCTGCCAAGGTATTCATGATTATTTTTATTTCTTAAGGGCTTCCTTAAAGGTCATGCATTTTACTGGGTTGAATCATTATTCAGGGGTCATGACAATGCTTAGCTAACACTTTGAAGAGAGGTTCAAATACCCTGGAAAGAATAGAGCTTTAGAATCAGGTAACTCTGAATGGAATCCTAGTTTTATTACCTAGCCTGTATCTAACTTAAGAAGGTGATTTAACCCCCAGACCTGAGTTTTCCTCATTTATATAGGGTTAGCACCTAACTTGAGGAGTTGTTATGACCTTTGTCTGAGATAAAAAGTATTAACAGCCAGGCACACAGCAGGTGCTCAATGAATGCTTTTGACCCCTCCCCACTCCATCCTAGTCTGTACTCATTTATAAGTAAATCAACATTTAGGGCTGGGGATGTAGCCAAGTGGTAGAGTAGTTGTATAGCATGCACAATGGCCTGGGTTCAATCCCCAGCACCAAAACCTTTTTAAAAACCCATTGCCTACCACACGCCAGCTGTGGTACATGGGGGTCTTGCCTGAGCCTCACCTGCCTGCTCTGCAGAATCCAGACAACACCAACATCTCCATTTGGACTGCAATGATATATGGCAAATAATGCACAGAAAATGCTTAGCCTCATGCCTGGCACATGGGGAGTTTTGGATAAATAACTATTACTATTAGCAAAAATGAAGTACTAGATTCAGAATTATGGAGGCAAATCCAGGGCTCATCAGAACCTAGTTTCCCTTTCAAATGATTATTTGATAAACAAAATCCATCTCTTGCTTGAGATATGGATGGAAATCAAATGAAGATGCTGTCAGAGATGCAAAACAGAAGAATGACTGTCTGGCAGCCGGGAGCTCACTCAACTGTCCATTCCCGGGGTCACCTCTGGGCACCTGGCGTCCCACAGCTATGGCAGGTAGAGAAGGGACCCAAGTCCATGGTTTGAGAATTCCCTTGCTTTGGTTCAGAAGCCTCAATGGCAACAAGTAATCGCATAGCAGCTGTTACAAGCCAGGCAGGATCGGGGGTGATTTGCACTCTGGGGGTGGGTAATAAACACTACTGTCCTCCTATTCACAGAGGAAGAATCTGAAGGGGGTTTTGTTTAACATAACACAGCTAACAAGTGGGAGAGCTTGCAAAGGGGACCTGGGTGGCAGGGTTCCTCGGTGTCCACTCAATTCCTGGGCTTTGAAACCCGGGAAGGAGAAAACGGTCTGCTGCTCTAGTGTGTTTCCATTCTCAGGTGCTGAATGAGGTTGGAGTCACCTTCCTTGAGGCTCTCCTGATTGCCTTCCCAGACAGAATGAACCCTTCTCTCCTTCTCTTGCAGGACTTGTACAGCTCTGCACTGCGGGGCTTAGCATGGTGGAGTCGGCCCATCTGTCTGGAGGACTGTGATGTGCCTGGGTAGCACACTAGCAGGAGCAGGGTTTGGCCCGGCATCTTCTGGAACCCACACAGAGCTGGCACTCGATGGGAACTGGGTAAATGGATGTGATGTTAGTTCACACCATGGTCTCGGTGTGTACATTGTAAATCAAAATGCAACCTAATCCATCAAACAGGTCGTAGGCTTGGAGAAAAACGTCAGTCCGGTCAACATCAGCCAATACAATGGCCACTATCCATCAGTCATTTTATACATTTGAATTCTTCACAGCAGCCCTACTTTAAGGCGACAAACCTGAGGTTAACTGAGTTGTGCTATCTGCCCAAAGACATGCAGCTATAGAGCAGACGAGCTGGAAGGTAACCTCTGGGCTCTTTGTGTCTTACCCACCTGAGATGGACGATTCTTTACAGAGCTTAACCCCCTCCAAAAAGAGAATCAGAGAACAACCCAATGAGAAAACATCCTACGGGACTTCTCACCAGGAGCCCTTTGTACACCTTAGCACTGCACATATAGGAAAGGGCGGGAGTGCAGAGGAACAGATGTCCCTTCAAAGCCCTTTAATACAGCACCCACCACAGAGTAGTCTTTTCCAGAGAGGATCAGGGGCAGGGGGGTTTCTGAAGCACAATGGTGTTCAAAGTGTGCAGAGCCTCCCAGAGGGTGAATGCAAACACTAGAACTCCCTGACAGTGAAACTAGAACTTTCTTCCCCATCTAGAACTTTCTTCCCCAGTCGTGACAGATCTGAGCCTCGTGGGGGTCGTCTGCGGTGCCTTCTCATTTGCTGAATCCCCACCTGGCTCCCTGCGCCTGGCACTCCTGCAGGCACCTCAGGGAGCCAGGTTCCACCCTCCCCATTCTTCTTTTGTTCCTCACCACTTGCTCCCTCTGCCCCAGGACATTGGCTTGCAGGGAAACAACAGACCCTCCCAGGGTCCTTCCTGGCTCACATTTATTTCTGAGTCAGAAACACCCCACGCCCTTGATGCTGGTGTGCCCAACCTGCTCCTGATTTTTCTTTCCTGGGCTCTGTTGCTGGTTCCCTGGTTACCTTTGTGGTCTGGCAGTGGGACAGGAATGTGACTTTGGCAAAAGGGTCTGAAAGTCCATTGCTGTCAGCTGCGATGAGGCCCCGGGCTTGGTACATGTGAGCTCTCAGCTGGAAGGTATGCTGGGCTGTGGACAAACGGGAAAGGGCGGACATTAGTGGGCTTGCTAGGAACCACAGGATCAAGTGGCCACCGCCTTCCTCTGTGGTGGCATGGGGAGCCGGAAGAGGTGCCGTTTATAGAGCGCTTGGGAACCGCGTTCTCCTTGGTGCTCCTGCATGCTGGGTGCCTTCCTCTTCACAATGACCTTGTGGAATAGATATAATTATCCCCGTTTTACAGATGAGGAAAATGGTCCAAAAATGGCTAAAATACTTTCCCAAGTTTGCAGAGCCTGGATTTTACTTCTTATTCCAAAATTACTTCTTTTTCTAAAATATTATATTTTATTCTCTATAATTCTCTTGTTTTCAATTGTGTGTGTGCATGTGTGCACGTGTGTGTGTGTGCATATGTGTGTGTAAGGGGCTGCTTCACAAGTAGCTTTTCCTTCTATAAACTCAGATGTCTAAGTCACCTACATGTCCACTCTGCCAGCCAATGCTATGCTGAGTACCTGCTGTGTACAGTCTTGCTTTTGGTCTCTAAAGCACAGTCCTGGTCTCTAAGGATTCTGATGTAACTAAGATAGACCTTGCCCTTGGGGAGTTCCCAGAAGAAGACAGAAGAAAACACAAACATCCAAGTCACCATGACTGGAGGCTAGGGCTGAGTGTCCTGTGACCAATATTGGCAAGGAACATGGCAGGTAAAAGGCAGGAGTGAGCCCACCTGTTTGACAGGATAAGCAGAGAGAAGGATGCAGGCTGGTATGGTCAGGGTTCAACAGGGAAACCTTGAGGAGAGTTGAGTTGATCCTTCTCTTTGGTTCATGGGATTTCATGACCACTGGCTCTTCCAAGAACCTCATTTATTTTTTTTAAGTCTATGCCCTCTCTTTCCTATCTTTCCCAAAGGTATTATGCTCAGTGTATATCTATATCTTTGAATTGACATGGGGACTGGTATATAGGAACCCATGCACACCAATTTACATAGCTCTCCTTACTTCAATGAAGGGTGTGAATACCCTGTGAGCATTCTCCCGACCCCCACCAGGCACACCCAACACTACTCCTAGGCATATAGCCAACAGGTCTAAAAAAGAACTTGTATGTGGTTACTAACCTCCTCCGTGCCTTTATTTCCTTATCTGTGAAATGGGGTAATAATAGTTCCCCATAGAGTATTATAGGGTGAGGATGGCATCTGGCACATGGAGAGAACTTTAAAAGTGGTGTGAAGATGCTGGTGTGCTGTTACTATAGGTCACTGCAGTGTAACCAGTGGGCTGGAAGCAGCCTGTGTGTCCTTCCCATGGGGGTGAACAAGAAGCACGGTTAGGCAATGAGAGGCAGCAAGAGAGATGGACTCGAGAATCTAGTACCTAGTGAAAAAAGCAAAGCAGCATGAGAAATGTAACCAAGCTATTCATGTAAAATAAGAAGGCATGCACACAGAAGAGCATTTGCATTCACCAATCCACACTCAAATACAAAAGGGCAGACTCCAGGGGAGGTGGCTCTGCCCTTTGAGCAGAGTCCTGAAGGGTGGTAGCATTTGATTGGCCGAGATGGATGTCTCAAGCATTTGTCACAGGGTGATTGAAAGCCAAGCACAGAAACTAACTCCAGGCCATGGACAGGCAAGAATGTGGTCTAGTGTGACCACAGTATACAGTCCTGGATTGTGGCAGTCAATTTGACAAGGGCCGTGGAGGCCTGAGTGAGGCACTGGAACTGAGTTTAGCAGGCTATAGGGAGTACTTGATGGAATATGCCCAGGAGCTGAGGGCCTCAGAGCAAAGCATCAGGAGGATGACTGAGTCAAACTTGCAATGGGCAGAAGAGATGTTAGGAGGAGAGGAAGGAGACAACACCGCCCCCTCTAGGCGGGAAGGTGGAATGGCAGATAGCACACAGGGATGGAGGGATTGAGATGAGGGGCTGGGAGAGACATCACAGCAGCGGGTGCCATCAGATCCTGACTGGAGGGCAAGGAGGGGACAGCAGGGCACCTCATGATTGTTATGAGACGTGCTCCCAATCTGTCCCTCTACTCCATGCCCCTGTCTGGCTACATGGACCAGCATGGTATCTGGGAATGTAGCAACCTTATCAATCTCCATTCTGATCCTACAGAACGTGTGGACCCTTGAGCTCTGCACTGTCCCCAGTGAAGCCCAGGTACTCACAGTGCAGGTGCTCCAAGCTCTGATCAACTCAGGGGAAGGACAGAAGTGATTCCTTTGAACTCAGTGCTAAAAGCCTCTCCCTATAAAAACGCCAGTGAACTCAAATGTGGACGAGCTGCACCCTGATGACAAGAGTCCCTTCCAACAGCAGCATTCAACAACAGAATGCTCAGGAGATAACACAGGATTTCCTGACAAGAGCCTGATCCTTAGGATACTACAGAGCTGGCAGATTTCGCAGCTGGGAATGAACTTGGAAATGTCTGTTACCTGACAGTGTCTACCAGCTAGCTGCCCCTGAAATAACCAGCCTTGAAATTTTAGCAAAGTTCCCAACTGCAGCCACACAAGCACAACTCCAAGGGGTGCCACTTACTTAGACTGAGCCTATGGTGTTTTGAAACCCAGAGCCTTACCAGTTCTGCTCCTTTGACTAGTCTAGCTGCCTCCTCACACACTGATGGTCCATCTCCCATGCCATGGTTCACTTTCCCTTTGTGGCTTTTAGAGACATGTCTGATTGCCCCCACTCGAGGGTCACGATCACCTCATTCATCTCTACTCCCAATACCAGTTTTTCCACCATGCCTTCCAAATATGGGTTCAAACTAATTAATTGCTGAATGGATATTCTCTGGACCATAAAATTCTCCAGTAGGTGTGGAAGGCAGCCAACACTGTCAATGTCAGTGCACAGCACAGAAAGTATATTAGGTTACTCCAGGAAAGCAGCATGCTGCAGAGGGTCAGAAAGTATTGGGGAAAGTCTCTCCTCCCCTCTGAATCATTAGTCGCTGGAAGAGCAAACATGTCTTGGTCTTTGGGTCTCTAGAGATAGTGTCTACAGAAATAGAAAGATAACATCATGGGGGTGTTATTTGACCAAAGATTAAAAACTCTCTAAAGGTAGGATGGAAAACGGTAAAAAGAAGTCAGAGTTTGGAGATGGGTTGCTTCATCATTTACTATCTGTATGATCTTGGGTAATTTCTAAACATCCCTGGGTATAAACCTCTCCATCTTAAAATGAGAAAACCTCCCAGGGTTGGTGTGAGAAATAAAAGAAAACTTGTATATCCAGTACAGGGTACAATGCTTGACACATAGTAAGTATGATACATTTTCTAAAACACAATGTTCCTAGGTATTGGCTGTAGGCACAGACACCACAAGCTGAACCACTTCGAGAACCTTGATTTCTCAACAACTGAGCCACTTAGATGCCCCTGGAAGTCAAGACCAGCCAACATCAGAGAAGCCTGGGTGTGCATAGAGTTCTGCAGCATTCCCAACATTGCCTCAAGTCCAAATGCAACTTCAGTGGAGGCAAATTAAAACTGCAACCTGCTTTACCTGAATCCAGCAACAAAAAGTCAGGCAAAGTAAAGCAATTTGGAAAGAGAAAGCAAAATGAAACCATAAAGCATTAATACTTATAATAAAATTCAAAATAGTATGAAAATATAAACACAATGACACCCATAAAACACAACCACATGGAAGAAAGGGTCCCATAAAGTAAGCTGACTTTCCAGAAGCAGCCCAGGCAAGAACTGAGCTAGAGAAATATGAGTGACTCCGATGCCAGTCTTCCCTGGGTAACTCCTGGGACATGTAAGGGTCAAAATTTTAATGCCATATGAAAAGGAAAATCTGCTTTAATTCCACAGGTCACATCAGTACAAGGACGTACTAATGCTTCTTTAAAAGACACGTTTTACTTAAAATGCAAACTCCACCTATATAGTCCACCTATGAAGAAGCTCAAACTGCTTTTCCTTCATTCCCAGAGAAGCATAGATGTTTATTCCAGATGTGTTAAATGACTTCAGTTTATACTTTTAAATCAACACTGAAAGGTGGAAAGAATAGAAACTGTGTTACCGAAGGCAAAGAAGTTGATTCTAGAACAATGGGCAAATGGCTCACTCACATTGCCTCCTCACTGTTTCCACAGAAGCCCACCAGAGACAGGTAACGCCCCTCTTTGCCCAGTGCGTGCCATACCTTGGTAGAGCAGGTTGCATGGAGGGTGATTGGTGCCAGCCAATTTGGGGGGCATTTCTGCTTCATAGCCTGCTGGTAGGTTGTCCAAAATGGCACCAGAGTATTGGATGGAGCCCAGCCACAGGTACACATCGACTTTTGCTTGCACTGACCAGCCAGGTGGCCGTTTCCCAGGAAGCTGGGGAGAGGGTACAAGGGAGACTGTTTCATTAGCAGGAGACAAGCGTGAGTCTCACTCTGAGGAAAGAGATCCTTCCAGGAGACATGCCTGGAGGTGCGTTCAGAGTCATTAAGTGCCCTGTTTGCCCTGATGCCCAACCCCAGAGGAGGATCCAGGTTTTGAGGGGCCTGAGGCTCACGCATGCAGTATGCTAAGCACTTCCAAGCCCTTGATCACTTAAACCTAACAGGTACATATATTATTGCTCCAGTTTTATAGATGAGGAAACTCAGGCTTAGAGAAATTAAATAAGCTGTTTGAGGTCTGTTTGTAAGTGGCAGAGCCAAGATTCAAGCCAAAGAGATGATTCCAAGTCTAGACTCTCACCTCCGACCCCCACAGCCTGCTTCTTCATCACTGAGCTGGGGATTTCTTCCTGAACTTCCCCAGGTCTTCGTGGGCTCCAAGGAGCCGCCCTGGCCTGCCGGGCCTGCCCGCCTGCCTGCCTGGACACCTGTGCTTCATTCCTTCCTCCTGCAGGGTGGTTTTACTGCTTCCTCTGCTAGGAATGCGCTCAGGCTTGTGTGTGTGTGTGTGTGATGCTCTGTGTCTATGTTTGTATCAGTGTGTGTGGTGTGAGTGTGGACTGGGAGTGTGTCTGCGTGTGCGTATGTATGTCTTGGGGCTGCGCGTATTCTCAGAACCTAAGGACACAACTAAATATACACAGAATGTCCCCATCTTGTGGTCACCAGGCTTGGGGACTCCCTGCCCCATCTAGAGAGTCCCAGGCCCTGCCTTGGCTGTGTTCAGGATAGCTGGTGGGGCCCTCACTCAAGAGCAGCAGATGGCACTTAAGACAGGATTTTGTTGACTCTTCTGAGAGCCTCTTCAGAGTGTCGCTGAGAATTTCCTCTCAGAGGCTTCTCCCTTCTTCTACACCATTTCCTGACCATGGAGAATCACAGAATCCTATGATGACAGGCCAGAACTTGCTCGGACAATTTCCAAGGCTCCTGGAGAGGCTCTAGGAGTTACATCCAGACCAAGAGGCCGACCTGATCTGCATTCCTTACTCAAGTGGAGAGAGAAATACTAAAGGAGTAGAGAAGGGGCAGCGGGCACTGCCACCCTTTCTTTAAGATTCAAACGCAGCTGTCCCCCTTCTCCACGGTTCTGGTTCTGCTTTCTATGGTTTCCATTATCTGGGGTCTAAAAATATTAAATGGGAAATTTCAGAAATTAAGAATTCATGAGTTTTATTACGGTGTATTGTTATAATTATTCTATTTTATTTAGTTGTTATGGTTAATCTCTGTGCCTAATTTATAAATTAAGCTTTATCACAGGTACGTATGAAGAGGAAAAACCACAGGATATGCAGGGTTTGGTACTTGTGCTATTTCAGGCATCCACTGAGTGTCTTAGGGCCTATCGCCCGTGGATGGGGGGTGAGCAGGCACTGCATTTAGCTGAGCTGTAATGAGCACCTTGGAGCTGGACCAGTCCAGAGGGCGTCCCAGGAAGAGGAAAGGGCGTGATGGAAACCCCAGCAACAGGAGCTTATGCTAATTCAGTGCCAAGTAGGGTGCCAAGAGTTTTCAGAAAAGAACTCATACCAGTGAGCCTGATAGCTGGACAGAGGACAAGAGAGGCTGGGGAGCCTGCTCCGTGTGTGCAGGAGTTGGGGCTTTATTCTTTAGGAGAAGGAGAGCGCTATTTATTCAGCTCAAAAAAGAAAAAAAAATGAAATAGGATCATTTTGTAGTTAATAAAGGCAACCACTCTCCAATCTGTGATTTTTAAAATTATAAGAAGATCTAATTCTAAGTTCATCACTTCTCTAGTAATAGCAGCTAAAATGAATAAAATAAACATTTACTGTGAGGACTGGGATTTTGCTCAGTGGTAGAGCACTTGCTCACATGCACGGGGCCCTGATTTTTCCCTAGCACTGGAGAGAGAGAGAGAGAGAGAGAGAGAGAGAGAGAGAGAGAGAGAGAACGAGCGCACTGAAAGTTTCTTTGTCCTAATAAAAGCCATGACTCTGCCACTTGCAGATGTCATTAGGACAGCCATCCATAAAGACAGGAATTCTTGTCTGTTGCTTCATGGTGACATACTCAGGGCCTAGAAGAGCACCCAGGAAGAGTGTGGTAATTATCTGTTGAATGAATAATACTTTATTTGGTTTTCTAGTACTAATAATATTTGACACATGCCAAGCACCTACACTGTTCTAGGCCCTGGTCTAATGTGTCTTCCTTCACCCAGTGACTTGTATACAATACCTGCATACTGTATACAAGTCACTGTTTATCATTCGGCCTCCCAAACTCTATGAAGTAGATAACTCTATGAAGTAGATATACTTTTATCAAGCATATTTTAAAGATAAATAAATAGAAATCCAGAGAGGTTAAGACACTGTCCAAGGTCACGGAGCAAGGCAGGATTAGAGCCAACCCTGAAACCCAGTCCTACCTGGCTCTAGTGATCTTCATACACGGCTGTGTGTGTCAGTGCATGAGAACTGCCTGGGCATCCAGATAAGAAGTCAATTGCATTTCTTCCTGTTGATGTTGACGCTGGTCTACCAACCTCAATATTAGAACAGTAAGGCTCACAACACACCAGGCTACTCCTACCCCACCCCTATGCAGGAGCAGGTCCAAAATGTTTTTGCTTCTTAATGCAAAATGAGAACCACAAGAGAAAACAGCTTTCCTTTCTACTGATCCTAAACAAAGTGTCTGTGTATGAACTCACAGTTTGAACCACAGTGTTCCACCAGGACCACCGCTGCTGCACTCTTAGAGATTGCAACTTGTACATAAAACAATAAGCAAATTGACATCTCTGGTGACACCATGCGGAGGCTTAAGCATGTGAGCTGGCTCTACACAGCATTACTGAGCACTCCTGGTGGTGCCTGCAGAAGCAGCATCCCATTTTTAATTTGCTCTTCTCTTCCAGCCTGGTGTCCCTGCCTTCCGCCTCTGCCCCACTCTCCTTCCTCCCTCAGTGTCCCTGAAGCCTGACCAATCACTACAAGGTCTTGCCCTTTGAGAACAGGACAGAAAGAGAGGAAACAAGAAAAATAGAAAATTAATTAAAAATGCAAAAGTGCTTAAAAACAATTCTGAGTGCCCCTGAAGCCTGACCAATCACTACAAGGTCTTATCCTTTGAGAATAGGACAGAAAGATAGGAAAAAGGAAAAGACAGAAAGAAAAATAATTAAAAATGCAAAAGTGCTTAAAAACAATTCAGATCATTGCACTAGGTGGAATGCTGAAGTCTCAGCCTCTCTCTCCCCCATCCACCTCCTGCCAGGGTCCTGGTTCATGCAAGCTGGCTTAGAAAACTTGGCAAGTCAGAGAAAGGAGAGAGAGGTGGCAAGCCATGCGGATGGTGCTGGAGCTGGTCAATCAGTATGCACGAGTGAGAGGTTCTTGGTCATGGAGGGGTTTCACTCTGGCAGGACCTAGAAAGGACCTAGAAAGGACCACAGTGATTTTTAATCCTGGGGAAAGCTGGAGGCCAGAGAAGAAGAGAAGAATGTGAGGTGTGGAGTAGAAGGTAGCACAGGCTGGAGGCAGGGTGAGAAGGGGGAGGCTCAGCACAAGAGGGGACTGAGTACCACCCTCTGGGCTCTGAGTGCATCCAGTTCCTTCCCCAAGAAGGGTTTCCTTTGGCACTGAATTTCCTCTTCCATATTTCTGGTCATCAGGGTCACAGTGGAAATAGGACTGAAAAGAGAGAGCCGATTTCTTTGAATAATGGATTGGGGGGAGGTCTGAAAATTCTGTTCCACCACTTTTAGCAGCATCATGAACACATGTAAATGAGAGGGGAGGCAAGATCATGGAGCCTGGGACCATGAAACCCTGCTACGTTACAGATCAACCCGAGCTCAGCTGTGCCAATCCAGATGACACACCTTTGTTTCCTCCCTCATTCCCAGTCCCCAAACTGGGCCCCAAAGAACCAGAAGTTTCCTAAAACTTATAGATAGCTCTTCTGGGGGAGAAAGCTTGGCAAACACGAGGGTAGACAGTTGAAGATGCTTCCCGACTGCGGGACTTCTTATAGGCTTCCGTGTGTGGATGGTACACTGTGGTACACTGTGGAACCCCAGGGGTTTCCGATGTCACAACCACAGCTCCTAACAGTCTTTCAACACAGGATGTTTTATGGAGCCACTCAAAGGAAAACAGTGTGCTAGAATCAACTTTGAGGGATCTAATTTCCTAATTCCCCAACAAGAAACCAGACTGAGTGGCAGGTGGGGGCAGACTCAGTCTCCCTGCAGCAGCCCTTGGGTTTTTCAGATTTCCTAATCCAGTGAGGGAAAGGGGCCCAGAGGGAGGCAGTGGGTGAAAGGGAGTTAAAATCAGGGTGATAATCAAAACAGGAATGAAAATAGTTTTGTTGAATCATCGTATCAAGATGTGTCATCACATAGGTATAATTGAATTTTACAAGGTTTAGAAAGCTGTGACGCAAAACAATCCCAGAGGCAAAAGGAAAATACAGATAAAGAAAGGAGCCAAGGGTTTGTAGACATGTTGATAAAGATAAATGCACAGGATGAATGGCACAGGGCAAAAGTTCTCTGTTCTCTGTCATGTCTACTGTCTGGCTTTATTTGACAGCTGTTCTTTGTTCTAATTTTAAGTATTGCCAGGATACATCAAAATATTTAGGAGAGAGTAACTTCATACCATTTTCTAGTATTTTTAGCACAGGGGCCTTTTGAAATGATTTGCTATTTTTAAGACAAATGTTTCCTGTCTCCCTAACATTCTCTGAATGGAGAAAGTTAAAGAAAATCTCTGATCTTTGTGGTAAATGACTTGGGTGAAAATTTTTGTTTTCAGTTGACACTTTTCTGGGAGTGGGTTTAAAATTTATTTTACATACGTGACAGAAAATAACATGTAGAGCCACAAACAACTGATAGGTCATGAAGGGGATACGGCACCATAATTAGGTTCTCAGATATGCTGGTGTTCCATCATCTGAGCATTTATCCAATGATTACTTTGCCTGAGCAAAACTGTGTTCCTTGCCCAGATTTCTTCACTGTATTCTTACAACCATTCCATAAGTGGATAGAAAATGGGATGAACCATTTTTAAGCAGATAAAGAATACTAAGCAACTTTCCCAAGATCATATAGCCAAGAAATATTGGCCATGGAATTCTATTATAGATTGAATTAGGTTCCCCCAAAATTCATATGTTGAAGTCCTAATCCTCAGTACTCAGGGTGTTACTTATTTGGAAATAGGGTCATTGCACATGTAGTTAAGTTAAAATGATATTGTATTAGAGTAGGGTGGACCCCAAATCCAATATGACCGATGTCCTTATAAAAAGAAAGCCATGTGAAAAGACAGGTACACACAGGAAAAGAAAGCCATTCAAATATTGGTGTTATGCAGGCACAAGCCACAGAACTAACCAGAAGCTAGGAGAGGGGGCTAGAACTGTTCTCTCCCTGACATCTTTACAGGGAACATGGCCCTGTCAACATCTTGATTTGGGACTTTTGCTCTTCAGACTTATGAGAGGTAATAGTTCCTGTTGTTTAGGTAGTTCTTGTGTGATACTTTGTTATACTAGTTCTAGCAAACTAGCAGGAATGCCCACCTAGATTCACCCGATGTCAAAGTGCATACTCTAAATCATGATCCCACACAGGGTCACATGCTCAATCACATGGGCCCTTAATCTACAGCATCCAACAAACAGCGACATTACATCTCAGAGCTGGATGGCACTCAAAGCTACTAATTCAGCTGCCCACTGCCATATTTATATCAATGTTTGCCCAGCATCTATGGACACCTGGAAAAGTGAGGAACACATCGTGGACTCCCATTTAGGGACTGTTTCCCTGTAGGGTCTACTGTGGGCCTGGTTTTATCCTCTGGAATCTTTTTCTCATCTCTCCTCTTCTCTGAATTTGAATCACAAGGGACAGGGTGTTCCAGTTGTCTTCATACCTTTGAAAGCACCAGGGAAGAGTCAGACACACACACACACACACACACACACACACACACACACACACGAAACCCTGAGCCATCCAGAAAAAAAAGAAGTTTCCCCTTTTTTGGTCAAAAATAGTGCAGACTTACTTTGAGGAAGTGAGTTTGGATCCTCCCGCAGTGCTTGCCCATCTGCTCTCTGACGGGGGAGTAGAGCAGGTCTTTGGCGGCAACGCGGGCATATGCCACTCTCTTGTTATTGCTGAGCATCCAGATGAAGACATCAGGGATGGTGTGCTGTGGCTGCACGACAGAAGGAATGGGGTCCTCAGGTCGGTGCTTAGCAAATGTACTTCCAGAGTTCTCCCAGCCAGAAAGAGGCCCTCTTCCATGAAACTAATGCTGTGACCTAAGCCATCTGGGTACTTATGCAACCAAGCCAAGTGCAGCTTCCTTGAGAAGAGGAAGCCTTGGGTCATGAATTAGAAGTACAAATAAATCCCAGATGCCAAATTGCTCACTGGGCTTTGAGGACATGTGAGTTGGACCCATGATTTGGTGTTGGTGGCCTGCTTTTCTCCATCTGTAGAGCAAATATTTTTCTACAACTTCCCATGAATTTCTTTTCCAGTGCAGTAATAATGACCTAGCTTCTTAGTATTAGACCTTCTCAGAGCCAGATAACATTTACAGAATATTCAAATGAAAAGATAAAGCCAAAAGCAGATCTATAAGAAACTTTATAGCTAAAACATAATTGCCAAATACATAAGTGGTTAATTCAGAAGAATTAAATTAGACTAAAATGCACATTAAGCTTTAAAGGGAAGCTAATCAGATAGGGACTGCAGACTTCCACACCAGTGGCTCATTATGTTGGAAGTGTCTGAAATGCTCATTTCTAAGCCAACATAATTACACAAATAAAAAGAAGCTATGCTGTTATAAAGTAGGCTTTGTCACCTGGGATAGAAGCAGATGTCCTGTCTTGCTCACCCTTGATAGTCAGGTATAATTGGTACCCAAAGGGGGCATCCATCTCTTCTCTCTGATATGGGAACAGTGACAGGATGGTTTTCCTGGTCACAGAGCTTAAGGCTCAGTGCCTGATTTGAACATTCTGGGTTCTCATTAAAATTCCGTGTCTGCTGACTGCCTGGCTCACTGTTTCATATGCCTCCAGGGAGCAATTGGTTTGAGATGAGAATTAAAGCTTTCTAGAACAACAGGAGCAGTAAATCTTTTCCTCTCTATGAAACCTCCCCCCATAAACTCTGGCTCCAAAAGTTTCTATACATTTTCAGTCTTTAAGAAAGAAGTATCTGACAGAAGCAAATATGATTACTTTTTAAAGATCATTCTAGAAATCACCAGGATACCACTTACAACTGACTTTGAAATGGGATGCTGGTCAGGTGTGGTGGTGCACACCTGTAATCCCTGGAACTCAGGAGGCTGAGACAGGAGGATTTCAAGTTCAAGATCAGCCTCAGCAATTTAGCAGGGCCCTAAGCAACTTAGTGAAATCCTGTCTCAGAATAAAAAAATAAGAAGAGCTCGGGATGCAGCTCAGTGATAAAGCTCTCCTTGATTCAATCATCAGTATCATCAAAAAGAGAGAGAAAGAGATACTGTGGATCTTTACTAGATCTGAGTTTAAATCCTCTTATAGTTGAAAACCAATCAAAGTTCCCACCATCAAAGGGCTTGATTCAAAATTTCTTGAGTCTGTTTGGGAGCATTCTTTTAATATGCTGAATACTCAGGATTTGTAGGAAACTCAATAAAGCCATACGTGTCTGGGTTAATTTAAAAATCTCTTTTCTCATCACTAAACTAATAGTGCCTGCACAGGTCCACTCAGCAGGGCTTTCCCCTTTCCCAACACCCAGCCCTCCTGAGGAAGACATCTATTCAAGCTTTGCAGATGAGGTTTGCCTGGAGAGGTGCTTACCTCGTCAACCAGAAAGCGGATTTTTTCCACAAAGTTTTGGGCTTCGAGGATCATTTCATCAAGAGAGAACCTCTTCTTGCGCTGCTCCAGGATCCCCTTGGCCTCCGTGGCCATCGCCTCCTAAAACAGAACAAGAGCCAGTGTAGATCTTTCTGGAAATCTGGGCAACGAGCGCTGTTCTGATGCTGGAAAGCCCTGAGTGTGCTTCTAGCTCCACACTGAGCCCCAGCTGACTTGGGGCCTGCCACTGCTCATTATTTGATAGTCACTTTAAGGGTACACAGAGACAGTGAACACCAGCTCTCCTTCCTTAGGCGGACGGGAAGCTGAGACCCACAAAGGACAGAAGCCTGTCAAGGGAACATAGCTCTGTGAGCTGGGGCCTGAATCCAGGCTTTCTGAAATACTCAATAACTACAATAATGACAGGTATTTTTCCTGAGTTCTTTCTCCATGCCAGCAATATTCATGCCACTGTGTTGATCCTCCATTACTCCTCTCAAGACTGAGAGAGCAGAGTAATACAGCTGGAGTTGATGTCCAACCAAGGCCAAAGTGCCTGTCCTTAGCCACTGTGTTCAGCTCCTGGTCCTGGAGGTCTGACAAGGCTCCCAGCCCAAGGGGACAGCCCCTGAGGAATGCCACCTAGAGCGCCTTAGATGGCTGGAAATCTTTATTTGTTTATTTATGTAACTTTTATTTTTAAATTTTTATCAGAACATCATATTTATACACAGTAACTGGGTTCATTTTGACAAAATCACATATGCAGGGAATTTGGTTTCAAGGCCCATCCATCCCACTTTTCCTCTCTTCCTCCCTCCCCCTATTCTTCCTCGGCTACTGTATTAAACTTCCTTTCTTTTACGTACACATAGAAGTGAAATTCTCTTTGACATGTTTATATATGAATATGACATGATTTTGTTAAACTCATTACATACACCTTCCCCTTTCCCTCCTCCCTCCCTCTCATTCTCCTATATCTACTCCACTGACTTCTCTGTATCTTTATGATACCTGATCCCCTCCCCCACTGCCTTCTCTATTTTGCTCTAACTTCTACATATGAGAGAAAACATTTGATTGAGTCTGGCTCAGAAAATTTCATTTAGTATGACTTTCTCCATTTCCAACCATTTACTGGCAAATGCCCTTATTTCATTCTTCCTCGTGGCTCAGTAAAACTCTATTGTGTATATAGACCATATTTTCTTAATCCATTCATCTACTGATGGGCATCTGGGTTGATTCCATATTTTGACTGTTGTGAATTGTGCTGCTATAAACATTGAACTGGCTGTACTGCTGTAGGCTGCTGATCTTAGATCTTTTGGATAAACACCGAGGAAAGAAATGGCTGGGTCACACGGTGGTTCTATTCCTAATTTTCTGAGGAATCTCCACATTGCTTTACAGAGTGATTGTACTCATTTGCAGTCCCACCAACAATGTAAGAGCGTACCTTTTCCCCACAATCTCACCAGCATTTGTTACTATTCGTGTTCCTGGTCACTGCCAGTCTGACCATAGTGAGAGAAATCTGAGTTCAGTTTTGATTTGCATTTCCCTAATTGCTACAGACACTGAAATTTTCAGAAATTTGTGTAAAACTGTTAGGGTCATTTTTTTCAGCCCACATTTATGCGTTTAGAGAAAACAAAAGCAAAAACAAAAGCCAAACTCTTAACAGTGTCTTCTAGGGCAAGGGGTCCCTTGCATGCCCAGCCTGCTCCATCCTAAGGCCAGAGCCCTTGGAGCTTCCTCTGCTCAGATGTTCCCCAGACTCCACATGGCTTCAGTTTAAGTATCACCTTTGTATGACCTTCTCCCACATTTTCCTGATCACCGTGGCTTTAAGCAGCATCCTTCATCATCATAACCTGCGACCATTTTTCTGCTTTGGCTGTGTACCTGCCTTTCTGTCTTCTTTATTAAAGTGAAAACTTGGCATAGACGGGGGACTTCTTCTGTCCAGTCCTTACTTTGGGTTGTCTGACAGAGACACTGTCACATAGCAGTGACACACAGCATATTCCTAGCTGAGCAGGTGTTAATTTTGTGGAATGAATGAACCACCATCAGTCTATAAATTCCTGAGGTTGAGCACTGTGTATTTTGGGTGTGTGCTGCCTGCAACCAGCACAGCGTCCGGCATGCAGAACGCCCCTCTTCACACTGGCTGGAGGAACGGAATCCTGCTATAAACCAGGACTAGGCTAGGAGTCAAAGCCTGGGACGGGGTGGGACATGCTGCTTCCTTTCCCTGAGATGTTCACAATTTGATGAGATGAAAGCAAAACATGCAAATGATTATCAGGGTACTAGATAGGGGCAAAGCCAGGCTCCATGGAAGATGTGACACTTAAGCTGTCTTTAAAGGTGAAATGAATTCATCAGGTGTCTAAGAAGACAAAGGACAGCCAGGGAGGGAGAACAACCACATGTGGAGATAAATAATCAGCAAGAGTCTAAAAGTGTTGGGGTACAGATGTAAGGGAAAGGATTGATGGAGGATAAGAATGGGATGCTATGGTAAGCAGCCCCGCGTCCCAGGGAAAAGGAATTTGGACTTCAGCCTATGAAGGATTGAGAGACCCCGGGGATTTCTTTAAGCCTAGTCATCTCATTAGATTTGTTTTAGAAAGATCTTTCTGGTTGTGGTATAGAAGATGGATTGGAGGAAGACTACTGCAATATGCCTAAGACAGAAAGTAGAGTAAGTCCCCGGGGCAGAATCAATAGGACCTGGTTATCTCTGTTAAATCAATAGTCAAACTGTCTAAGGTGAAAGATAAAGAGTCAGAATTGACAGTTAGGCTTCTTATTAGACCAAGAGCTGTAGCTGGTGGTGCCCATATAGAAGGAAAAGCACACTCAGACAAGGCCTTGGGCTCAGTAGGACATGTTGGGTCCAAGGTGCCATGAGCCAAGTACCCAAGACTTCAACCAGGAGGCTGCAGGCAATGATCTGGAGATGAGGAGGGACACCAGGCCACTGTACAGATGAGGTTGAAAGTAGGGGATTGTTCAGGCCAAGAACTGAGGGATGGTGAGAAGACAGAGCTCGACAGAGCACATGCAGTGGAGGGTGTTGCAGAGACAGCCCCTCAGCCAGAGATGCGGAGGAAGAACCAGGGCAGCAAGATCTTGTAGGAGGACAGATCCAGCCTCCCTCAGCTGTGCTGGAGGACAGAAGAGAAGTGTTCTGGACAGAGGACGAAAGAGGAATTAAGATAATTCATTTTAATCTCTGGACTTAAATTGACTATCCATTAACTATGACCTTTAAAACATCACTTAATATTTCTGGCCTCCACTTTTGTCTTTAAAATGTCCTTAAAAAGTTAAACACTGAATAATTTTTTTTTTCAGAACTGTTATGGCCTCACACAAAATGTCCCTTGCGCCATTGCTGGAACTGGTTTGAAGGTGAGATAAGCAGGGCCTGGCTTGTTCTGGCTTTTCTCAGTCAACACTCAGCAAGGGTCAAGCAGCTCTGAGGCACCTAGAAGCATCTCTGAGCAGAGCACAGGTCTCCAGGGCACGGAGGGGTAGCAATGGTGGTCTGTTCTCAAGATGTGCTAACAATTTTTAACATAACTCCTAACAGGAGGAAAGAACTCGAGGAAGGGGAGAAAAGTTATTTTTTTTTACTCTTGATTTGTAAGGCAGACAGCCTCGCAAAAGAGTCGATAGCCTTTGAGAAAATACAAGTGTCAAGAAAATGCAGAAGGGGGACTTGGTCAGACCAGGAGTAGAGTGGAGGGCCTCTCGCTCATCCTGGTTGATCTTCAACCCACATTTCCAATGCAACATATTCTCCTTTCTCGCTCATGCCTCTACACCCCACAAACGTGCGACCTTTAACCCTTATCCTCATCTGGCCTGTGACCTATGCTTCATCCACGAGATTTATTTTTAAAGCACATGTTTTAACTCTGTTAAAAGTATAAATGGCTTTTCACATACCATCTCCTGCCAACAGAGCGTCAGTCGTTTCTTATCTAAAGTGGTTTGGTTCAACATCTTGGGCTTTTTTTCTGCTTCAGAGATAAAGGCACTGCAAGAGAAGAATCACAATTTTGAAGGCCGCTTAGTGAAAATCCGTTTATAATTCCAGAGATAGGCAAATGTGCTTTCTACAATTCGGTGGAAAGCTGATGGAGACCCAGAACCAAGATTTTTCATTTAGGATTAGCAGGGATTCATAAACTTTTCTGGGAGACCTAAGGAAATTAGAAATGATGCCCTGACCCCGCATTGGTTTGTGGGAATGAATGTTTTTCCACTTTCTCTCATCAAATATCCATTGTGATTGTTATCAAAATTCATAGCAAAAAAGAAGCCTCACCAAATAATGCAGTTTTCCTTCATCTTGCAAATTTAAAACACAGCAAAAAATTTCCTGAAGAACTATATGCAAAGCAAATATTTCAGACTTAATGCTGAGACATATCCCCACCTTACTGAGTAGTAACATTTTTTGGAAATAAAGTAAAAAATGTGTTCAGTAGTATATTACTAAAGACGGTATGTACAATTCAAGAAGAAATGACAATAGAAAAAACTTTAGGAAATAAGATTTTGTCGTCCTTAGTGATACCTTAAATGCAAACTAAAATCAACACAATTTTACCTATAAAAATGAATAATATTCAAGGTTGGTAAAAGGGTGGGATAGAGAGGAGAGTGTGTGCTATTGTAAAAGAGTGTGTAAATTGCTTTAATGTTTTAGAGACTATTTAACAGGACCTATCAACATTTAAATGTACATTATATGATCAAAAATTATACTAGAAATCTTATCCTTTAAAAATAACTGAACAATTTTGAAAGAGTATGTTTATACAATAGCACCACAATAAATGGAGACAGGCTAAATATCATTAGAAACTCGTTTAGTGTGTTTGGACACATCCATCACTGAATATTGAAAACACCTCTTACAGGCTCCTGTAGAAAGATGTGTGTGATTTATCATTGAGTGAAAACACAACCTGCCGAGCACAATGTGTGATGTCATTTGGGAAGAAATAGAGTGTTTTTATAAGTGTGTGTTTATGCAGAAAATGAGTATGTATTTGCAAATTCAGAAAAAAAAAAAAAAGTCCAGGAGGACAAATCAATCGCTTCTCTCTGAAGAGCGGAATTGGAGTAAGAATTGAAAAGAAAACATCTACTTTATGATTTTCTGAAACAATGAACACTCAGTCCTTCCGCGATGAAAACAAGAGCCACTTATAAAGGGTGTAAGCAGGAGAGTCTTAGATGCCATGCCTCCCAATAAGAGCCCCAAACCAGAGCTCTGCCCAGGGACAGTTGGAGGCCTTGCCGGAAATCCACTTTGGGTATATTACATAAGTTGCACTTTCTCTTCATTTTTTAAAAATAAAAACGATTTTATTTTGAAGCGGCAGTTTGTCGACCCTTTCCTGCTTTTTCCAGAGGCTCAAAGACTTGCATTCCACTCTCCAAGATGGAGCAGACATGGTGGATGCTGAAGGTCTCCTTCCTCACAGGGAAAGAAAGAATTTGTTTCTTCATCAAATTTGGGAAAGCCAGGCGCAGTGGCACATGCTTGTAATCCCAGCAGCTCTGGAGGCTGAGGCAGGAGGATTGAGAATTCAAAGCCAGCCTCAGCAATGGCGAGGCGCTAGCAACTCAGTAAGCCCTGTCTCTAAATAAAATATAAAATAGGGCTGGGGATGTGGCTCAGTGTCTAAGTGCCCCTGAGTGCAATCCCTGGTACCCAAAAAACAACAACAAAAACAAAAAAAAAAAAAAATGGGGAAAGTGATAAGGCACATGCTTCCATCCATTCTTCATCTTTCAGACCAACCTGTCTCTGGCTGTGGGCAGCCTTGTTACCCCTATGTGGCAAGTGGCTTGGCCTTGTTGCAAGGAGACCGTGAAGTCCCACTGCTCAGCCATAAATAGGTGGGGAGGGACAGGAAGCCAAATTTGTCCTCAAGTCCAAGCCGCTTTCTCAAATCCAGGCTTAATAAATTTAAAATTAACATTTTGATCTCCGACCCTCACAAATATGTTTTCAGTTAATTGGAATTTGAAGAGAAAGGGGAAAAATTAATTATCCTAAAATAATCTCCTAAGATAAAAACGTTCTTAAGCTATTAATTTGTTCACAAACGCTTTTTAAAGATGATCAAAGGGGACCTTTCCCTTAGCTCACAGCATGCGTGGCACTAATATATACTGCTGATATAATAAAAATAGGAAAAATGCTTATTTATTTCTTTGCTTTCTTTTTTTATAAAGTAAAACCGGTTGGGTAATTGAGAGATTAGGAAAGACATAACTTAAAAAACATCAGGGTTAGCTACTGCCTGCTTTCTGGTTTTACCTTTCATCAAATCAATCAGACTCCTTTTCTATTAATTCCATTACGGTCAATTCTCATTTTGACTCAAGCCTGGACCTAATTCATTTCAAGAGTTGATCCAAGTTGTTTCCATATGGGGTAAGCAGCCTCTAACATGGCCCCCAGGGAGCCCCACCTCCTAAAATTCATGCCACTCTGCAGTCCCCTCCTTCTGAACATGGGCTGCACCTAGTGACTTGCTTCTAATGGAATACGTCAAGAGAGATGAGATGGCACTTCCAGGTTAGGTCATGGTAGACAGTGACTTCCATCTCACTGGTATGCTCTGTCTGACTCTTCCTGCTTGCTGACTAAATCAAGCTGCCATGTTAAGAGTGGCAGCTTAGAGTGGCCAGCACAGCAAGGAATGGAGGGGTCTCAACCAAATTAACAGGGAACAGACATTCTCCACCTGGCAGCCCACAAAGAACTAAATCTGTCAGCCATCATGGGAGTGATCTTGGAAGTGGATCTTTCCTAGTTGAACATACAGGTGACTTCATCCCCAGACAACGCTTTGATTTTGTACTCAGGGGTAGTCCTGAGCCAGAGGACCCATTTGAGCCACCCTTAGATTCCTGGCACACACAATCATAAATGCAATCATAAATTTTGTGTTAAGTCACTGAGTTTGGGGGTAAATTGCTACTCAGTCATAGGTAATGATATACCCTATATTATATACCCTATATTATTATATACCTTTTATTATATTGACTACCATGGAATAGGAGTCATTAATTAGCAAACATTAATGTGCCCTATGAAACATGTAATTGCCATATTTGATATAATTTATCCACTTAGTTGTCTAAATAGTTTGCTGAATATCTACCAAATGGCAAAACACCACACTGGGCTTAACACTGTGAACATTTTTCTTGTTCCATAAAGATTCTCTGCAGCAGTTCTGTCTTTCTTTTTATCTCTCCCCGTTGGTTTATGGCTTAGTTATTTAAGTGTCAGGAAGCAGACTTTGGTCCACAGGTTCCAGCTAAATTACTGAACAAAATGAAGACAGATATAATACTCTGAGTGTCCATCGGACACATGTGAAATGGACTATTTTTTTCAAGGTCATTAAAAGCCAATCCCGTGCACGCTCAGCTCCCCTGTGCCAGCTACCTGCTTTGATTGATGAAATCACTGAGCACCATCTTCATTTTATCTTCAGGAGCCTCCTCTGAAATCTTGATCAGCTCTCTCACTTCCTCTATACTCTCTTCCTGCAAACAAATGGCAGGGATGGAGGGGTGAGACTTGTAGTGGGGAGATTGATGGAAACAACCTAAACATGCCATTCAGCTCTTCTTTGTTTCTTTTGGAAATGGAGGAAGAATGCTTCCTTTCTCTTGTGCTTGAACTGGAAATGCTGCTGCATTCTGACTTTGAACCTTGTTTTTCTTAAGAGAACTGGTCTGGAGGCAAGGCTTCACATTGCTCCAAGTCATTGCTTCTACCCCAGATCCATTCGCTAACCATGTACCCCTCCCTCAGAGTCCATTATGGGGGAAATCTCATGTCATGAGAAATAGCTAACAACATAGAAGAAATTAGATACAATAACCCAAAACCCCAAAAGCATGTTCCAATCAATTTCTCAAATAGTCGTAGAATCTCTGAAAATAAAGAACTATACATACAGTGGTTATGAGATTTCAGCCAGGGGGTTGGGTAGACTACATGTGGAAATGGCTGTATATTTGTATATTTAGTAATTGCATGTTTCCTTTTGGCCTAAATTCTAGGATTCCATTCAGTAGCTTGGAGGTAAATGGCACCCAAGGGCAATTATGTGCTTCCACTACTTTGCTAGAATATACAAAAACTGTATTCTCTGTCATATGCCAAAGTCTGGTGCATGGGACATGTGCTCCTCTCTCTCCACCTTCACTATAAGAACAGGCAACATCGTGGAGTGGTTAAGGATGTGGGCTCTGGGGTCAGACTACTGAGTTCAAAGGCAGGCTTACTGCTGACAAGTGAATCAACCCTTTCATACCCAGTTTTGCTTCTCTATGAAACAGGATAATAATAGTTCCCACCTATTAAAGTGTGAACTTTAATCCTGTTAGCCATGATTGAAGGGATCCTGACACTAATATCAAAATCAGGAATGGGTATTAAGGCTTACTATGGCTTCCTGGAAAACTTCTGATTTGTTTTGTCAGGACTCTTAGAGATAAGCTATTCTCTCTGAGGGAAAAGCAAGACCAGCCTTCCGAAGAGAGTCTGCACATCCACATGATGTCACAGCATGGCCCCAGACCAGGCCTCTCTGACCACATTCTGGGTCTAGCTCTACAATCCCATGGCCAGAGCCAACACTTTTTATATACAATTAAGATTATAAAGCAAATGGGCAGGAGACGTTTGTTCTTTCCTTAATGTAGTTTTTAATGGAAAAGAAGAGATAAGACAAGAGCCATCTGGTGAGGTGTGTGGACTGCAAGTAGAGGCACTGCCCATGGGGTGTGGGGTGGGAGAGAAAGTGTAGGAGTGGGGACAAGGGTTAGTTGAAGCCAGAACCTATCAATTTTGTGACAATGTTTTTAAGCTCCCGCCCTTTGGAGATTAAAGAATCAACCTACTGTTAGGTCCAATAACTGTAAGAAGCAGAGAAGGGATATGAATTCAGACAGTTTGATTTAAAGTATAGGGATTTTGCAAAATGTCTTCTCATTTCTCTGGATTCACATGGTAGGAACCACATGCACCCAAAATGCAGTATCTGGACTGAGACTAAGACCTTCTACTGGAGGGATTTTTAAAAATCCCTCTTGCCCCCAATTTCCTTATGTACAAATCCAACACCTACCGAAGTCACTTACCAGGAGATCTGCCATTTTCTCCAGCATGTTGGACCACTGCAGCCTAAAGGTCTGATCTCCCCAAGAACTGATGAAGGAGACACAAGGCTTCTTGGCCTCAAATGGCAAATAGTTGTAATTCCTGCGAAAGCCCAAGGGGTTTGAAAATCAGTTGGCAATCAATATTCCAGGCAGTGCCAGCCCCATGTTGATGTTTTATTTGTGCTGGTGGGATGCAGTAAGAGTGGGGACAAAACTGTCACACTGGTAATACCATCCTTGGTCTACAGCTTGACACCCAGGGACAATAAAGCGTGAAGAGTTAATGGCTACAATGAAAGGTATTAACAGCTACCAGTAGATCCAGGGTGAGGGTCAGAAATGGTCAGCAGAGGGCAGGATTTATTGGACAAGACTTTCTTTGTGGAAGCTTAAATTGAGAGAGGAAAATTGACTTCATTTTTTATTGTCTATATTCTAGACACACGCAAGAATTGATTGAGATAACAGATGTGAATGTATTTTGTAAACTAAAATTGCTAAGGATGGTGGAATGTGATGGACATCATTATACAAAGTACATGTACAAAGACTTGGATTGGGTGTTAACATACTTTATATACAAACAGAGATATGAAAAACTGTGGTATATATATGTATTAAGAATTGTAATGCAAAAAACAAAGTATATATATAAAGGCATAAGTTGGTATGAACATACTTTACATACAGATACGAAAAATTGTGCTCTATATGTGTAATAAGAATTGTAATGCATTCCACTGTTGTTGTGTATTTTAAAATAATAATAATAATAATAATAATAATAATAATAATAATAATAATAATTGCTAGAGAAATACAAGGTATTAATATTTTTCATGAGGGTGAAGGTGTGTCCCAAGTGAAACTTCAGTGTTTTATGGCTTGGCATCCATCCATCTATCCATCCATCCATCTACCATCCATCCATCCGTCTACCCATCAATACTTACAGTTGCCAGGCATTGGTGCTAATAATGCAGGTAAATTGCTTGGCAAAGAAGGGACAAGAGGGATAGTAAAGTTGCTAAAAGGGGAAGAGGTAGAGCCACAGGGAGTGTTTGAGGGTGACATTGGATAGTGAGCCAAGTGCAATGGAGGACAGAAAACAAGGAATTAATTTGCAGACTCAGTTCCCAAGGAGGAAGGGGACAGGTGCAGAGGCAGGTAAGGTGGGAGGGTCGTGGCAAAAATTTATAAGTTCCCACCTAATGACAGCTATTTTCTCAACTGGGTTTCCCTCAGACCCCTAGTAATTTTCTCAGACACCTGGGACTGTGGAAGGCAGGCCAAAGCAAGCCCCCAGAACAGGTGTGGTGGTGCAAGTGGCCCTGGTAATGTGGACAGTGTCTGGAGCAACACATCTACAGAGGGTGAGGCAGGGAAACAGAGAAATAGGGAGGAAACAAACTTTGTTTTTATTCCTTAGAAACTAAAATGAATTTCTGCCTGAAAAACTGAATTCTGACCTGAATTTCTCCTGAAGTAGACAATAAAATTAGCACAGAGGCCCCCTGGCCCGTTCTGCAGAAAATAAACCAGCAGGTGTCCATTCAGAAAAGAAGCCAGATAAGTTCTTGGCAGAAATTGAGGTTGTTGTTACAGCAGGAGATGACAACAGCAAAATAGGTTAGAAATGAAGCCACTCTGCTTGTTTTCTCTGTTTTTAAGTCACTGTGTTGAGAATCCTGCAACTAAATACATTCCCACCCAGTATGGTCCCAAGCTCTTTGATTTGGGTCATTCTGTGCTATTAGGTTTGGGGCCTTTGACTCTAAATCTCAGGTCCTCCTGGCCTTACTGAGACGACACGGATCAGGAGACTGTGGCTTCTGAGGCAAGCTGCAGTGCAGATGGAAGGGCACCTCGTGCCATTGGAGAGAGAAGACTGCCAGTTTTAATGGCTGCCCTGACTGGGGACCAGCCTTGTGACTTAGGGCAAGGGTAGGTCTGGAATCCTGAATTAAATAATGGCCCACCGTTGGATGTCTTCTGCTATAATCTCATTCCTGACCTCTGACCCAGCACATAAATCGTATGCAAATGTACATGCTTTGTAAAACTAGAAAGCCCAGAACATGTATACTGTTGTATTTTATTGAAATAAGTTGTGTATGTTCATACATGTGTGTGCATGTGTGTTTGTGTGCACGTGTGTGTTCATGTGTATAGCAATTTAGTATAGACAGACTCTTCCAATCCAGCTGCTGCCTCTCTGGTTTGCCACTATGTGGAGAAAGCCTCAATACAGTGATTGAGAAGTAAAAAGAAAGGCCAACTCTACCAAAAACCACCACCATGACTTATTTTTGATTTTCTGGTAGCACTCAGATATGCTCTATCCAAGATGCCTTGAGACCTCTCAGCTCCTCCTAAGCCCTTCCCATACTCCACCCTGAAATCCCACCAATAGTCAATAATGGGCTAGTCCAGCAAGGTGAGGAGGGTGATTGGAGGCAGAGTCCCTCTGAGTAGCCTCAGGAAGTCTCTCCAAGCTGCAGATCCAGCTGTAGGATTCACTGATGTCTCAGCTTTGAGAATGGAGTTCAAGGACAGGGAAGTTTGGGATTCTTTCATCCAAAAAGAAAAAACATCCATGTATGGATGCCAAGGAGCCAAAGAGACTCCAGAGAAGGGGATCCAGGTAGAGGAGATGTGTTCCATGGGAGGGAGGGTTTAGAAAATGTAGAGAATGCTCAAAAATAAGAGGAACAGCAGCTAAGTTAACTGCTTTAACTTCCTCCACCTACTTTGACCAACACTCCTTCCACCTCTTATGCCTTTCTCATCTTTCAGAGTGTCACCTTTTCTATGACCTATCCCAACTCTACCTCCTCCTCAGCAGGCTTAGTCACCTACCCCTTCTCTAATCCTAGAGTACCCTGTGCCAAGCCAGGAACTCCTTGATTCATCCAAAAATACGTATCCACCTCTGTGCCAGGCACAGAGCTGAGGAGATAAACAGGTGATGGCACAATACCTGCCTTCAAAATGCTCACTGTCCCAGAGGGAAGACAGGTGAGTACAGATATCTTAAGCCAGTGTGATTTGTGCTTGCTGAAGGTGTACGGAAGTCCATACCAGGCTTGGGGTCCAGGGGAAGGAGTCTGGGCTTACTCTTGAAGGGTGCAAGGAGCTGGCAGCTGAGGAGGAGCCTGCTGCCAGAGAAGCATGTCCAAAGACGCAGAAGCAGCAATCAGCAGGACAAGTTGAGGATTGCACAGCTGGAGGAAGTGGAGTGGGTTGGGTAGGGGATTGGTGGTGACTCCAGATGATGCTGGAGAGTAGATGGGGATTAAAGCCACAAGCTCCAGCCTCTGGAATTAATTCTAAAAGCACAGGGAGTCAATGAGGGATGTGAATCAGGGAAATAATTGGTTCAGCGAGTTCAGTGAGTATCTTGAAGAAAATCCAAGCCAGGTAGGAGATTTTTAAGATAATTTAGGCCAATGATGCCAATGGCCAGAATTAAAGAAATATCAATAGATAGGAAGAACTAGAATTGATCAGACTTCATCCCTGATTGAATGTGGGTATGAAGGAAAAAAAGAACAACTGACAACCTTCCAGCGGTGGGTTGGAGGACTCAGAGAAAGGCGGAATGAATTCATAAAATAGGAAAGATAGGACAAGGAGAAAAGTTATCTGTGAAAATATTGAGCCTGGTAAATGATCTGTGAGATGCCCAAGTGGGGGTGTTTGGATCTGATGTTCAGGGAAGAGAGCTGTCAGGGGGATTTGGGAATCCTTGTTATCCTAACAGTGGTCAGGAACCCATGGGTCAGTTCCCAGAAATAGTGTCTAGGTCAAGAAGTGCAGAGATTAAAGAGATGGCAATATGGCCTTGTAGTGGCCTATTGAGAGCCATCTGTGGGCTGTGTGTGGACTACTTCACACACATCACAGCCTAATGAATAGGAGAATCTGGTGTCTAGGGACTTCCAGTGGACATTTCCTCTGCCTAAGACTGCCCAGACACATTGTGAGCCCTATTAAGCTCTTTCTTCCATTGGAGATGGGGTGACCTGCTGCAGCCATACAGCCCCTCTGAGATGGGCTTGAACTGCCAACATGCCAATCAACCTTCTGACTGCAAGACATAAGGAAGCAAGACTCCACCCCTGAAACCTTATCCCTGCCTTTAATGTATCCCTCAAATAAACCACAGGAGCCATTTTCTAATTGTCTAGCCCCAGCTCCTGTGTGGACTGGACCTATCAGGGCCTCCAGCTTTGGAAAATATATCTTTCTGACTTTGTCTTTTGTTCTTCACTAACTATTTTAGACTTTAATGTCTTAGGTGGCTTACATCCTCCTGAGCAGGAAGAAGAACCCCCTAATGAGGTGCTGGATACCTCCTCATAGTGGCTAATGTAACATGGCTGGATTCCCATCTCCCACATGTGAAATGAGGAATGACATCAGAGATTTTTTTCACTCAAAACACAAGATTCAACAATAGAACACTCTTACTATATTTGCTTTTTTTATTTTCATAAATCACTTGATTGGTGCTTGACACTAATTTCTTAAAAAAGAATGCTATCTTTTTATATCTCCTTATAGGTTGAAAATTTGCATGGATTAAAGGAGATCTGTGGGGGGTCTGTGTAGGGGCCCCATTGGAAATGGTCTTTTCTGGTGGCTGACAAACATTATTTGAGTTCTTTGGTTTGCAAATAACTGTGGCAAAAACATGTATTAAATAATCCCACCAAATCAAGTTAACATAGTGACACAGAGGTGGATAATAACTGTTAATAGGATTTAGTGTGAAATGTTAAGTTCAGACCTTTGGACTCTATTGTGATTCAAAGTTATAGAGAAAAAGGATTTCAGACATGATCATCACCATCATCCCTGTTCTGTCCTTAAATAAATAACATGTGGAGTGCTACTTACCATGTCTCCCCTTTGTACCTTGCCCCATGACTGAGATAAAACAATAATGTTTCTGAATTTCAGGAAGAACTAAATGAAAGAGCCCCAGAAACTGAGCCAAATCCCACCATCCATCAGGAACCTTGGCTGCTCTCACCTGCTGTGCCTCCTACCTGTTCCCCTCGGTCACCAGAGGCTTCTCTGGATGAGTGGTGGAAGACATGGGGATGGCCACATCGTGGGCTGCTTCCTCTTCTCCTTCCTGCAGCAGGGGAACGGCGTCTTCTTCAGTTAATTCAGAGGACTTCTTCTTACTGCCATGATGGAACCCTCCGTCAATCAGGTTCCCAAAATTACCTGCAGCAGCAGGGGGAGAGGGGCTGGGTGTCAGCAAGTAGAACCAGTCGACTTGGCATGAGGGACCCGAGGTCTCGTCCTCCCATGGCAATAGATCCCCCAGGGTGAAGGTGGAAAGAACAGTGGTAGGAAGAGAATAAAACTGACAACGACAATGAGCCACCCTCTCCATCCCCTTACTTGCTCTTTTGTAAAAAAACACAACTTAGAAAGTAGAAGACGTAGGCAAGTAAAAACAGAAAAGGGTTGCTAGAAATTACAAAATTCAGTTATAGCCATTTTTAATATCTTAGTGTATATCCTTCCAAAAGTTGGTAAAGGATCATTGAAGATGTGTCATTTTGTAAACCAATTGTTTTCACTGAAAAAAAAAAAATCTTGTAAACCTTTCCCAAACTGCTTCTCCTCTAAGAGAAGATTCCTTGTCTAAGTCCCCAAAGTCAACATCATGTTTTAAAAAGAAATAGGAGGTGGAGAAAGGAGGAAGAAGGAAAGAAGGGAGGAAAACATTACACGGGGGCAAACAGGGCAGCTTTTGTAGGACAAATGTCTCTGCGTAAGAATACATAGCCCCTGCAGGATTATTGGTGTCCTTGATCTTTCTATTTTATAATCTGATTTCAAATGCTTAACAAAAGACTAAGATGAATATGGCCAGTCCCAGAACTGGCCATATTATAGACCTGGTCAACTTTGTTTAAATCAAGAAAACTCTGGGATCACAAGCTTGTGATCCTGGAGCCCCTTAATTTGGGAAGTCTTCCTAAGTCCTCCATTTCTGGCCTCCCTCTCTGGCCTCTTCTCCTCTCCACACCGGCTGCCTGCCACTCCTTTCTATTTCTGTAGTAGATGCTGTTAGTGCTTCATCCAGATACTTTACCAGCTACCAAGATGGCCAGCAGCTCACAGTGGCCACTTTCCCAAGAACCACTTTCTACTCATGGAGACAGTACCCCATTTCCAATTTTCTGCCCTGCTGCAAGACAACTGCCTGAATCAAGATCTTCTCTGATGGGATGCTATTCCTTGGAATGGCTTACCCAGCTGCACCATAGCCCAGGAAGATTGCTAAGACTTGGGGTTTCCCAAGGTCAAGCATCTACTGTGCATGTGCTACTTCGCAGGTATGAGCTTATTTATCCCTGAAACTCTGAATCTAAACCTATTCTGTTAAACTCTTTTTAAAAGTATGAAAAAAAATCTGTCCCTTATACATAGACAATAGGGACTTCTCCCTTCTTTCCAGGATGCCCACCTCCACTAGGGTGCTGTCACTTCACATAGGACACTAATGAACTTATTCAAGAAACAGGTCTGTGTCAAGCACTGTGCTTGTCTTCACTTACCAATAGAAACCTCAAAGCTGATGGGTTTATCACCAATCTTCCGGTCAATCATGGTAGCTTCGAAAAATGCCCCAAAGAGTAAAAATTCCTCATATTTTTCTGGCGTGATCTACAGAAAGAAAAAATATATTAGACAAACTGATTATCTTCTTTCACCAGGAAGCCAGGTCAATGAGGTTGACCTGCTTCAACAACATTTATAGACACTTGACTCTGTTTCAGCCTAAAATGCTGCATCTCCCCACTGATCAGACAAGCAGGAATCATGGCCAATAAATTGCAAATCCAAATGCAATCACTTACCTAGAATGATCAGACTCAACCTTCTGATTGGCTACCTTAAAATGCAGAGAACCTCCTTTCACATCAGAGGCTCAGCTTGGTGTCTATGTCTTTCTAAGACTCTGGGTGAAACGCCAACCTGGGATGACCTTCAACTGATCAGGCTTTCAGAAACGAAAAACCAAAGATGAAATCCTGAGTCACAGCAACCCTTGCTTTTGGAGCTTGACTTCATGGCTTCTACAGGATGCTCACATACATTATGTTATTTGTCCCCCCCCCCAACAACAACTTTGAGAGGGCAAAATCTGGACTATTCCCATTTTTCAGACAAGAAAACTAAAGCTTGAGGTTGTCGAGTAGCTTTCCCATGTGTTGTGACCACAGATGTGTGTTATCCCAATCCCCTGTGCTGACCCAAAGTCAAAGTTACTTCCTGAAATAATGAGCAAACTCAGTTAAAAGGGTGGAGGGTTAGATGTGCCCAGGAGTGTCAACCAATCCTGTAAATCCAGGGTGCTAGAGGCCCGATGGCTGCTGCTGGGAGGGATCCACCCAGCCTGAGGCACATGTGCTTCTATGCTACAAAGGGCCAGAGTGTTTATTCCAGCTTCCACCCTTTACCTGAATAAACTAAAGTTCAGAGAGTAGGAGGCTTCCCAAGGTCAAGTCAAAGCAAGTAAAAGCCAGACCTGAGAGCTGTCTCCACCAAGGCTGCTTTGAAAATGAACTTCTATTCTGGAAGCCTAGGACTGTGGCAGGTCACAAGACAGGGGCCATCCCAAGGTAATACACAATTATTTTCAAATGACTCTTACTGACATGGAACAGGCTATGATTTAGGGAGCAGATGTCAATGGAGTACAGTGACCCAGCATCACATTCTGGGTCATACAATCTTTGCTTCCTGGTTTGTTTGTTTTTGTTTGGTTTTTGGTTGGACTTATTGAAATCTGCAGAAAACCAGTAAGATTAATCTAAGGAAACAAAGCATTTGTAGCCCCTGGGGGTTAAAGTCACATTGGGTTAAAAGCATCCTTCAGACAGTCAATCATTAGGTGAAGGGTGACCCCTTCCTTCACTTGGGCTCCTCCTGTGGTGTTGGCAGTCCCAGGAAATGTTTCTGTTGACCAGAAGCATGGAACAGGGTGGGGGCTTGTGCTGGATCTTTTAAATTATTTTTAGATATATATTCACATTGGGATACATTTGGACATAATCACAAAAGCATGGAATATAATCTGCTAATTCAATCCCCAGCACTTTCACCTACCCTTCTCCCTCCCTTGTTGCCCTCCCTCTACTCTACTGGTCTTTCTGGAATTTATTTATATACATATATATTTTCAATTAGTGTCTTGTGGATTATACTTGATGCTTGAATTCACTGTGGTATATTCATGTATGTACGTATGAAAGTTTGGTCAGATTCATTCCACTGTTCTTTCCCTATCTTGTCCCTCCGTCCTTCCCCTCAATCCCCTTACTCTACTAATTTTTCCTCTATTTTTTTTTAAATTCTCCCTTCCCCTTATTTTTTTTTTCCTTTCTCTCTTCCTGCCCTCCATTTTGGATTAGCTTCCACATATCAGAGAAAACATTCAAGGGCCTTTATGGCTGAGTAATAATCCATTGTGTATATGGACCACATTTTCTTTACCCATTCATCTGTTGAAGGTACCTAGGTTGGCTCCATAACTTAGCTATTGTGAACTGAGCTGCTATAAACATTAATGTGGCTGCATCACTGTAGTATGCTGATTTTAAATCCTTTAAATACCAAGACCTGGGATGGTTGAGCTAATTTTTAGTCCCACCAACAATGAATGAGGGTACATTTTCCTCCACCTCCTTGCCAACATTTATTAGTATTTGTATTCTTGATCATTGCCTTACTGACTGCAGTGAGATGAAATCTCTGTGTAGTTTGATTTGCATTTCCCTCATTGCTAGAGATGCTGGACAGTGTTTCATGGATCTTAGTCACAGTCCACCCACTGCAATAACCATTTCTTATCTCACCTTCCCAGGCTGAGTTCACTCTCCAGGAGGAGGAGCCTGGGAGAGGGACTGCCAGGACCACAGCCAGAAGAGACTTCTTCAAATCTCAGCTCTGCTATTTCCTAGCTTTGGGCAAGTCATGCTCACTCTATGACTGTCACTCTCCTTATCTGTGACATAAGCATCATAATAGGGCCCACCGGGAGGAAATGGAAATGATAAGAAACTGCCTATGAAGTAGGTTATCACAGGAAGTAGGAGGGTAAGTCACCTGCCCAAAGAGTCAAATGGAGGCAAAGCCAGGCAGTAATCCCGCACCACTCTGCAACAACCTAAAGCCATTTGCGTTGACGACCTATATCTGTACCTCCCAATGCACTTACATTGGTTTGCATGTCTTCCTTCCCCTTCTATCCCATAAACTAGGCTCTATTTTTACTCTTACCAAGCTGAAAATGGTATTTAAACAAGAAGCTATTCAACAAGTGTCCATTCAAAATGGACACGTTTTAGGTTGACTCTACTCCAGGGGAGTTTGGCACAGGGGAACAGGGCAAGCTTTGATGGTGTGAGAGGGGTGGTTGGGGAGGCCAGCACTATGGGGTCTCTCGACTGCCTATATGTGCAGTGAGGGCATGACTTCAACTGGAAACATGGGAGCTCGAGGACCCTGGGCATCTAAAAGAGATGTGGTACAAAGGGTTGTTGGGGGCAAGCTCCAAACTGCTCAGGCTGCAGGGAGGGTAGAAGGTCAGAGCTGTGGTTTAAAAATATAACCACAAATTCTCAGCCAATCCTCCCCTGAAAAAAAATGAAGCCTAATTCTCCTCCCTTTGCAGATGGGCTGGACTAATAATTTGTTTCTAGTAGAACACAGCAGAAACATCAGTGAGTGACTTCCATGGCCAGGTCATGAAAGAGTCTCTGCCTTACTCCCGTTTAGATCACCTGCTCTTGGGGAGCCAGATGCCATGTCATGAAGACACTCAAGCAGCCTGAGAGAGGGTCCACATAGTGAGCAACTGAGGTCTCCCACCAACAGCCAACAGGGCTAACCTCCTGCCAAGTGAGGTAGGGCCTTCAGAAGGCTTCTGTCCCTGCCAAGACCTTGGCTGAAATTTCATGAGGAATCCTGAGCCAGAACACGAGCTAACTATTCCCAAATTCCTCACCCACAGAAAATAAGCATTTGTTGTTTTCAGCTAAGCTTTGGGTAAGCTGTTGGGCAGCAGTAGGTAACCATTAAACCCAAGGAGGAACCGGCCACAAACAAAAGCCCAGGTGAAGGAGGAAGCTGGGGACAAGAGTGTGAATGATGCCTGAATTTCCTGCTCTCTGTCACCTTCTACACAATAGCCAAGATGTCCCCTGGCTTTGTAGACAAGTAAGTTCCCAAGACTCCCTTGCTCCCGGATAGAGTTTATTTCTTCAGGGACCCTCAGCAAAATATCTTAAGGATATTGACTTCCATTAAGAAAATCTTCTAGTTTCTTTCTAGATTGCAATCCTAGCTCATAAAGGAATGTCCAACTTCAGCCTTCAGTAGGAGAGAGTACCAGAAGGACAGATACAGGGAATATCAGCTCAGGTGGCCATTAAGCGACTCATAATTTCTTGGTGAGTCCAAAGTTAAGTTTTCAACATTGGCATATATTCTGAAAGCACACAGAATCCCTGATTCTAACCACAACATACTGGCAGCACACATTTCCAGAGACTGTTTCCCAATATGTGAGTACAGCGGCAGAGCTGGGGAAGTCCCTGAAATACCAAGTCACAAACAACAGGTGGAAAGCTTTGGAGAGCTGCCCCCTAGTGGCAGGAGCAAACTACAGTTCCATTGAGAACAATAACAAACGCATGGTAAGCTGACTGCGCATGTGTCAGAAACTCTGCTGACCCATTTACACGCATTCTCTCCTTAACCCCCAGCAGATGCCCACGACAGAGCAGCTGTTAGACCTCATTTTGCTGATGAGTAAACGGAGACACAGTGGTATTAGCATCCCAGCCACGAGGAGCACCAACCCCAAGGCTGCCAGCCCTGTGTTCCCACTTGTCCCCTACAGTTTCCGCAGGTTTATAAGATCCCTGTGGTAAAAATAAGTGGCTCTGCCAAGGCCAGAGGGTCCCTCACACTTCAATCCTGTGGCTGCCTAGGAATGGACAGCTCTGGGAGCCCAGCCATCACCTCCGGTCCAGTTGACCTGAGAAACACTCACTCCAGAGGCAGACTTAGCCAAGCTGAGACGCTACCCACCTCAGCCGCTGACAAAATGTGAAACTCACTTGCTTAACTACAAATTGCTATTGCAAAGCTAAGTGGTGACAGACATCGATGTTCACCCTGGAGCCCAAGATCTCCTGCTCATAATAAAGAGGAGGGCTGGCAAAACGCTGCTGTGCTTATGGAGAGCAGCAGCAGGAGATCCCTGGGGCTGTGCTTTCTTCCCAGCTTCAGGCAGGGAATAGGGTTCTCAAGTTCTCACACCCAGCTTGCGGCCTCCTCCCCTCCTCTCCCACCCTCCTCCTACCCAAGCTCCCAGAAGCCCACACGGATCCAGCTGAGCCAGTCCCCCCCCCCCCCCCCCCCCCCGCCTCCCACTCCCACCAGCACCCCAGAGCACTTCCATGTCTCTTCCCCTGGGTTCCCATGGAATCTGTGTTTCAGGGGGACTCCGAAGGAATCTGTCCTAACAGATGGCTGTGCAGAGGCAGAGGATCCACCCCAGAACACAGGGCTGGGCCAACAATTTTGCAGGAAGAATGACACAGCTGCAGGCAAAGACCTTCAGGGAGCCTGGGACAGGTGCTGTGTTGTGTCCTGGGCTCGCCTCAGGTGGGGTCTCGAGGAGCAGAGCTCAGACCTACCTCCGGGGGGACGTCGAAGGGCTCCACCTCCACCTCGGTGGAGTGAGCTCTGTCGGACGGCTGCTGGGGCTTCCCATCATCGGCTCTGTCCGCCTTGTCCTTACTGGAGCCTTTGGAAGACTTGGAGTCTTTGTCCTTGGAAGACAACTTCAGCTCCTTCAGTGCCTTGGAAAACTTGGACTCCTGTGCCCCTCCTGAGAGGATTTCCACAGCAATTTCTACCAAGATTCTGCCCCTGAATGACACCCCTTCCCCAAAGCCTTCATTCAGTTCCTGGTAGTCGTCCATCAGACTGTGGTTCCTGGGGGAGCCGTACAGGTTGATCCAGGCAGGTCCAAAGGTAGGGAGGAAGCCTAGGAGGACCCCAAGCTTTAGTCATCTGGCAGGTTTTCAAGTTTAACACGCATTCTCTTTATCAAAGCTATTCACAGTCTTTTAAAAATATACAATACACAGAAAAGACGAAAGAGGGTATTTGCAGGATATAGTATCACCAAAAGACATTGAACTGATTTTTCTTTTCATCTTTTTTTCTGTACGTGTCTCATTTGTAACATTTGCAGTACTGTTATGAAGGCCGACGAGCCTCCCTTTGCCTCCCTTCATTCATCAAACGTTTATTGACTCCTAACCAAGCCAGCCACCGTGCCAGAGACCAACCAAAGAGCTCAGCGGAGGACAAGCAGACACAAACACTGAACAAATAAATATTTACATTATAAACACCACAAAGGAGACCTACAAACAGCAGGCTGATACTGCATGGAGAGGAGTTAGGCAGGCAGAGAGAGAAGGGAGGGAGAGAGAGCAAGAATGCATGTATGTGCGTGTGTGTGCATGTGTGTGCACATGTGTGTGTGTGTGTGTGTGTGTGTTCTGGGCTGGGGAGCAGCATGTGCCAGTTGGAGAGGAGCAGGGAGCTAAAGATTGAGCTGAATGAGGAGCCAGTGGGAGGTGGTGTCTTAGAGGTCTTGATAAGGATTTTGGTCTTTATCTTAAATTCCATGGGGATACATGAAAGGAATGTAAGCAAAGATGTGGTACGGTCACATCTCTTTTAAGATCACTGTGCTGCTCTGTGGAGGGGAATGAAAACAGATGTGGGCATACTGGCCCACTGACCATTTCATCATCAAAACTGAAGACATCAGCGGCTTGGAACAGGGTAAGGTAGCTGAGATGAAGAGAAATGAGTGCTTCTAGATATGTTCTAAACATAGAGCTGAAAAGACCTGGTAATTTTAACTTGTTCCTGGCATAAGTATTTTCCCTTCTTAAAATATAGTGTTGGAGAAAATGCACAGTATCTTTGGGAACATCTCTTTGGCAACATTAATATTCCTTTTTGGCTCACAGTTCAGCCTCGTGGTCCTGAAGTTTGAATCTCAGCTCTGGCACTTTCAAACTATGTGACTTTGCACAAGTTTTGTCACTTTTTTTTTAACTTCTCTATGCCTCAGTTTCCTCATCTAGAGGAATTGTTAATAGTGCCTATCTCACCTACCAAAATTAAGAGAAATTGATGAGGTGATATTGGCCCAGTTATATTGTTGTATTGTGTGCGAGTACAAATGTGTAACAACAAATCCCATCAATATGTACAACTATAATGCACCAATAAAAATGTGGAAAATTTTCAAAAAGTAATCATGTCTAAGAAGCGTTTCACACAGACCCTTGGGGAATGTTTAAGAATATTACTATTGTGAATAAATAAATGTATCTTAATTTGCCTACAATTCCCCCATGGTGGACAATTAGATGTTTCCATACATGTTTCTGTTAATAGTCGTTTTGTGCCTAAATGTTCTCTATCCAGCCCTGACTTCAATGGAGTAGATTCTCGCCCTCCCTTATGTAGACTTGGAGCAGGGAAATTGTATTAAAGGAAATAGAGAGATTTTATGGTCCCTGATGTCTACTTGTTAAGCACTGATATCCATCTTCCTGAACACATCAAAGTGCTTCTGAAAAGTTGTGAATAAAACATGCTGGCATCGGAAATGGGAAAATGGTGTAGACGGGGGACTGTGCTTTTCTGTGTCAAGTGGTAAATGCTTCCATAATGTGAAGAAAGAGACAATGGAAATCCATTGAGACCTTTCTATGCTGTCGCCCATGAGGGGCATAAAATTATGTAATTCCTGTTCTCTGTTCTTAGCAAGGCTTCAATCTGATAGAGGGAAAAGGTACCATAACTATACTAACTTCATATATGATATATTTATGATGTTCTACCTGTATGCACTTATGTGTTTGGGTTTGTGCATACATGTGTGTGATCTGTGTGTGTGCATGCCTCCATAATTGTCCATTAGCATAAACTAGCAGTACAGGGAAAGGTTGCCTGGGGATTTAAAGAGGAGGGATATGTTGAGCTATTTGGGGAATTGTCACCCACTAACTAGGTTTTCCAAACAAAAAGCCATACACTGAAGTCAGGTGCGGTGGCATACACCTGTAATTCCCAGTGGCTCAGGAGGCTGAGGCATAAGGATAGTGAGTTCAAAGCCAGCCTCAGCAACAGCAGGGGGCTAAGCACCTGAGTGAAACCCTGTTCTAAATAAAATATAAAAAAGGATGGGGATGTGTCTCAGTGGTTGAGTGTACCTGAGTTCAATCCCCAGGACCCCCCCCCCCAAAAAAAGGTATAATACTGAGTAGAAGCTCTTTCCCTGACCCCTTCCTGCTGACTTGGGGGTTAGCTGGGACTCTCTATTCCCTTCTTGGATTATTCTGCTGGCCACAGCTCCCCACCAACCTCATAATTTCATGCTCCCATCAGTGGTTGGGGACGTAATTGTGGTGGGGGGATCTGAAATGTAAAATCCATTTTGCTTGTGAGTCGTTCCAAATTTTTTAAAAATCTAGTGAGTCAGATTAGGTGGATAAACCTGAGTTTACCAACCTCAGATCTAATCAATTAGATTCTATCAAGGACACAGAGTGGTGCTCATGGAAGACCTGGGACCAGGACCAACCTGCCCCCCTGAGCCCAGCTCCAACCTCCACCCTGAACCAAGCCAAGCTGCAGACCGACAGAAGCCTGGCCAGGCCTAACACCTGCTGCCTGGACCCTAAAGACGAGGGCCCGAATGCCGTCATTTTGAGACCTGTTTCCAAGGCAGACAAGGGAGGCTTCACCTTTATCTCCATCCTGCTCATTGGAGATCTTCTTCAGGTCGATGAAGTGGGTTGCCAGCGCCACGTCATTCATGCTGCCTTCGTCCCACACCTGGATCTTCACCCTCCGACACAAGGGAGGGAACATTTCCTTGAAGACCACCTGTTCGTGCCACACGGGGTTGGCACAGTTCTTTTGCACTGTGGTTCGCCCCTAAAAACAGACAGAAGGATGTGAGCTGTGAAAGGAAGTGACTCTCTGCGGAAAGCTCCTCATGCCAGCTGGAGATGGGAAGCAAGCAGCCCAAAATACTGAAGCTGCTTCCCCCTGGCACTCAGGAAAATCAGCTGCACCCAACACACTGTTGGAGGACCCCCTCGGTGCTGGCTGCTGTGTGAGGCACCAGGGACAAAAGCTAGTCAGTGCCCTTGGGAAGTGCTAATGGGCACATCAGAGCTGGGCTGGAACTACCACCTGTGCTGTGAACAGAGCTGTTCTGCACATCTCCAGGAAGGCCCTGGTCAGAGCTCACCCCCAATAAGTGGGGTGAAAGCACTGCTGGTGGCAAAGCACTACTCTTGTCTGGACCTTGTTTTTGTTGTTGTGTTGTTGTTATAAAGTGGAGATGATTTCCTATATGACCTCCAAGAACTTGAGGCAAAAATACTACCACGTTCACCCCTTCCAAAGGAGGCGTCAGGGTGACTTTATGTTTTGGTAGCAGTGACATCTGTGTCAGCCTGAAGCTTCAAAGTCCAGTCAACCAGGATGGAGCTCTACCATGTACCCAGGTCCTGGTCCTTTCCTGTGGCCTTGAGCAGGGAACAGGTTTCCAGGCTTATGTAGGACGAGGACCCTGGGATCCTTTGTGAAACAGATCAGAAAATGGCGGTGATTCTACAGGGGTTGGGGACTAGGTGGTGGCTCGGAGACATAACCAGTGGTGAGGGAGGATGCCTGTCATCCTGGGTCCTAGATCATAATCCACCCTGAGTCCTTCCCTTATTCTAATGAGGAGTAAGTGGGCAACACCCCCAAACCCCACCCACCACCTGACCCAGTGCCTTCTGTGGCAAGTCTTGTCTTTCAAGGCACTGCCCAATTTTTATTTTAACTTAATTTTGTTTGATTAAAATGCCCGGGATACAGGGCAGGGTCCTGGCCCAGGCCTGCTAGAACTGGTGACAATGGTTCCTCACCGTCTGCCCAGCAAAGGTGACCTCCACAAAGGGATCCACAAGGTCCTTACTGTCACCCACAAATGCTTTGGTGACGTTTGCCATGATGCTGGAATTCATTTTGGGCAGTCCTTCTGCCTTGTAGAGTCTTACATAGAATCTGGCCCAGGGTCTCTCTGATGGAAACCCCTGGGGTATCAAAAGGTTCCTTAGAAAGGGAAATAAATAAATATATAAATAAATAGGAAGCCCTCTCATTTGAAAGAATAGAAAAGACAGAAGCAATTTAGAAGCAGAAAAAGACTTTGGGTATATAAGAAGACTTAGGATTTGCCCCTAAAATGAGTTTTCTTTCTAGTGTAAATCACAGTTAAGGGTCAGAATAGAGCCCATGCAAACTCCCCTAGGTTCTGGAATCACAGAGCAGACACTGTCTCCCACTCTGCACCTTAAAAGGGAGCATTTAAGTCTCCCCAGGTCACAAATCAGGAGTCAAAATTATCATTCCTTCAAAGAAAACTCATCTACATTTGGATAAATCAGGTAAGCTCAGCATATCCATAACAGGTATCAGAGGAAGACACACCATTCTTCCTCACAGCTGACCTCCCGAGGGAAAGCCATGACTTTGAGGGGACACATCATAGTGCTTCTGATGGAGCAAAGTCCGTGTTACTTAACAGTTCTCATGCAGCAATAAAGGGGTGGAAAGGGGTGGAGGAAGGAAAAAGGTATAAAATTGGGGCACATCATTTCTCTTCAATGGTGGATCTGACTCACTTTTCTATTTGCTCCTCAGCATCAGAGGTTTTGGGGTTGGTCTTTAAGATGTCGCCTTTCCCGGTCACGCTGATGTCGCACTTCAGGTAGCCCTTGGTACCAGTCCTGATGTCACTGGGGTCTGTGAGCAGCGCCCACTTGTCACTGAACTGATGACCTATAAAAGCATCTTGACAGCTCAGCTTCCCTGCAATGGGCCCCACGGCTCTACCCCGTCCCCTCCCACACCCTCCCCAACCCACCATGGTGACTCCTGCAGCAGCCCAGCTCAGTCATGCCCCAGCCTTGTGCCTTCCTCCTTCCTTTCCCTCCCTCTCCTTTTGCTTCCCACCTGTTTCTCTGCCTTTCTTTCCAATCACCACAGTATTTGGGAAACCCTCAACCTAGGAATGACCTGGGCAGGATTCCAGCTTTGACCAGCGAGGGGGGACATTAATGGAGGGTAGGAGTCAATCGCTTGCCCACAGGCCATCGATGTGGCTCATAGATCTTTCTGTTGGCCTATGCTGTGAGTCAGAACATCAAGATCACTTACAAAAGCTAGATGTCTGGCTTATCTTTAAAAATAAATATTGGGGCTGGGGATATAGCTTGGTTGGTAGAGTGCTTGCCTCGCATGCACAAAGCCCTGGGTTTTATCTCCAGCACCACACACACAAAAAATTACTGGCAACACTAGATTCATATTTCCATATGATGGCCAATGCTAAAGGAGTCCAGTAGCTGCTGCTGTTCTACGATGGTTCAGGAGCCTCCCATTCCCTGAAGACTCTGTCACTCCCTAAGATGTGGTACCCATCTGCTCTCAGCCATGGTCACTCTGTGGTCCCCTGAGATCCTAAGACTTGAAATCACCTGAGAAGAGAAAGGGCCTTTCATGAGAAGTTCTATGCTAGTTGCTGGCTCCATTATTTATTAGCTCTTGACCTTGGACAAATTATCTAACTTGTCTGCATTTCGCTTTCTTATAACAGGGATAATAATTATTATTATGGTGCAGTCTGATGTGAAATGCCAGTCTCATTATGTTCTAGGCTCTCTATAAGCACATATGTATTTGTTAACTTCATACTCCAAAAACCGATGAAGGAGGCATCAATTTATCCTAATTTCTACAGATGAGGAAACCGAGGCACAGAGAAGTTAAATCCTTCATTCAGAGTTGCACATCTTGGAAATAGCAGAGTGAAATTTGGATTCAGGCCAGATTCTTAGCTTCTACTGTCTATTAGCACTCCTAGTTATGTGTCACAGTGCTAAATTAGTCAGAATTTGTGTGAAAAATAAATCAAAACTATTTAGAGTGGACATGGAAGATAATCTTATCATTTGATGGCAAGATCCATGTCTCATGTAACTTTGCATAATTGGTGCTAATTTTTATTGAATGAATGGTCAACTGGAAGAGTGAATGAATAAGAAGTCCTTGGGTGCTATAAACCAGAGTCAGAAACAGAGATGGGGAGGTGATACGTTCTTACCAGGTTGGTTGTACACAGTCCCCAGATCTACTTTGAAAGAGCCAATCAGTATGCTTCCAATCAGCTTGTGGTGAAGGACCTGGGGAGAGATGGATCGGTGAGTCCATCACATTTATCTTTGAGAATGACTCTTGAAATGGGCTCTTTATACCTCAAAGACGCTTCTAGGCTTTGACCCTTCCCAGGCTTTGACCTTCATCTGGATCACAACAGCATTTAGTCATCAAACCACAGAGTCACAAAGGGCCTTCAGAAATATCTCACCTGTACTTCTACCTCCAGCAGGTGGTCCCCCGATTCTCTATTGATGGACACCTGAAACTTGCACGGCCTGAAAGTTTTCTTTAACCAAAATGAACCCTAGTGCAGCCTGCTTGTCAATGCCTACCTCTGTCTGCTGAAACTCTACCCAGAACAACTGTCACCTCCTCCAAGCAGCCCTCCCTCAGCCTCAGCCCTACCCCTGGCTGAAACTCTTCCCCCCAAACTGCCAAACTGCTTTGCTCACCACCTTCCCAGGGAACTCATCAAGCACTGCCTTAAGCCATTTGCAATAGAAGGAAGGTGATCATCCTCAAGCTGATCAGAAGCCCACAGAGTGCCCCATAACATCTCGAAATGAAGAAGAACTTGAGGAAGGTGGCAGAGTGGGTTCCCATCCCCAAATGCCCATTCACTGTTCAAAAAGCTGCTGAAGAATCAGGATTAGTTTAATCCTGAAGCAAAAAAATAACAAAACAAAACAAAACAGGGCAGTGAGGGGCTGAGCAGAGAAAGGGCAAAAGAACTCCGGTGACTCAGATCTGGGAAATGCTGTCATCCAGAAAAGGGGACCAGATCCCCTGAGTGGTGCTCAAGTAACAGGATGAGAGACTTCAGCTCCCTAGAGGAAAAAAATTCATGAAAGTCGGAACTTCTCAGCAATGTAATAGAATTTCTTAGAGACAGTGACCTCACCATCACTGGTAATAATCATCATGTCCCAAGAAACCTGTGTCAGGCAGGAGGTGGAGGGGGATCCCAGCAGCACTTGGAACTTAGGCTCGATGGCCCTGAGCTTCCTCCTAACTATAAATGGACCTATGAGCTGCTTGATTCAAGGTCAGTTTCCTACAGTCTCCCATCCACCCCACAGTCTTGCTCATGATAGATGTTCAATAAACATTTAGTGAATGAATAATCGAATGATGGATGAAGGGGAGACTTTTGTGGCTTCTGAATAGCCCCTTTTGGCAGAAGCAGTGAGAAACAATAAATTCAGCTGACCTTCCTGCTTCTCTTTCCACTCTCTCTCACTTGCCCAAATCTTCCAACCGTGTTAGAGAACTGGGGGGAAGTAAGGACAGCCTGGCTTGAGTAGAGGAGCTATTTAAGGCCACACAGAAAGCTCACTCTACAACCCACCACATTTGCAGGAGCGGCCGTGGCTTCCCGAAGGTCTGAGGAAGACCAGACACCTGTCTCAGGTTCTCCTTGCAGGAGAGGGGCGGCAAGCAGGATGAGCCCCAAGCAAATCTTCCAATGACACAGGAGACTTCAAGTCATCCACTAAGGGTTCAACTGCTGGGCAATACTGGTGTGGCAGAGCATGCAGTGCCAGGACCCTGAAGACGTCTAACACACAGAGTGCAGGGGCCCTGCGTACCTTGGGCCACTGTCACTGAAAGATGGTCTTGGGGTGTGTAGCAGCTTGGCTGTGCCAATAGCACCTGCTCACAGCCCTCTCCTGACTCTTCTCCCACATTGAATTTTTCCTGAGCACATTGACTTTCAGTTCATGAACTTGCAGAAAAAATCATATTCAATGTTTCCTTCTCAAGGGGAGTTCTTGAAAATATCCCCCCACCCCTGTCTTTTGGAGTCGTTTAGGGATGCCCAAAACATTCTCATCTTCCAAGTTAGGGGAACAGAGATGTGAACTTTGACCCTCTGTCTGAAAAATCTTTGTGTCCCACAAACAGTCACTACCCTTGTCTATGATCTGATGTTAAAGCCCGGTGATGTCCTGTTCATCTGAGACTAAGGAGTCCCTTAGGAGCAACTGTAAAGCCACTCCACAAACAGGAGCGATGGAGCAAAGTCCTGGGCAGCATCCCAGGTCCCAAAATACCTTCTGCGCCACTTGTCATCTGCCTGAAATTCAAACACTAAGAATGTTGGCTCTCGGTGACTTCATTCCTCAAGAGTCACATTCTTCAAATGCCCCCGAGAAGGACAATACCACAGCACCACCAGGACCCAGACCTTAATGCAGGACTTCATTGACATTCAGCTTTGGTTGAAGGGAACGGGTCATGGATGTGTTTATTAAATTAAGTGGGTGATGGGCGAGGGGTGGATGAAGGCAGACGAGTATAGAGGACAGGCCAGGAAAGTTCTAAGACAGGTTTTGTCATCCCCACAGTCTGATTTGACTTGGAATGACTGTTGAGGATGTCAACCCCTATTCTCCACACCTCCACTGACATACAAAGTGGGTGTTCTGTTCTTTCAGAATCCAGCCCCTACCCACTACCCTCAACACGGGCACTTTCCCTTCCCATTCCTGTCTTCCATATGGAGAGCAAACCTGGACAAGGCCCCTGCCTGGACCAGGAAGCCCTGTGTCTACTCTTCAGGTCTCTGGGGGCAGTGATTCCCCTGGTGGGGCTGAGGAAGGGTCTCCCAGGGGCAGGACTTGGAGACAATCTTTGAGAATCTCAATGGCTACCACAAGCTCCAAATCACATTCTCTGATCCAGTGTCACCATAGATGAGACTGACATATATGGTGCCTTCCTGATTCTTGTTCCTATTTCTCCATTTATCACCAACTAGAAAGGGAAAGTGCTGTGACTATGATCATTAGTGCAGATATCATCCTGAGAGAGAACACCAACCTAGGCTTGATAAAAAACAAACAAACAAAAAAACCTAAAAATGGCACTCCATTAAGATGTCATTTGAAGCATGTGTTTATGCCCACATTTGATTAGTAATAGATTTACCAGAGCTTACAACTTGCTTCCAAGAAGCATGGCTCCTTTTAAGAATCTCCCAAATTCCTCTATACTTGTGATTTCAGGTTCTAGTCTGTTGGTTTACAATTCACCAACCTACACTCACCCTCCTGAATCTACCCATCCCTGTGCATGCTTAGCTGTCAGAGTCCCCAGTGCCTAGAATCTCCCCCACCTTCCACCACCACCATCACCACCAAGGGTATACTCACTGAGATTTTGATGATCTTGTCAAAAAGATGCACTTGGGGCCCAATGAAGTCGAAGACAAAGTACTGAAAAACACGAAGTGCATTGTGGCAGTGACTCTAGTCTCACATGTAAGAACCCTGTTCTGGAGTGATTTTAGATCTGCCTCACTCTAACTGCTGCATGGTCCCCAGTGGCAGGAATATATCACCTGCCATAGCTGATTGGCTATCCCCTACTGAAGGTCATTTAGGCTATCAAAAGTTTTTAATACAAAAAGAGAAGAATGTCACCAACCACATGCTTGCATGGGATATGTGTACGTATTCTTCTAAAATAGAAGAAGTAGAAGAGTTGGGTCGTGGATTATGTGCATGTAAATTTTTAATAGATAATATTAAAATTTTCTTCTAAAAGACCTACCCCACAAGGAGCTATGAAAATAGCCATTTCCCCATAATACTTTTGCCAGTCCTTGATACTGTTAGTGTTTCTTTTCTTTTTGCTTATAGTGAGAGTTCAAATGGTACCTGAGTGGTGTTTTTTTTTTTTTTTAATTTGGAATAACTTTGATTAAATCTTATTTTTTTCAGGATTTTCATATGAAATTACCAAGATTGACCAAGAAGAGAGAGAATTTTTTAAATTATGAACATGGGAGATTTTTTTATATTAATAAAGCAATTAAATTTCAGAGTCTAGAAATTATCTGGACTGGTCCCCATATTATACATATAAGACTGAAGAGTAAAGAACATAAAAGATGTGGCTTAGATTCATATCACTAGTTTTTTCTGGACCAAACATTATTTCTTCTGAAGTAATCACACAAGAAAATAGACAAGAACCAGCCAATTGGAGCCATGTTCCTCCCAAACAGAGGCTTATGGTTCTAGGAGATGAGACACTGAGTGGTGTCAGGGTCTGCTTGGTTGTGCCTGGGGACTGGTGGGGATCAATGAGGCAGAACTGGGAGGCCACTGACCCCTGAATTCTTTCTTTTGAGCTGCAGGATCCAGAAATGACACATGAGGGATGGTCATAGAAAGTAGAAAAGGAGAAACTGACCACTAGCAGCTTTCCTTCAAAGGGCAAAATAGGAAAACCAAAATACAGTGTCATGCACTATAACCAGAGTTCTTCAAAATGGTGGTCCTTAGGTAGCAATGAAAGGTGTCATGACATTCAGTGTCTTCTGCTTAATATGAAAATATATGTGACATTTCAGGAAATTTTCATACAGAATATGTTCAACTTTTAAAGAGTTTTTGTGTTCAAAATTGACATGAAAAATTCACTTATGAACTTCCTCAGTCTCTGATAAGGCTGAACATATGAGATGCAGTGGGTTCCTCTGGGCTGATAAATCAATTCCAATGTTTGCTGCCTTCTGCTCAGTTTCATGTGTTCCAAACAACAGCCCCAGGCAGGTTCCCTAGACCCCTAGACCACACACATTTTTCTAGCTGGAAAATACTCCCCAGCCCCTACTAACTAGTTCCTTCAACATCTGATGACCTTTGGGCTTGAAAATTCGAGTCAAAAGCTATGACAAATGTCCTGCGTTCACCCTCTATGTTTTTGCTTGATTTCCTACTGATTACACTTGGGTCCAATTTAATGTCATTTAGATCCAGGAATTTTATGCAGAATTATAATAATTAACAAATCTATAAGGCTTTGAAGTTTCAAAGCATTTTCGTGCACATGATCTCATATCATATCCTTGCCAAAAGATGTCTTGGGGGCCAGACATGGAACAGGAAGGGGATAAAGACTGACATTTTAAAGGTCAGAGGAATACAAAGAGGAAAGGAACTAACAGCTCAAATGGGATTTGGGTATTTTTTGTTAATGTCATTATCCATGCTCTCCTTGTCTTCCTTTTTAATTAAAACTCCCATTAGAATAATAATTAAGAGTTTGCTGCATTTTTTGATAATTCCTGGTGTCAAAACACCTACTGGAAAAGAATCCCTCCTGTGCAGTTAGAGAATAAACTGTTACCTCTTGGAAGGGAATTTAGTGATATCAAAATTTTAAACACACATACCCCATGCCCCAATTATACCATATAAATATTATTATAAGTAGTGGCAAAATGCTGAAAAAGTTAATATCCATGAATGAGAGACTGACTGGTTTAGTAAGTTATGGTACATCAAGGCTTGAGGGAGAAGTAAGATTGAACTGCATGTTCAGTGATGGACTAATCTCCAAGGTATGGGGTTTCATGAAAAGACCAAGACCTAGGCACAGTATGGAATGCTACCATATTTACTTGTATTCCTGAACATGCTTGGGCTATCTCTGAATGACAGCCAAATGCCTGGTGAGAATGGATGATTTCAGGGAAAAGGTCTAGGAGATTGGGGACCAAAGATCAGAAGGAAACAACATTTTTTACTGTACATCATATTGTCTGTCATACAATACTTTCATTTTGTAAAGAGAATTTAGTATGTTTAATATTTAGAAGCTTCTCTCTTTGAAGTTTTCCTTCACAATCACTACATAGCTTAAAAAATATTACTGTTTTGCTTTCCAATATGGTATGCCTATTTCAAAATCAGTAATTAAATTTGTGATTTCTCTGCCATGGAAAAGAATGTGTATCTTCTCCCTGACCAACCTTCTATGTTTATTAAGTGAAATCCAGAGTTTATCATGGATGAAAAGGAGCTTGCTGGGAGCCATTAGCCAAGTAGGTATGACAATTTCCTTGCCAGCGTACCCCATGTTGCTTAGTGGAAGGACTCGTGGAAATAGGACATTTTGCAGTGACATTGCATCTAAGGTGACCTTGCTCAAGGACCAGGGCGGATCTGGGTTTAGGGTGTTCCCGGTTTAGGACAGTCCGGGTTTAGGGTGGTTCCAGGTTTAAGGTTATTCCTGCTGGGAGTAGGGCATATCCTGCTGCCTGAGTTCCCCTTGAGTTCTCACAGGATTCAGACAGTATTTTTTGGGAGACAGAAGCCCAGTGGGGGTGGATTTGGGCAGAGAACATGGATTTCCCCAGAACGTGATTGTAGACGGCTGGTGTGAGTTCGGGAATAAAGAGTTGCTGTTTGAATCTACAAGCTGTGTGATGGCTCGTGATTTTGTGCCCAGCCAGACTGCGGCAGGAGCTTATAAGAAATCTAATGGGCCTATTAAAAACATAGTGATGGCTTTAACCTCAGGGAGAATTCCTTGCCTCTCCTTTCCACTAACTTTTTGTTAAAAACCCTTGAGATGGTGTTTGTAAGGTGACTCAGAGCTTGCTATGAATTTGGACAAGGGACGGTCTGAATGAGGAATTCTGCTGGATGGTGGTGGAGGCAACACTGGGGCTGGCAATGCTGGTGATCGCCACGACTCACTTCATTGTAAAACGGGCTGTTGGTTCCTTCCTTCACCGTGCTCTGCTTCTTCTCATCCCCAATCTCAATGGTCACAACAGGGTCAATGTTCTCGCCCACCAGCTGGCGGGCCTCAGTGATGTTTATGGCAATCTACAATAGAAAGCAGAGTGTCCGCCATGCTGGATACTGCCTATTGTTCACATGGGAGAACTGGGGTGGGAGAAGGCTGGGCAGGAAGAGGCAATCACTTACTTGATAATTTTGGGATTTGATGTCTCCATCATGGATCTTAGTCAGCAGTTTTGACCTGTAAATAGAAAATTCAATATACTTGTTTTATCAAGTAAGTACATACTTTGGAGCCATAAGCCATGATAATATTTTCCAAAGTATTTCTAAGGGTTTCATTTATATTGTATCACATATTCTCTCTACATCCCTGGGGAGATAAGTATAGTGGACAAGTGGCTTAATTTCTGTGACTCAGTTTCCCCATCCTAAAATGGAGTTATTAATAGTACTTACCACTCAAAGTGGAAGCTAGAATTCAATGCAAGCAAAACTTAAACCCAGTGCCTGGCAAGAATAAGTGTTAGTGGCACTTTTTATAAGATTACCCATATTATTTATACGATTTTGTTGGTTAATTTATAAAACTAGAAACTGAGAGTCTCAGAAAGTCAGTGGCAGAGCTGCATCAAAATAAGGATCTGCCAATCTCCTGCCTGATCCTAGATACAGGACCACTTTGCCATTTCTAGTAGATATAATAATTCTGTGTTGTGATTACTTTTGAAAGGATTGGTAAAGGAGAAAATTGGAAAGGGTGACCAAGATGCCATCTCCCTGAGATTTCACATCCCAGGCCTTTCATTTATCTGGGCCATCACAGGTCATTGAACAGATGTGTACTAGAGATTGGAAAGAGATGAAAGATCCTTGTTGTCCCAGAAGCAGCATCGGGTGGGAAGTGAACTGAGCTTGAGTTCCTATTGAATCGCATTCTCTTGGCTCCTGACAATACCATCTTTCGTGTGACTTCATTCCGTTTTCACAGAGTATAATTGGGTCTAGTGGAGAATAGAGTAAGCTAGTGAAAATCTCAAGGCTTTGGAATCAGATTGATGGGGATTAGAATATTTGTTCTTCCTAGTTTGGGACTTTACCTTTAAATTCCTTATCTGAAAGTGGAAATAATGATTCCTACCACCTAAGTTCACTCTGAGGGCTAAGGGAGATAATGCCTATAAGCAGAGGTAGATATCATTTATTACATTTATCAGTAAAATGGCAAGTTCATACTGATTTTTCATTATGTGAAAGCCCAGTGCTAGGCTCAGTTAAGAAAAAAACAGACAAGCTGCCATCTTGGCCCTAGAGCTGACGATCTAGCGGGGGAAAGAGGAACAAGGCGCACAAGAAAAGAACTATTATATATAAGTGTAGAATAGACCAAAGGAGGGACATGCACTAGAAGAGATGTAGAGACAAAATTCCTGAAAGCAATTCACTGAAGAGATTGGATTTGAATTGAGCATTGGTGGTTGTTAGAGTCTGTAAACAAGTCAAAATAACACCTGGCATTTTGCCAGGGGAATGTTAGAGTTCCTAAACAAGTCTGGATGGTGCCTGGCAAAATGCCAGAGGGAGTGGTTTGAGAAGTAACAAAAGTGAGCCATTAAGTGTGGAGATTCCTTATTGGTTGACTGATGTATCTAGTTTATGCTAATTAGATAAGCTGTGTGGAATGTATAAATACTGCTCCTGTCTTACAATACACGGCTCCCTCTCCTGTTGTATCAACGTACACAAGTTGTTCGTCACCCCCGCACCCCCCCCCCCCCCCCACCCCCCCCACCCCGGTTATTTTGCTGCAGCCGGACTGCGGCAGGTGGTGGATAGAATTTCAATTGCTGGAGAATGCTCTGACCAAGGAGAAAGAAGAGACAACTACTCCTCATTTTCCTTTCTCTTGCTTCTCTCCATTCAGAGCTATTATTTGGTAAAACAGATGACAAGAGATGCTTTGAAAGATATGAAATAGTTGAAGTCCCTAATCAGAGGCCGGGGGAAAGGGTACAGAGGATAGGGTACAGAGTAGGGGGAAGGACAAGTGACATGAGGTTGTACACTCGAGTTTATGTCTTATTTTAATTGTCACCTCTGAGCCATCAGATTCTCATTTCTATCTACACCCCCTCCCCCACATACACTGCCATCCTGTCACAGTTCAGAAACAACAGCTCAGGGTCTGCCATGAAGGGTAGCACTAATCAGCTTTATTAACAGTAACAACTGAGTGGAGAAAGAAGAAAAGGGCATGATGAATTTTTTGTGAGTAAGAAATTATCATGAACAAATATGGCAGATGGAAAGCACTGCTAAGCCCATCATTGGCTTCTCTGTGCCCGAACTTATAGCTGGGTACCTTGTGGTCTCCTTCCACTCAAACACAGGCTGACCCTGTAACTTGCATTGGCCAAGAGAGTGCAGCAGAAATGACTTTTGCCAGTTCCAAGCCTAGGCCTCAAAAGACCTTGGGTACTCTGTTGGAATCCTGCAGTGTCACCATTGGAACAAGCTCAGACTAACTTTCTGGAAGGTCTGATGCCAGAGTTTGGGAGCCCAGTGGTCACAGCTGAAGCAGTACCAGGCCAGCCTACCATCAGGCAACCCCAAAACTAAACTCAGTAGAACCGTCAAATGACCACATATGCAAATGACGATGCATCAGCAAACTATCAGAGGTCATAAAACTACCCCCCTGATCTATCAGCTCAGAGCAAAAATCAATACCTATGATATTAAGCCACTAATTTGGGAGTTATCTTTTATACACCAATTGTTCATTGATATAGCAGGAGAAAGCCAGTTTGTTTTGGACTTTTCTTGGTAGTATAGGAACCACCTTTTCATTTGGGACAAACACGAAGCTAAGACAATTAGTATATTGATGAATTAAAGAGCAGGTAAGGACAGCTCCTGGAATCTGTCTTCATCCCTTGCTGTCACTCCTGAACTATGAGGGGTATGAGCTCGTGTGTGTGTGTGTGTGTGTGTGTGTGTGTGTGCGTGTGTGTGTGTGGTGCTGGGAATTGAACCCCGGGCTTCACACATGCTAGGCAAATGCTCTACCACTGAGCTACATCCCCAGGCTCAGCAATAGCATCTTAACTCAGGAGAGACAGGATCCAAAGCTGGCAGAGCCAGGATTCTGGCCTGTTGAAGTCTGACCAGCATCAAGAGGCCAGGACTCAGGGAAAAGTGAGCAGGCACAGAAGTCCATCTTCCTGCCCTTTGGACAGTGACCAGGTCTTCTCTTCTGATCTGCAAGAGCCTTCAGGGGTACCTGGCACATAGGATGCACCCAGAAAATATGTCAACGACCTGTGTCAACTCTATACCTTCTGTTCAGAGGAGCTGAGGGGGCAGGAGTGATGGAAGCATCGTCATGAATCAAATCTCCTACTGGTCCTTCCTGGTGAGAAGGTCCATCCTGTGGCAGTTCAGCTTCACTCTGACCATCTAGAGGAGCAAGCAAAGGAAGAGGATCCCGTTGAATTGAGACATAGTGGTGATCAGGCCTCACTCTGTGCCCAGCACCAAGGAAGCGTCACCCCAAGTATAGGAAACAAGAGGACGGTCTCTGCCACCGTGAAACTTAACATCCTATTGGCAGAAAAGCCAGGCATATATCCTAATTTTTCTTAGAAAAAAAAAAAAAAATATAAATATATATAACTTCTGTTAAAAAAAAAAAAAAGAACAGAGGTATTTGGATGGTCTTATGGAAAGAAAACTGTATGATGAATCTAAAGATGTGCCTTTAGGTGTGACCTTGCAGAGTGGAACCTGAGAAAAGTCAGAGTCTCTCTGAGTCTCATCAGCAAAGTTTAAAGTACATAAGGATCAGCTGGGAAGCTCTTAAAGCGCAGACTCTGACTCAGTAGGTCTGGGAAGGTCCCAGATTCAGCATTTCTGACAGCAAGATCCAGGATGAGGTTCTTCCTACGTCTGTCGGCCAGTTTTGAGCAGAAGTGCCATGCTCTGAAAAGATGGTGAGTCCTCATCGGGGAGCCTGTAAACATTGCCTTATTTGGAAAAGGTCTCTGTACATGTGGTTATTCAGGATTTTGAGATGAAGAGATTGTCCTGGATCATCTGGCTGGGCCCTAATCACAATCATATGCATCCTGACAAGGAGATTTCAAACAGAACAAAAAGGCAGCAACCTGGCCCTGGGGGCAGGGATGCCACCAACATCCAAGGAAGGCCACAGCCACGGGAAGCTGGAAGGGACAAGAAACAGATTCTCTGGAGGGCATGGGGCCCCTTCATTTTGACACAGTGATACTGATGTCAGGCCGCTGGCCTCCATAGCTGTGAAAGAATAAATTTGTATGGTGTTAAGTTACCAAGGTACTTGCCCTAGGTAGGTTTCTTGAGAAACCCCAGGAAATGGCTATACAAACACTTAGAACATTTCGCTGAATGGCTAGCAGTCATTGTTTAGACTGTTTCCCTCCTAACCCCAGATTCTGATTAAGTTCATCTGGAATGTTGCCCAGATGTCAAGATTGTTTGAATTCCCCAGGTAGCTCTGAGGTGCAGCAGCAGAGCGTGAGAACCACTTCTCAACCAGGTTCCTGGCGGGCGGAAGAGTGGCTGGGCCTCCCTACTCCTCCCTGAGACTCCACATGGTGCAGTTCAAAGGCTGGCATCCCAGTGGCTTGGATTCCAATATCAGCCCTCCTTCTAGTTTTATGATTTGGGCAAATTACTGAAGTTCTCTCTGTTCTGTTTTGCTCATGTGTAAAATAAGGCAAATCAGGAAAATCAAACAAAACCTATAAAGCCCCAGCACCATGACTGCCAGATTTGTCTGTAGAAAGGGCTGAAGCCTGTGAATTCCAAGTTGGGTGACTTGAGCAAGTCACAGAATTTCTTGCTCTTTCTTTTCCTTTTCTGAAAGAATTGGGTCACAAAAGTGGTCTTCAGATTGTTTAAGGCAACAGAACACTTTTTTTTTTGTACCAAAGATTGACCCCAGGGGTGCTCAACCACTAAGCCACATCCCCAGACTTTTTTTTGTATTTTATTTAGAGACAGGGTCTCACTGAGTTGCTTAGGGCCTCACTAAGTTGCTGAGGATAGTTTTGAGCTCATGATCCTCCTGTATCAGCCTCCCAAGCTGCTTGGATTACAGTTGTGCACCTCCACACCCAGCCTAACAGAATATTTTTGACAGTGTGATTTTTATATTGAATCTCAATATACATATAACATAAGTCCATTTGTACCAAACTGTCCTGTGTCATGGGTTGACACGGAGCAGGCCCTCATCACCACCCTGCTCATATTCCTCCAAAGACGTTTCTCAGAATCCCAGGGCTCCATGGGACTCAACTATAAAGACATGGTTAATAATTTCTAAGACACCTTCCAGTTTCAATGTATTTTGATTCTGGTTTCAGCTAGTCAATCACGTCAAAGAGTCCTGAATCAAAGCCAGATGAGATAACATAGCCCATGGCCAAGGAGCTCCCACACGCAGGCATGGCCCCAGGAGGTGCTCAATGGTTCAGAGAGTGTCACTGAATGAGCAGAACCTGCTTTGACCATCCTCTCACCCAGCAAACCAAAGCCACAGCCAGCACTAGAGATGCAGGTGGGCTGTGAGTGCCAGATGAGTGCCCTCAAACCACAAGATAAAATAAACTACCTGACTGCAAGGCTTTCCAGGATGAGGATCTACTGTCATACACTCAAATTTCCAGCGAATTTCCTTAGCATATGATGCGTGCTAGAGACTGTGGTAGGTGAGATGCTTGGTATGCAGGAATTAACCCTTTCTCCAGGGTCTTATGTTGTGGCTGGGAGGAGACATCTCAGTAGGAAGAGCATCTGCTAAGGCTTCTACAGCTTTCATTCATTCATTCATTGAATTCCTACTATGCTCTCCCCAATCTGCTCACCATGAGACATGCAGGCTAATCTAAAAAGTTAACCATATCATGTCACTTCTCTTCTTAAAACTCCTCAATGGCTTCCCACTGTACTTAGAAAAAGGTCTGAAGTCCATACATGGATCCAATGCCCTGCTCCATCTAGCTGCCACCTGCTCCTCCTGGCCACCTGTCCCTCTCTCCCCCTTTGCTGCTCTCTAGCCACACAGCCAGCTCTCTCCTGTCTTGGTGTTATTCTCCCTCTGCCTGGCTGCTCTCCTCCCTGTCTGTCCTCTTGGGCTCCCTCTTACTTTGAAGTTTCAGTTCAAATGCTACCTTCCTAGAGAACCCCTCTCTTCACCAAAATCTCTATTTCGATGAGTCAGGAATCAATGGACTCCTCAACAACTCCACTTCAGCTACTGTCTGTTTCCTTTCTAGAACTCTTGTCAACTTATAATGCAGCTCCCTCAGGTAGGGTTCCGAGTGAACAGATGGCACATCCAGAATAGGATGACTTGAGGGCTTTTCATGAAGGTGTGGGTGTTGGAAAACCCCAAAAGCTCATGCAGTTATCCGAGGTAGCAGCCAAGCTGTTAGCTCTCCTCGGCTCCCGAGTGAGAAGAGGGAGGCCCAGAGAGTTACCAAGCCTTGAAGTCGAGGAAGCTTGAGTTGAGTCAGTCTCCCTAAGAGGGACAGCTTTCTTCTTTCAGTAGAGGGATGCAATCAACTGGACCCTGAGCTCCCTCTCCTCCCTTCCCAACCTCCTTCGGGGGCCCCATTGGCCAGACACAACCTGAATCCAGAGGCTCAGGGACCTGGGTTATGCATCCACAGAGGTCAGCCTCCTGGGACAAAGAATGGGTGGAGAAGGGTGGAGAACAGGGCTAGAGGGCAAACAGAAGAGTCCACCACAGGGCTGTCCTCCCTCCAGGTGACTCAGTATCACCCTGTACACTCAGAACCCATCCCAGGACCTGACACTTAGCAGATGTTCCATCCCATTTGTTGAACAAGTGACTGGATGGAGGATCATGGGAGGTGCCCAGTAACTATTTGTTAAGTGACGAGTGAAAGGATGGCTTAGGGCAATGGCAATTCTAAGAGCACAGTGCATAACCACATGTCTGAAGATACAGACAAAAGAACCAGAGACTTTTAGAATCTCCAGCTGTTTCTCCCAGAAAAGCCCCAACTCTCTAGGCCAAGCCAAGAAGGAAAACCAGAGGCTGCATTCTGTTATTTGTTTGTCAGTCTCTTGCATGGTGGGCCCCACCCAGCAGGATGGAGGCCATTTGCTTTCTAGGAGGGGCCTGAGTCCTTTCGGGCCTGTTTGCTTTGTGGGCTGCCAACCATGATTAGATTGAGACCAGGAGCCAGTTCCTCTGAAATGCCCAGGTTGACTGCTCTAATTTCCACCAGCCTGTCAGTAAGGTCCCTAACTGGAGGCCAGCGCTTGGGGTAGGAAAGCGCAGACTGACCTGGGCTCAGGAGCTGGCTTCTCTACTAACTTCTCTATAACTTGAGGCAAGCCACTCACCCTGTCTTGAACCTCTGTTGTAAAGTAGGCAATAGAATCCACCGTTCAGGGTCATGAATAATGTATGTCAAGTAACAGGCAGTGGAGAGAGACTTATTAAATGTGTCACAAATATTTTCATGAGGTTGCTGAGAGAAGGAACTATGCGTTATTCAACCTTGGGTCTTCAGGATCCAATCTCTTGGATAACAAGAAAGACCCCAAAGCCTTTCCCATCCACTCCTCCATGTCATCAATTTGATTGAATAGGAAATTACTTCTGTTGGGCCCTAAGTCTTATCCCCATTGCAAATAAAGTGCTCCTCTCCTCTCCATTCAAGGCTCCCCAGTACTTTCCTCTGTAAGTTTTATCTGAGGACAAAGAGTGGAGTTGAGTGGGCACAGGTCACAGGAAACCTGCGGTGGATGACAGTGAAGCAGCCCTTCCCCTTGAGTAGAAGAGAGGGGCAAATATTAACCGGGCTGTGTGTAGGCTGAGGAGTGGTCCAGAGAGCTGTCCTTGAACTGGCTGTTATCAGAGCCACTCAGCAGAAATCTCCAGGAGGTCCAGCCCCCTAGACCTGTCCCCTTGGGATGCCACTAATCCAATTTGATTCCATCCACTGGCACAGTTCATGCTGTACCTCAAAACTTTGCTCTTTTGGAGAAGGAAGTAGCCCATTCTAAAGGCAGGAGGTCTGAGAGCCTGGATTTACATCCCAGGGCCATGTGCTTCCTGGCTCGGTAACTCCCGCACTGGGAGCCAGTATGTGGCTCTGTAACCAGAAAGGGCCTCACACTCAGAAGGACCCCATTGCTTTGTGTAAGCCCCGTTGTCCCCATCTTGACATTCTTAACAATGGCTTTGTATTTTCATGTTTCCCTGGACCTTGCAAATCCTGCAGCCAATCGTTTCCACCCTGGTTGACTCTGCATCTCTGTAAACTCATTTGTAAAACTGAGGTAATGTTATTACTGCTGAGATGGAGTGAGGTGATGTGTAGCAAAGGTCCTCGGGTGATAATCCTCAGGAAATACCTGTGATGGGTGGCACCCGAAGCACCGCAGGCCACCCGTCTTCCCCTCACTCCCATGGACAAGAACCACACTCAACCAAGAGGTCCCCTCTGGGAGGCCCCAGCCCTAGGTCAGCTCTGCCCCCCGCACCTCACCTTGCGCAGCCTTGTTGGCTAGGATTAACCCCTTCTCTCCTTTATTTTTCTTCTTCTTCTTCAGCTTCAGCCCAAACATTCCCTTTCTGAAAAGAAGAAGAAAAAACTAAATACATAGTAATAGAAACTTGAGTCATTCCGACCTGTTGGGAGAACACAAATACACCAACCCTCAAATGCTCCCGGCTGACCAGCCTCCTCCTCCACCCAGGATGGGTCAGGAGACAAGGTCGGGACGCCCACCCACTCCCCAGGTAGCTCTGCTTTTGCAGCAACAAATGTACCAAGAAGAGGCACGCTGGGATGCCAACAGCACAGCTGGTTCTCCTCCCCGGCTCCTGGCTCACCCGTGCCAGCACTCAAAAGGACACCCGTCATTGGCTCAGCATAGCGATCATCTTCTGCCCATCTTACAGATAAGAAGCCATGGTCCAGAGAGGCCAGGGGCTGTTTCTAAGGCCACACAGCTCCTTGGCATCAGAGATGGCATCAGAACCTAGGTCTGCCTGATTTCAGAGCACAGGGTCTCACCCGTGGGTGGCTGGAGCCTGACCATTCCCCTTGGCAGAGTGATCACCCTCTACAGAGCCAGACTCTCAGACTGTTTCTAAAGTGAAGAGGCACTGGGACTTCATGAGCTCCTGCCACAGGTGCACAGCTCAGCTGTGCCCAAAACATCAGCTACTCTTACTATTTTATGATTAGCAGTGAGCAGAGAGCTAGGTCGGAGCCCCCTCTCATCTCTGAAAAGGGCTCCAAACCACTGCATCTAAGAGACAAGAACATTCCTGATGCTCCAGCCCCCGGAGGGAATCCCTGTCTGGAGCTGAGGGACTGAGGAGCATGCAGCTCTGGATGGAGGGATAGATGGCCACAGTGCAGGGGATGGAGGCGGGGAACCAGGGCTATGCCCTTGGAGGACAGCGCAGCAGAGCTGCTGCCCTGCTCTGTGGACACTTTGCCGCCCTGTAGTGGTGTGTGAGATGCTGGAACAGCAGGGCTCCTCCATTTAGCTCCTGTCTAGGACTTTCAAGGTGGTGGTGGGAAAGGGTAAGATTGGGCTCCATATTTGAGATGCCTGGACCTCAACACTGTCTTACAACTTCGCACAGGCCGCTTAGCCTCTGCACCCTGAGGGCACTGGTGTGTGGAGTGAGATGATAAATACAAAGAATTTAGCACAGTACCTGGGACATATTTGTTGCTCAACAGACCTTAGCCACTGCTATCTGAGGAAGGTGCTAGGAGACAGATGTCCACTGGATGCACCCACTTATTTACTCCTGTTCTTATTTGTTTATTTATTCTGCTTGTGTCCTGCTTTGATGCAGAGAAATTAAGGAGCCTCCACATCTGTGCTGTCTTAACAGTGGGATGGGTGCTTTTGTCGGGGGAGGTCCCTGTCCCTGGGGGTGTGCAAGCAGGGAATTGAGGATAACTGTGAAGGGCGTGGCAGAGAGGACAAGCCTCTGATGAGGGCACTGGCCCAGGGGTCGGTGGGGGGTCCGTTGAGACCCTGCACTACAGGAGGATGGCAAGGGTGGGCTCTGGAGCACTGGGCATAGATGGCGCTCCTCACTCCCTGGGCCGTCACGGGGCCTCAGTGAGCCTCAGTTTCCTCGTGTGGGGGATGGAGATAAGAACAGAGCCCCTACTTTACAGGACTCTTGTAAGAATGACACGGGGTAAAGGAAGCAAAGTACTTAGAACAGTGTTTGGTGCACAGAAAGTACAAAATAAGTGCCCTTTTGGGAAGGAGCATTGCCTCCATGGGTTTGGCATTGTCTTGAGTTTTCCAGGAACCTCTGGAGAACAGACCCTCAGGGGACTCCCGATTTCTGAAATTTCTAAGAGAAAATTCCAGTAATAGTTCCTAGTACCATGTTGTCAAAGGGTAGTTACCAAACAGGGGACTCAAGGCCCGGGCCCTCCAAACCCTGAATTGTGGTCCCCCCGCCCCCAGGGCTCAGTTCATGGAGGCAGAAGCTGATGTTCCCAGGAACCTAGGAACCATGGAACGATGGCTCCGCAGGTGCTTGAGGAGGCTCTTACTGTCATCCACAATGGCAAGTTGCTACTAATAAACGACAGTATCTGCAAGAGAGGGCATCCCATTCCTGTGAGGCTGACATCTTCATCAGGGATGGTCTCGGCATTCTGGATTCTCCCACAGGGAAGCCCCTGGGTACGGAGGCATGGCTGAGGTGCCATCTCGGCCAGGGGAACAGAGAGATGGCCCTCCCCTTGTCCTTCTGAAATCAAGAGAACTTGACCCTGCTGCCCATTAGTGTCTGCTAAGGAAGTTTTTAAAAACACCAGTGTATTGGTGGCATCCTTAATTCATCCAGGGCGGAGCAGAGGTCGAGAAGCACTGGTCAAGGCCCCGCTTGGACCTCCTACAGAACAGGCCAAAGGAACCTTCCAGGAATTCCCAAAGGATCAGCAACCAGCTGATCCTCTGGGGTGGGTTGACTTCAGCTTCATAAACACGCGAATTGTTTGCCTGAAACTGTGAGTCAGTCGTCAAGGGCACGCCCAGCATGACGCCCAGCATGGAAAGGCTTCCAGATCAAAACTGATCTCCCTTCACCGCCCCATGACATGCAGAGAGGAGAGGAGGTGGGGCTTGCCAGCTCTGAACCATGGTGCCACCGCAGATCAGGCTGCAGAAAGTGAGTCTGTGATGGGAGACAGCCCGGGCCCTGTGTGAATCCAATCCTAGAATCACGGGCTGGGTACTCGACATGGTTTCCCCCCCTTGATGTGAGAATATACTCATCCGATTCACAGGGTGACATTAAGGTGGGAAACAATGTAAAGTGCAGAGAATCCTACAAATTATTCCGATCTTAGCAACAAGGAAAGGTGAGTTTAACCTTTTTTGCAGCTGTATTGAGATGTTCCAGGAACCTCATTTTATACACATGACCTAGGATCATAGGCCGTGAGGTAGATGTCATTGTCCTTTCTTACAAATGAGAGGTGGTCAAGGAGGTCCAGCCAATATACTGGGATCAACCACCGAATCAGGAGGACTTCCCTGGTAAGTCCCCAAGGCAGCTGCTCACACCCACCCTCTCCTTTGCTAAGCACACCAGCACAGAAACCCAGAAAGGACAAGGCTTTCTGTCTTAGGTACATTAAAACTCCTCCCAGGGCCACCCCAAGGTAAGCCAAGCGACGTGCAGGAACACCCATACCAACCTGGTCTCCTCGGGTTGAAAGCTACCGTGACTCCGATATCTGTATCCAAGCAACAAGAGCATTGAACAATTAGACATGCTTCAGTCCGTCTGTGGAGGGTGCTCTGTGTAGAGCACAGGGCCTCGCTGCCTGGCAGTCAGCCAGCCTGGCACCTAGGAAGAGGAGCTGGACCACAGGTGTTTGGGTCTCATCTCACCACTCGCTAACTGTGTCAGTGGGCCTGGCCAGGGGACTTCTCTGAGCACTAGGCTCTTCTTCTGTTCTTCTTCTTCTTCAGGAAGTGTCCATAAAGTGCTCTCTGCTTTTCTTCACTAGGATATGATAAAGACAACCTCCCTAAACCCCATGCTAAACTGTTTAAAAACTCCACAAATAGCTAATTTAATGTTATGTCTATGGCTCAGTGGAGCTAGGGTTAAAAATTGCCAGAGCCATGTGGTTCCCCAATTGAGTCATGAGACTCCTTCCCTTCAGGATTCACCTTGTCTACCTTCAATGCAGAACAGAAGCGGCTCAGGCCAGGTGGCCAAGCACTGAGTTAACTGTGCCAAGAGCGTGACCATACTAGTGCATGCTGACGGGTCCCCATCTACGAAGACACAGGACGCAGGTGACCTGCGTACTCCTACATCTCCCCTTCCAGGCCTGGAACCGTGACACCAGTATAGGAAAACAAAAAGAAAACAACCAAAAATACTTTGGCTGAGTGATGGATTTATTTATATGAAAACTCTTACAAACGTTTAAAAAATTACACTATATTTAATTACATATTTAGTAAAACTCCTTTATCAAAAATATATTTATATGTATTCGAGTTTCTCTTAAAAACAAAACAAACCAAAATATTTCCAAGTTCATCCAAAGGGCCTTGGATAAATTCACAGTTGCCTGCTGGAAAAGACCTTCTTAGGAATATCCTACCTTTGCATTCATCTTATTTCTATGACTGGAATACATGTATTCAAGTCAAACCACTGAATATAGAAACAGCTGTAACTGAGTTTGATAGAAGATTGCTAAAATGGAAACCCCTGAAACTTTTTGCTCCCTCTTCCCATCTTCCTATCAAATTTTACCTGTTTGACGTCCTATTTCCTTAAGGTAATTATGCTCCACATCAAATTTAAATAAAGAGAGTTTTCTAAAACTGTCCCCCACATTCTGGCTGGATCCTATCCCAGTCTTTCATTGGTCAGGGCTGGGACCCAGGTGCAGGTGTTTTTGAAGCTTCCACGATTCTGATGGACATCAGGGTTGCAAACCCCTGTGGTCACATAATTAATGCCACAGTGCTACCCTCTCAATGAGAAGGAGGCTGATGTTTTATACATGAAATTCAAAAAATAATCTCTTAATGAAGAGATAAGATCAAATTCATTACATTTAGAACACTTGGCGGTAGGTTAGGTATTCAATGACCTAACCCCGTGGCTACAATTAGCCCACAGAATTGGCGGCCCCCTCTACTGAAGCATAGGATCCTCCCAGCCTTGGAGAAACACAATGCTGGTGTTCAAGAGGAAATCGTCACTCCCCTAGGGGATCAAAAGAGTCCCCAAGGGAGGCTGACGGCCTGGAAGGTTTGAGCACAGCTTCCATTCCAATGGGAACAAAGCTGTTCTGTGACTTGGGGTCTCTCACTCACGGATAGGCCCTTACTTTTTACCTCCCAACTCCATCAGCCACCACAATGTCATCAAATGTCACAAGTCAACAGAGTCACTGTGAAACGTGATGCTTCACCTGTAAGAAGTCAGCCAAGTCTGGAAAAGGCATCTGCAAGGATGCTAATTAATTCCTCCTCCTGTGACTCCTCTGAACCAAGGATGACTCAGGAGTAATTCAGAACCACACCAGGTAAAGCCACACCAT